CGTGGAAGAAAACGCGCCGTGTCGAGTGGCTGTTCAAAGAGAAGTCACTTTTTCTCCAACAATTGTGATGGAAAATTACAGTTTGTCATAAACAGCTACAGTAATGAAACCAAGTGCTGTAAAGCCCTCAGCCAGGAATTTATTTGGCCATTTACATGGTTGTATATTTAAAGGATAAGGCTGGCAATTTGTCAACAAATCTCATGAGAACAGCAGAAAACAACAGGGAATTAATCCTACTACCACGTATTGTCTGTGTGGCCAAAGCCTGATATACTTATATAACACATCCATGAGCCACGTTGCTGCACTGTCCCTTTTTTAGAGGAACGTGGGCACTGGAGTTTATTTTGAGTCCGTCACACACACTGTCCAAAATGTGTGTTAATCCACAGATGAAAATAGTCCCTATAGCAAACCTGACACATATTTGTGTCAAAAAGTTTTAAGTGGCAGGCTAACATCAGGTTGGTTTTGGACTTTTTCCAATAAGAAAAACCACCAGCTTTATCCCTTATGCCCTAATCAATATTTTTAAATAATAGTAATGCTTGCATTTAGGTAATTTAAAGACAGTGTTGAAACCTTTACAGTGCCATATTACAGTGGTTCCCAACCTGGGGGTTGCGACCCCCACTAATGGTCACCAAAGCTTCAAGGCCTTCTTGATTTTAAGGGGATGCAAGAAAACTTTAAAAATATACACGGTAGGCCTATGTCTCATTAACCTGCAACCAAAGAGCTAATAGAACAAGCGTCAGGGAGAAGAAAACATTGAATTTGTCAAAAAAGAAGCTTATTAAATCTGTATGATTGTTAAAAATGAGAAAAATAGGAAACTCATCTCTGATCTGATTCTCACAGGAAAAAATGCTGCTCAAAATTCATCCAAATCGCTCATTTTACTGCTACTTCCTGCAGTTATGTGTTCACTATTTACAGTTGTTCCCTACTGTTACTGTTATGCATTGAATATAATATGAAATATCTATAGAATATATAATTTAGTGAGGGGTCGTCAGTTTAGTAAATGATAGAAAAGGGGTCCCTTAAGGAAGAAGGCTGGGAACCACTGCCCTATTACACACCTTACATAAACTGCCAGTAGACTGTAGTTTTTACTTTAAACAATATAAAATTTAAAAAACATGAAAGGTTGCCAACACAAATCTGTCAATGAATATAAGGTCATTTTTTTAACGCGTGTCTACGTTATAGTCTGCCTCGTTTCAAGATGTTGCCGTCTTCCATGATGTTGTAACATTCGCCGCCTGTGGAGAGACGACCAGGCTTGGTACGACATCCTCAACATCTAATTACTTTCCCCTCCATCTCCTGATCCCATCGGGGAGGAGCTCTATTCATTACCAAAGAATGTGCAATCAACTCAATAACATTTCACTTGCACGATTCTCCTGCCGCAGAAATGTGGGTTTGTTTACTTTAATCGTTTAATCATTTAAAAAGGTGCCAATTACTCCTGCAGAGAGAAGCAGCCTCATCACGAGGAGCTGAGCTTTAATCACAAACCGATTGTTTTTTTTTTAAGGCTGAGTTAAGATGACACAATGACACTCTTACATACCGACACTGCAATGATAAATATACACTTAAACTAAAGTAATATTTATGGTGAATAAAACCCCTCCCTGCACTGCAGTTAAATTAATGCTCTTCAATAACATACTGTATTAATTATGACTTAAAGTGTGTTAACATACACACTAGTATCGCAGTTTTGATCATTATGGATATATTATGTTCATATGGAACACAGAGAAACATTTCTTTCATTTTCATGCTTTCTGTGCATGTTTTTTAAATGATCCATGTTTCTCCTCCACATCCAGCATTTCTGCACTGACTGAGTTTTGTACCTCAGCCGCTGACCATGAACCCACTCTGGTTTCTAGCTGCCTGCATTCATCACTCTGCTGGATTTGGCTTCACTATCTTTTGACCAGAAATGAAAGAAGAGAACAAAAGACACCATCACTGCCGTCTGGATTTCACTTTCATATCAGCATGTAGATCATAATGACATTGTTTAGCATCATATTTATGGGTTTTACTGACAGAACCACTACATAACTTGAGTAAAAGAAACACCTACACCTACACCCACACACCCACACACACACACACACACACACACACACACTTCAGAAAGAAAGATAAATGATGTTTACATGCTTTAATATCTCAGTTACTTTGACTCACCTTTTTCTCTCATGATTCTGAGACTACAACTATTTGCTGATATGTGGATCTCATTCAGAATAAAGTACATGAAGGAAACTGATGATGGAAACACTGTATTTTATGTGGATCAATACCCAGTCCACACAAGGTCGATTTGTGGATGAAATTTGTTTTATTGATTGAGATAATAACTGATACTTTCTCTATTACAATGTGCTATTGAATTTTTGACACTGATTGTATTTGCTTTGTACTGTTGTTGTGATTGATTAGGTGTAGTTAAATATTGGTTTGTAAAGCCCTGAATGTCATCTTATGAACCGCTATGAACCGAAGCATTCAGTGTCTGTGCACATCAAACAATCCGGAAACAAACTGAACATATGCTTCATCATTTAGGGTTTTTCTTTTTTTTTTTTAATCAATTCAGTTTTAGCTTTTTAAAAAATATATATTTTAATAGTTTTAAGTAATAGTTACGTGCCTTTTTATTGTACTTTTAGTTTGTTTTTATCTGGTCTTAATGTCTTTCTGCCTTTACATTGAATCTTAAATCTATTTGTTGAAAAGTGCTTTGTGGTGCAGTGCCGTGTATTGTTTGTCTGTCCCTGTATTGTTGTTGTGATGTACTGTACTGTACTTCTCGGCCGTGTAAAAATGCAAAAACAGTAAGATAAATCAGCAGATGCTCCTTTTGTTGCTGCGGCTTTTTCAAGAATCAATGAGATTTGCCAGATGACCTGTGTACTAATTTCACTAATACATATTTTAAACATTATTAAAGCTCTCAGACTGCCAACATAATGTACATACTTCACAATATGGAAAACCCTCTCTATGTAACAAATATCTCAGTCAGCTCTACTTTACACCATAATTGACAATTTTATAAGTCTAATTAATTGAATTGAATTAAATATATTAAAGCTGCATGGTAATTATACTGAAATGGAATGACTCAATAAGGATTATGCGGTGCTGACAAAGGCCAATTCCTTATTTGATTATGATTCATAAAAGTACTAGTTTATCTTGTATTCAATAACTGAATGTGTGCCTGTATGGATACAAACAGTGGCGGTGAAATACGAGCCAGCTGCAGATTGCTGTTGTCACAGGAAACTTTTAATTTAGAGCCAGATCAAGTTTCCTGACCCTGCAGCCAATGAATCCAGAAGGACTGATTATATTTTAAAAAACCACGGCTGTCAATCTTGAAGATGCTCTTTTAATAAAGTTCTCAAAAAGACGACTTTTAAAGACGTGGGGTTTACCTGAGAGCAGCAATATAAAGTTTTGGGAAATGCAGACAGCGAGCTGTAACTATCTTTCATTATCCAATTCTCTGTGGTCAGATGGCTTGACAAAGTGTTTTTTTTCCCGTGTGTGTCTGAGTAGACAGAGGCTGTCCTCAGAGACATCTTCGGCTCCGACAGGCTGCCTTCAAGTAATCTAGGGATGCTGGTAGAGCTAATAAAAACAAGTGGCGCAGCCTAATTCAATTGCACACCAATAATTAAATAAAAAACAGAGTAAAACTGCATTTTCCTGAGCAAAACAATGACAGAGAAAGAGAAAAGGGTGATTACTCATGGCCTATAGTGTGGCTTAGCAGAGAAAAACAAATCGCCTCAGAAACCGGCAGGACTCGGGGGAGCTGAGGACACAAATTGCAGATAGTCTTCACAAAATTACCCTTCCAGACGGAGACGACTGAAAGCCAAAGTGCCTTTGACTGGGACTCCCACTGATGCACCTCGGTTGTTCCCGTTCACACAACAACAATTTCAAGCTTGATCAATAAATTGGTTCGAGCTGTTCTATAATATTCTGAATATCTCCAAGTTTTACCAGACAGCAAAACAGGCTGGCTGGCTTCTGTTTATTGTTGCCATCAGTCGAACATGAAGAGACACAGATGAGTTTATATGAGTCAGAGGTGATGTTGTGATGGGGCCTCTTGCCTTTTTGGATCCAATCCTGCAATAACCTTCATCCCTACAGCTCCCCTGCTACTGCTTATGTCTCTCTCACCCCTCTTGTTGGGAGACAATCAAAGAAAATATGAAAATGAAAATGTGGACCATCCTTTTCTTAAAAAAAAAGAAAAAAAAGTCCATTAGCGTCTCTGTTGAATCGTTTTGTATTTAGTTGGTCGATTGGATGAGTGGGCTTCATCAGGGTTTCTTAAAAATGGAAAAAGACGAAATGTCACTGCTGAAAATGGTTTTCCGGCAGGATTTTTTTGTATTTGACACAAAGATGTGAAAACTGTGAATTAACAGCTGAAGCAAACTGCAGCTCTTCCTGTATTCAATACTGGAGATGTTCAAAAGTGTAAAACATGAACTTTCCTCCATTATCCGCCCCAGGTTTCTAAGTAGCGCATGTGTTCTAGTTTAATAGCTCAGAGGAAAAATACATCACCAGTATTTATAAATACACTCCTTGTATGAGAAACCTTCCCTTTAAACCTTCATCACCACAAAAAAAAAAAAAGAGAGAAAAGAATCAGGAACAGACGTGATTGAATTTTTAGGACTCTTGAGATTTTAGACTTCAAGTCCATCTGATCCGTCCAAGATTGAGGCGAATGCAACAGGAGCCAGTGAGATGTGTGAAGCATGTTTATGTAAATTTATGGAAATTAATGTTTCTTTCATACTTCCAAAGAAATGATTGTAAAATGAGCCAAGGAGAGGGATTTCCTCAGCGTCCTCCTCCCCACTGACCATCTGACGAAATACTACAATGGACCATCAGTGCAACAAAGCCAGCTTCAAAAAGTCAGCCATTCATTTGGAGAAATGTATACCATTGTATTTATGAATTGGAATTCATGGAATTACAAATGTCTGTAATAATGCAGTTTGCATCAATAGAGAACTACATATATATGAAGTTTATATTCATGAAACATTCAGTGTGTTGAATCAAAGCATTCAAAGATGTGATCTGATTATTTAATCATTTACATTCTTAATGAATATCCTGGAAATGTTCAGCTCTCATTAATGTTTATTGTCATAATTTGTCTTTCAGAAACTGGTTCCTTACTTTATAATCTTATAGACAAAACACAGAAGACTTGAGGAGACACAAGGAAAATCAAACAAACAAAATTCAGATGGATGAAGTTTTTTCCGGTTGTAGCAGGAAACACATCTTCAGTTTGGAATGATCGCAGTCTGAGGGGTTAAACAGCTGAACATCTAAAACTAACAAATCCCAAATCTAATTATTATTGACCTTTAGAACAAAGAGGTTACTGGAAGTCAGGATGTACAGTCTCTCATTGGTTGCCCTGAAGCCCAGGATTGGTTTATCGGAGTCCAGGCTGGCCACCTGTTGCTTGGCAACCTGCCCTACCTGACGGCCCTGCTTCCTGTTGAAGAGGACGGTTTCCACCGGCGACGGCTGCCGGTAGATGAATGAGCGGCGGAGACACTCGCACAGGGAAGCATAGGAGAAGTTCGGAGCGCAGGTCGCAAACTTTTTATCTCGTTTTGATGCCTGGACGTAGCCTATAAAAACAGAAGGGTAGGATCAGAGACCGCAAACAGTTATAAACATCAACAGCTGCCCAGAGGCAATAATGCTGTTCCACTGGAGCAGTTGGGGTATCAGGGCCTTACTGAAGGGCACCTGTATGGTAATAAGATATGGACAAGTGCTACTCTTTCGCCATCTGGATCTATCCTGACAGTCTGGGGAGTGATTCCAGTAACAAGCCAACTATAACATTTAGGCCACCACTGACTCATCTCAATGGTTTAGTGAGGATTGGCTGAGACAAGTGTATGATGTGTTTTATTTTCTGGTGCATAGTTTTGCTGCACTAGGCAACACTGTGCATTGGAAAATTTAAATTGCTGAGCTTAAAGCAGAAGAGATATCGTGCTAACAGAATAATTTCTCTTGATTTTGTTGAACAAGGAGAAGATCTGTATTGAAAAAGCTACCCAGGTAGCTGAACTCCTCGATCTTTACTCAAAAGTAAAACATAAACACCAACACAATGAGCTAACGGATAGAAAATTAATCGTTAATGTTGACCCACGGATTGTTTAAGTTGTTTACAAAGGTAAAATGCCAAACATTTGCTGTTTCCAGTTCCTGAAATGTGTGGATTTGTAGACTTTTTTTTTTTATATCAGTGTAATTTTATATATTTGGGTTTTTCACTGAACAGACAAAACAAGTAATTTGAAGACATCACTTAAAAAAAAGAGAAGGTCACTTCATATCACGACGACAAAAGAGGACAAAAGACCCGATGTTGGTGAATTGAGCTTTTGTTTGGTCTCCGTTGCTTCTGAAAGCACATTATCTTCCACTCTTACAATCTGATTAGCCACTTCCTGAGTCCTGAGATTACCCATCTGACACCAGGGTGTTTCAATAACTCAACAATACTGCCGCTCAATGTTGTAGTTAAGACTGATGAGATTAGTTTTACAAAATGGAGTTGACTTGTAGAGGCTCGACCAGCACAATCATTACCAAACCCACTATTGCGTTGTATAGTTTTATCTCTCTTCACTCTGAAATTCATTATCTCCGCTTTAAATACATTAACCTAATATTTGTTTCAACAGTGCAGAAGATATATTTTCTATATGAGAAAATACAAACGTTGAGTGATCTGCTAAATGCTCGTAACAATGCGGTTCTTTCTATCGCACCTAACAAGCTTGATTTGGATGCTCATGCACATGGAGCCCATTTTCCTCTAAACCTCATTTGGACTCACAGAGATCATTTCTGAAAACATCACCTGGGATCCATCTGCTCCCTCAAAATGGATGATGATGAGAGATGGACAGATTGGTAAAACTCTGCGGTGTTACAAAAAAAAAAAAAAAAAGACAAATGAAGATGTCGGACCTGTCAAAATGGAAAATTAAAATAAAACTTGCTCCAGATGTCGTCATTCAGGAGAAATAGATAGATAAGATAAGATGAATAGATGAGAGAAAAGCGATTCTGGAAATGGGCACACACTGGCTGCTCACTCCAGTATTTGATTTGAGGTTTGGCTCTAAATTGACACAACAGTCTCGACACGTCAGTCACTGACTAAGCTATGAGGCACAATACAATCCAGTCATCTAGACCTCTTTGAATGGTTTATATGCAGAGCACAGGAGAGAGCCCTTAATGAACCTGTTTTCAAACAATCTTGACATATTTCTTTGGGTGTCCTTGTAGGCGACAAGCAGTGTCAGTAAACTCCCTCTTGTCATTAACTGCAGTTTTATTGCAGCCATTGAAAAGGGTCTGTCATCTATCCACTGCAGCACTAGAGGCACAGTGGCAGCATGACAGTGGATGTAAACAATGTTAATTGCTATAAGAATGAATAATTCAGCTCAAGTTGTCATGATTCATCAAAAATGGAAATTAAGACAGGCTTCTGCTGACAACGCTGTTTACACCTTCAAACCCCTCCCACATACTGTGACTAACGTAACATTTTAATTATGTTAAAGAGACCCTGTGGAGGTTTTGGGCACTAGGGGCACTGTAGAGTAATGTTTTCATGAGCGTGTCCTCATATTAATTATATGTATTCTTCCAGCTCATCCACAAGAGTGCAGAGGTAATGCAACACACATTTCTGCCGAGTACAGAAGTCAAGATCAGACATTCAGTAAAAAGAGACTTGTGTAGCATCTCACAGCATTAAAATTAAAATCTCAGGGTCTTATGTTTTGTCTTTATTTCAACAATATATCAAGTTTGCACTTCCTAAAGGTCACCAATGAATCCGACATTACAGCTAATACGAGTGGTGGAATAAGTATTTAGATCCTTTGCTTGAGTAAAAGTATTAATACTGCACTGTAAAAATATGACTTAATATTACTGCTACTATTATTAATACTGTCTAAATCGTTTACTTAAATAAAAGTATGTAAATATAATTAGGAAGTCAAAGTACTCCATGCAGAAACTGCCCCTTGGGCAGCCATAGCAGCCCATTTCACAGCCATCTACCTCCGTGAATTAAGGGTTTATTTCAACCAAACCAGCGTTGGTGGTCATTCAAAAGACTGAAAGGACCACGAAAGGTATTTATTTTGTTTCTGTCCAGTTTGAAGAGTGTTTTACGATTACATGCTAGGTAAAAATTACTGGTTTTGTCGATGAAGTCTGGTCTGCCGTACTAGCCACTGTTTTGGTCTGAGATATTGGTGCTTTAGTGCGACATCTAGTGGAGCAAGTTTGTATACATAACCTTTAAAGTTTTAAGTTTACTTTGAAGTTCAGTACTTGAGTAAATGAGCTTAGTTTCATTCTACCACTGCCTAATAATATGACATATTTCTGTAGGTTTTTTTGGGACACACTGTAGAACATATTCAGAAGCCTGATAAGAAGCATCAGAAACTGTGTTTTTAATTGACGCTCTTACCCAAGGCGTTGAATGTGGCAATGTGCTCCCACATGTTACTGGGTTGGTCGGGACGAGGCTGCCACACCAGAGCGTCCACATCGTGTCTGAGGCAGAGGCATGGCATATCACATGGGTTCACGTCAACTGTGAACAGGTACTGGTGGCTGCCCAGATTCACCTGGAGAGAAATGGAAAGGTGAAGGTGTGAATTAAAGTTAGTTCTCAGTCATCCTATTTTACTGTACAGTTATTGACAAGTATTCTCTACACGTAGTCCTCTGAGACCGAGGAGCAGGTTGGGGACAGTGATGGACACTTGAGGATAAAACCTGTGACTTTCTAATTATATTAGAGGTGATTTTCTTTTACACTGTATAAAGCAGGTATAATGCAATGCTTGAATTACAGCACTATTCCCATCATTCTTGTATCTTACCCAGAGTTTATTGGGGTGATTGACAATGTGATTACATACATAAAATGCCAAAAAATAAACCTCAAAACCAATCGTCGATTAACAGATCGATCAGAGCAGAACATCACCAAGCTGAGAAATAAAATTCATACAATCAAGACAGAATTTGCCCTCACTTTCCAAAATGCAAAAGATTATTCAATGTTTACATGTAAACATCATATCCCAAAAAAGATAAAAACCAGGATAAGACTCAGAAACAGAATACTAATGCACATGCAAACACACTGATTGACATGGCATGACTATGGATCTATTTTCCATATATTTGTATCCTTCCTTCCTTCCTTCCTTCCTTCCTGTTTATTTGTAAATTTATCTTTGGTTGATTTTATAAATACTTTTTTCCTGTGTGGGATCAACAAATTCTATATTTTTGTCAGATTATGTGTGCTATGGATGTAAGCAATTTCAGAGTCTTTGCTCTGGCCTTAATTCCCATGTTTATAGTTTTGACCTTTCTGTTGATTGATTTAAAAAAATATCTAAGCTAGAAAATATCTAAAAGGTTTCTGCACATATGTCTTGTCTTCTTCCCACATGGTTTGCAACATCATTAAATTTAGTTTGTGGCAGAGCTCCAGCTTGAAATTCAGCATGATTACAGGTAAAACCCTGTCCAGAGTAGAAACTGGAGTATGTGATAACAGCCATAAAAGTCAATATATTTGCCCCACATTCACTCTGATGAATGTGCTTGACGTAATTGCATGTGTGTGGTTTGGTGCTATTCTAGTCTGACTCCATTTGTTTTGGAAAGAAAATGACCGTCGTGGTGACATAATCGCTCCTCGACATCCGACTGTTCACACCGATCCCTCGCTCGGAGTCAACACACATCCTACGGATCCAACTGCCAACATGTCTCAGAGGCTGTCAGGCAGCGCTGTCCTCCCCATCTCAATACGCACTTGACAGGCATTGAAAATTCAGCACAGACCAGCACATATGTTGGTGGTTGATGGGTGCACACAATGACAAGGCTTTCACCAAGCCATCACTCCTCCACTTTAAAACTCATTTTCCTGCCACTTGTGTTTGACTTTGAGCGCATGGCAGACGTTCTCTCATGCTTTAGTAGAGCCTGAGTGTGCGAGTTGACTGACAAGGACACCAGTGCCCTGGTTCTGATTTGTGAACATTAAAAAAAAGAAAACATTAATATAAAAGTAATATACTGAATTAAACTGACTTAAACCAGATGATTTTGTATGTCATGGAGGGCAGAGTGTATGGAGGTTTCATTCAACTCAAACTTCCTGCAAGTAGTTTCAATGATTAGTTCCTCCTTTCCCTGCACTGAGAAAAGCTGCAAATGTGAGTATTATTATTATCTATTTCCCCTAAAGGCCAAATTGGTTCTGTCATCTTTTGAAGATAGGTTCCTGGTGTGAGAGACCTTCCAGCAGTCATACTCAACTCAAGTCCTGTGGGTCAGATCCCGGCTGGCCTGCAGATGTCATCTTATTCTGCCACATCAATTATCCAAATGTTTATTCTGATGAATATTAACAATGTTTGATAAATATTAAGAATGTTTGTTGATTAGCTTCTCCCTGGACTCCTGTCAAGTTGAGTATCCCTGCCTTACAGGGTCAGTAAACCCAAATAACAAAGACAAAACCAGACAAACAAACAAAAAATTGTGGTTGTTTCTGACAATTCTGAGATCCAACTTTTACAATCACCACCGTCAACATTTGTCACAACACCCATAAAAAGGAGGTGTTTCATTTGTGCTCCTCAGAGCGTCGATAAAATACATCAGAAAAACTTAACAGCAACATCTCTTTCAGGAAACTGGCTCCACTTACTCAAGGCTGAATATTTTTTGTTAGAAAAGAATTGTTTCCTGTGACAGTAAACTGAATATCTTTGGGTTTTAGGGGTAAAATAACATATTATAAGACATAACCTTGGGCTCTGGGAACTTTCATTAGGCATTTTTGCTATTTCCTGACATCCGATAGACCAAAGGGTTAATTGAGAAAATAATCAGTTGATTAATCAGATAGTTAAAGTAATCATTAGTTGCAGCCCTAGTGGAAAGTAGTTTTAATGAAATGCAAATCTACTTCCATCTTATTCCATCTGTGTTATAACATGATACCTACACCCCTACAAATGATCTCACACTCTTTGTCTTCTTATAAATAAAATGTATGTCATCAGAATCATTTAGAGATGCTATGATCACATAAAAACTCAACACACAGTGGCCTTAAAGAGTCAGTGTACAGCCGCCGCCGCCACCATTTATTCTTGTTCTGGGAGTCTCTGGTGACATTTAAAACTAAATAATACCCCAAACTCTTTTTTTTTTTATCCAAGTCTTGCTTCTGTAGCACTAAAAAGGAAGAAGAAGGCACCAATACAGAAATGTAGCTTAATAACTTGACACACAGAGTCCCCACTGTAAAGAAAAAGATACAACTTTATGGATGAGCTTTCATACTTTCAGAAAATCTAGTTACCTCTCTGTCAATATCCGACACCTGAGACATAATAATATTCTCAGCTCTCACTCGTAGATGCTGGGTGGCAGAGGATATTAACTCAGGTATTACGGTTATTGTTTGATAAAGATATTTGGGAACTGGAAACTAATTATTTTGGAGGCAAACTCAACTCTCTGCCAACAACAGAATCACATTATACCCAGGAAAATACAACTAGATTCTCAAAGACACCAGCGAGATACTGTGCAATATTATTTCTGAAGACATTTTCCAAGTCAGCGACTGTGCGTTATTGTGTGACTAATAGAGTACTCTATGTCTGGCCTGGGTCTTTGAAAGTCAAACAATTTCCTCCAATATTCTGTGGCTTGTGAATGGTCACATTCTCAAAAAAGGAAAAAAATCCAATCATGAGGCTTTTATCTCATTATTTTACAGCACACCTTTCCCAGCAACTTCTAGGATGCTTGTTCTGTCTTATATGTAATGCAGAGGGTTCAGGTCTTACCTTACAAACCAGGGAAATCAGAAGAATCAGAAACTCTATTAAAAAGTTAATCAGAGCCAAACTAACAAGATAAACATAACAGAAATTGCTATTCTACTTTATTTATTTTTTTCACACAGCCTTTATTGAGTGAGGAGGATTTAACTGCCAGCAGCAGAACAAAGCATCGGATTAACCTCTTGAATCCAGAATCTAAATTCCTGCTAATGTGTCCTGTAAAACACGAGATACGCTATTCAAAATAGAGGGGAAAAAAAACATGAAAGGTAAGCTCAGCTCTTAGAGACCAGAGAGTTTTTTATTAAAGGCTGTGGATACTGCTGTTAAATGTATTTAAGGCAAAGCGGAAACAGACACAGAATGGGTTGAACATGTTTTGCCATTTTGGTTCCTTTATGTCAGCTTTGAACCTTGTGGTATTAAAACCAATAATATGTTATAATCTGTTATATATGTAGTGCAAGGTTAATGAGTCGATGCCAAAAGATCAGACTAAATTGTCACTTTATTTCACTTTTATTTAGTCAAACATTAAGTTCATGTTAAATGATTTCAGTCCGGCGATGTACCAAATAAACAAACTGCGTTGGCCAATCACAAACATGCAAGCGCACATTCCTGGTAGATTACTTTGTAACTTAAATGTCATATAACTATTATTTACCTCACAATCGGCATGACAACAGACACCATAGTTACTACAGAGATAACTCTAGGGTTGTAAAAATCCTGTGTCTGAGTTTTATAAACTTCCTGGCGGTTTTGACATCTGTAAGCCTCTGCTTTCTGTTAGATACTTTCAAAATCTAGCCATCTCTTGCTAGTTACCTCAGCTTTAAATCGCTGAAAATGATTGGAGATGATTCGGAAATATGGAACCAGCAAACTGGGATCTATTTAAAAAAATAATGTCTACGTGGAAATGTTTCCATTTGACTGACAACTTAAGCTACGGTCCCAGTTAACAAAACAAAATACTGAATGTTTTCTAAATAGGGGACTTCTATAGCAGGCATATTAATACAGTATATACTGAATATTGATCCTGAACGTTCATTCATTTCTTATTTGTTGTTTCTGAGACCTTCAAGGCCAAGAATGAACCTTCAGGGTCAATACTGAATAAATATATACTGTATTTAGTATACCTGCTATATAAGTCCCCCTTTTAAGATACTATATATTGTCTTGTTGTATGGGCTGCATGACTGCACCCAATCTAAAGTACTACAATTACACTCTGTACAGGCAAGTACTCAGAATAAATTACTTGTACCTGTTTCTCAGTCCGACAAAAGGATATTTTAGTGAATAGCCTTCTTTTTTATCAAAGGGTTTATAGGCTTTGTAGAGGAGTGAGGTTGGTATTACGAAAGCAAAAGCATCTGGACGTGGAGGCCAGATGCTTGTAATAACAGATAAAATGCCATGTCCCTCTCATCATTGTCATCGCTTCCGTCATCCTCCTTCCTGCTGCCGCTCACTCGCCTTTACAGCGAGATGATAAATCTTTGTTTATTTACCCTTGCATCGGCCCACAACGCTGAACTTTGTCTTTTAAATCCACAAGACTGTTTTGTTTGGCTGTAAAGATAACAGTCAGACATGATGACCTTTGATATCATTCGGTCTGATATGTGATAATAAATATATGATGGTAAAGACACTCTGCCTCACTGTGTCAGCCTCTTCTAAATCACATTTAATTAGCATCACTGGATCAAAGGGGAAGATACAATATTATTTTAAAGCCGGTCTCGTTATGTATTTTACACAAAGCTCTGATGCCGTCTGTGCTCTGCTGCTGTAAGATGTTGATCAGCTTGTGGAGTCACACCTGTTCCGGCTGACAGTGCCAACACCACGAAAGAGGCACGTTTAACACGTTTCACACGTTTCACACCACGTTCTTCTCTTCAAGCACTAAAAATCAACAAGCAGTGTCACGCCATCACCCAACAGTGGACTTTCACCACCGAGGAGGTTAACAAAGTGGAGGGGGTTACGGATTTTAGCTTTGAATATCTCTACAGTCATGCTAACATGCTCACAATGACAGTGTTAACATGATGATGTTTAGCAGGTATAATGTTCACCATCTTAGTTTTGTGTTTTGTGATCATTTTCTAATTAGCACTGAACACAGCAGAGACTGATGGGAATGTTTTGCAGGTATTTGGTCATAAAACAACAGTTTGGATAAACTGAAATCTTTAGGGATGAGTCAGAGGATCGCGAAACAGGACTGTCTGTACTAGATGTCATGGAAATCCACTCATTAGTTAATATTTCACAAAAAACTAAAACATAAATCTCATAAAAAAATGGACTGTAGAGGAGCAGTTAGTTAGTTTGCTCAAGCACATGTAGCGGGAGGAGCCGGGGGATTGAACCACCGACCTTCTGATTGGTGGACGACCCGCTCTACCTCGTAAACCACAGCCCGTCCCCGCAAGAGGAAAAGGTAACATCATCTGGGAAATTACATGATAATCCATATACTTCAGAATAAACTCAAATCTGATTGATTTTTAACATATAAACTTAAATAATAAAATGATTACTGTTTGATTTTCAATAGTGTTATCAGTAATCATAGGAAAAATGTTTTCAAGGTTTCCTAAATCCTTAAAAGCCTTGACAGCAAAAGTCTCCAGTAAAGACGTAAAGATACACTCTTTTGTAAAAGGTATTACAGATATGGCCGAGGGATATGACTCACAGCCTCCCTCTGGGGAACGAGCATAAAAACCATTCTTCGTCTTTTCAACTGGGATCGGAACCAAAGAGTAGCACATCGACAAAGGTGCCAAATTAATAGAAGGTGCCACAATTTCAAGCTGAAAGGTTTTTTACAAAAAAGGTCAGCATATGTCCTAGTGGGCAGGCAAGCAACTGGAGCATTAAGGTGGATACAATGAGGGTGGGAAGGGAAGAATAGAAAGGTAAGGCTTCCTGGATGAGATACAGATAAACACAGACAGACATCCACACACACACACACACACACACACACACACACACACACACACACACACACACACACACACACACACACACACACACACACACACACACACACACACACACACACACACACACACACACACACACACACACACACACACACACCTGTATACACTCACATGTTCACACACATGGCCCAACTGTCCTTCAAAAGGCCGATGGCATAGGGACGATTACAATCCACCTTACTTAAGGGCAGCAGCTTGCCTGGCTGCACTATTTGCAGAGTAAATGGAGGGAGAAACATTAAAGGGCTTGTATTCACATCACGGCCTGGGCAGAAACACTGTACCTTATATTCAATACTCATTATTAGCCTTTCATTACGTAATGAAAGGGTTTATTTTTGACTATTTGTGAGAGTTTTTGTGATGGGGGATTCTTAACCATAAACAGGGAAATTATTTTTTGCAAATGAAACAGACAAACTGAAAGAGGAGCCTCGGTGATGGACATACACTAATGTCCGCAAATGAATAGAGCTTTTTCAAACTGCTATATATCTGCTTCAGGAAAAGAAAATAATTCACTTATGCTTATTATTTTGTATTTCCAAAATAAAGCAGTAAGGTTGTCACATTTGCAAATACTTACGTCACAGAGTATTTTTTAATTTGACTTTTTCTGCTTGTTATGCCTATCATAAAAGCATCACTTTGTAAATATAAAGATGAGTGGAAAAACATAATTTTAACTCCAAGGAACTGTTAATAAAGCCATGTTTGAATCCCACTTAAAAATATAACCTTGTCCTTCAGAAAGACTGCAACAACTGACGTGTGTTTTTCACCTTCGGGCAAATAATGCCAAAGGAAGAATGTTTATGGCAGTTGCTGCTTCCTCCTCACACATCCCTTTCGGATGGAGGAGCAAAGCGGACTCCCATCTTCCTCAGTAATTGATGTTTTTGAACAAATCCCCCCCTCATGCTCGAGAGAAGTTGAAAAATTACAAATAGTACAAGGCTGAGATATAAATGTGCAGCATTCCAGTTTAAATGTTTGCAAATCTCCTTCATACCACAGCTTCTCCTGAAGGCTACTGCCGTATTCAACTCACCTGGTAAAACAAGCATTAGAGAAGGAGGAACATTTAGTATTTTAGCTTTCATATCCCTTGTTAAATAATGGAAAAGACAAGTCCCTTATTTGCTACCTTGAGGATATGTCCATTTTCTTCTACTGAAAACGACACTCAAATCTCAAACTAGGCAGTATGCCAACAGCGTGGCTCAAGGGTTCAAGTTCAAGTCCACCCCTTTGGTCCAGACTGAAATATCTCAACTATTGAATGGACTGCCATGAATTGATTGATTTGACACAGACACTGATGTTCCCCTGTGGATGAATTCTAAAAAACTTTGGTTATGCCTTTACTTTTCATGCAGCACCATGGTTGGGTCAGAATCTTAATTTATTCACTTCTTTAATGAATTTTTCCTCTCGGTGACCATAAATGTCCCATCACCTGGAAATCTATTGAAATTCCCATCAGCCTCAGCTGTACTTTGTGTTTATTGCTAATTTCTAAATGTTCCCATGATTACACGCTATGTGACGGTGGTAAAAGTGGTAATCATTAAACCAGCTAAAAATCAAGTTAGCCTCGTCTCAAAGCCTCAAAGAGCAGCTAGTGTGGCTGTAAAGTCGTGTTGATAATATAAACTAAAGATAATAATTATTGTTTGTTGGAGAATATGCCGGGGGTAGACTGTAAACACTATTTTAAATGCCAGCAAATGTGCCCTTTTGCTCAAAAGGCTAACGCTTAACTGCAACTGAAACGCGCAGTCCAATAAGGACTGATCAGAATATAGAAGGAAAATATCTATTTCACCCAGTTGCTTTTAACAGATAAAATGATACTGCATCTTTGGTCAACAAGTCCACTCCTCTCTCCGTACAAAGAGTTGATCTATGACTCAGCTGTGACCTCCACAAAAATACAAAAAAAAAAAAAAAAGAAACCCTGGAGACAACAACATGAAATATGGAGGGTGAACAACAAGAGAGTCTGGACATCAAAAAGCAAACCTGACATCACTTTGATGCATCACACCTTGTTAAGAACTTTGGCTGTTGAAGGGAACCGGTGGATTTTCAATTACAGTTCAGCCTTTCTAACCACTCGACACCTCTGCCAGGCAACATGTTGTTACCTGACAAATACGTTCTCAGAATGAGTGTTTAGAAAGATAGATGTCAGCTACAACGGTTCAGCTTCTTACTATTCGAGTCACGAGGTGAGAAATGAAGTGGGTGTGCCTGTTCCTTCTTTACTGGGCCTTTGTGGAGCTCTCTGGTCAAGTGGCTTGTTAAAGGGCAAGGCTGGCGCTGGCTCGCCAACTGGGGGCAGGGCTGAATAAAAACGTGCTCTTATAAAGGTAGTGAGCATCAGGTAGCTAACAGTGTACTTGAAGGGAATGGAGGAGGGAAGGAGCTGACAGAAATGACTGAAAATGGTTAATGTGAGGGCTCAGGCTTGAAGGATTGGAGAATCAAAGTGTTTACTGGTGAAGGAGAGGGGTGTTACTCACCACCTGAGTGGGCTTGAGCGATTCGCCGTCAAAGTGTGTGAGGCTGAAGCTGTCTTCTGGGAACCCGTCACAGTCCTCCAGCTCCTGAGAGTTACAAGGGGGCTTGTCCTTGTCAGGGTTTCCATTCTGGATTAAAAAAAAGAAGGGACAGGGGAAACCAGACAGAGGCTACCGTTACACTTGTTTTGCATTTATTTACATGTAAAAGGCTTGATTTGCACTGAGGGCCTCAAGTGGGCCCAGACGATACTAATGAAGCACCAGGCCGAGACAGGAAGTGCCTAAAAATGCTGTTGAACATGAGACTGAGAGTGACTCTGGTGACCGGCGTGTGATGATGTGTACAAGACGTCAGGAGGAAGAGGAGGGCTCAGAGGAGCTGAAGAGGGAAAGAACAGAGACAAGAAGCCTCGGAGGAGGGAGGGATGCTAAAAGCTAAAAGGGTGGACTTAAATAAAAAATGTATGGGAGGACATGAAAAAAAACCTCCTGAGAAAACAAACCAAAGATATGCTTCATGAAAGTTTTCGGTCTGAGGAATAATTTCAAACACATACTGATGATTGATTTAATACCGCAGTGATTCAACTACACATTTGTCAATGAGGTCGGGCACCATGGCAATACATACTGTGAAAATGAACTGAACTCCATTAACTGCCATATGGTTTAAACCAAGATATTGTGATGACCCCTCCCACTCTGGTGGTTCTGTGTATTTGTGGCAGGGGTGTGGCTATAAGATGAGCTACACCTGATTCCTCCCTGACTACAGGCCTTTATAGGGGGTTGATCGGTTAGTTATCTCTCTCTCCCTTGGCTTCCACTCTGTTTGGTTTGGTTGAATTTGTTTGTCTTAAGCTTAATTTCGCACTGGAGGCTTATGCTTCTCTGACTGTAGCGGAAAGTAAAAATGAGGATGTTGTTAAGACTGCAGTTTTGCGGGCATATGAGCTTTTTCCCGAAGTCTATCGGCAACGTTTTAGAGATGTGAGGAAGAAGGAACGTCAGACTCATGTTGAGTTTGTACGAGATTTGGTTCTACAGTTTAATCGCTGGTGTTCTGCATCATAAAGTTAATACTTTTAGAGAAGTTTGTGATCTAGTAGCACTGGAGCAGCTTAAAAATCGTGTGCCAGATAGTATTGCTACTTACTTTACTATATTGCAATATATACTGAGTAAGTATGATGAGATATGAAGACTTTACTTTACATGCCCGTAATTTCAGAATAATTTCTTTCTCTTCCTTTCCAAGTAAGAATTTTTCAAGTTTGTCCTGATTAAAAGGAAAATGGAGATAGTATTAAATCGGTACACTCCCATTGTAACCTAAAGAGCGTTTTAAGCAGTACAAAGGTCAGCTGAAGACAAAAAAATTAAAAATGTGTCTACAATCAAACACACAATTCGACAGTAATTGAGAATATAGTTTCCACCAATCATAAATATTTGTGCAGGTTAATTTCTTACATTCCTATTTCCGGTATAATTTGTACTAAATTACATAGCTCTTTCCACAAAACTTCCAAGGAAATCATTCATAGTTACAATAATTATTATATAATCATGTTAAATTATGGACGTGTAGAATAAAGCATTACTCAAAATATCATAGTTGCTATAAAATACAAAAAAAAAATTCTGATAAATACAAAAATATGATTGAAACCTCCAAAGAGTATTGAAAAATAACTTTCAGTTTCATTCAAATGCTCAACCATTTTTTAATCTTTCTGTCTCTGCACAAAAAACAGAGTATGTTAAGTATTGAAGTTATCAGCATAATATAAAGGGTGAGTCTACCAAGTCTTCAGCGGTGAGGTACGTCAGTCTCTCGTGGATGAGGGCGGCTTGCTCGTCACTCATCACGCACTCCCCTCTCCTGTCACCCATCACCAGCTCCGACCACATGGGTCCCTCACTGCGCTTCTGCAGGGTCACCTCCAGGCTAAGGACACATACAGATACAAAAAAATAAACACGTTGCTTCTCATTCAAAGTGCTGATGGATGATCAGTGAGTCATATATATGTAAATGATAAACCTTAGGTGCATGCAGACATGCAGCATCAGTACACTCACTTACTGATTTCCTAAATGTCACAATTGGCAAGCTGCTTCAAGCAACCAAAAGCCAAAAGCTTTGGTTCCACAACTTCGAGAAGTGCCTGAGAGCCTGATTTTTATGAACCACAGGATGAAAATGTACTTAAAATGAGAATGATGCAATCAACCAGTAAACATCCAATCAGGAGCAGTCTAGTGTGCTAAAATGCAGTCTTGATGAGAAAGGTCAGAGGAGAACTTGAAGAGTTATTCAGGCCGACGGGACTGTGGCCGATCTGGTTTTGACACTAATTATGTTCCTCAGTAGCAAGTGAGGGGTGTTTGAAGTTCAGCTGCAGAATAAATCAAGGAAGAGACACAAAAAAAAGAAAGAATTTTTAAATCACTATTATTTTATTTGAGAGGTAAAAGGCCAAAACCGTACTCTGTGCGTCTGCCCTCTGTACAATACAAAGTACAAAATAAAGGTTTTTGTACTGACATTTAGACTAAAATTGTGATACATCAAAATAAACTTTCGTCATATAGCCTTATTTTGAAATGAGTTAACAGAAGGATGCACAACTTGAATCTTTACTAAAATGTTATATAGTAAGATGTGTTCTTAATATACAACTTCCAGCTTTTACATCAAATATTTTGGGGGTTTGTGCTGTTGGACTGTTATAGATTTATAAATGCTGTTAAAGAACAAACAATAAACTGATTAATTAAAAGGAAATAACTGGCAGATGAATCTATAACAAATATAATCGTTAGGTGTTGTTGTTTCTACGTGGCTAATTTTAACATTAGGCCATTAAATAACAATGACAATAAACATTTCAGATGCTACTCATAGGCTGCAGCTGTTTAGTCTGCATAATGTTATTATGTCTTTCTACACATGAAATCTATACACTCAAACCTGTTTCACTGGAGGGCACACAGTGAATTCAATGCAAGGACAAGTGAGCCTTTTCATCAACAACTCTGTGTTTCACTAAATTATGGCAATGAAGATCAGTCTTGGATGGATTCAAATATTTTTTTTTTAATAAATTAGAATAAAATTAGAATAATATTGTCTATAATATTGTCTTTCTTGTTATACATATGTTTGCATATGTGCATTTTGCCCGAGGCGGTTTTAATCTCACGTTTTCCTGTGGGCTTCTGTAAAGGTTCTAAGTATATTCAGTCACAGTGCACCATTTACTGTTTTCCATTAAGGGAGGCGAGCATAATGAACTAATGTATGTTTGTGCGTTTCCATGTTATTTGAATGTATCATGTCCTCCCCCAACTGAATAGGGCTGAATGATGAAAAGGAAAACTGTAACAGTAACTGTATCACAGCGTGCAAGGTCACATGTGCAAACTATCAGGAGCATGTGATCTGACATTTTGGAGTTTAGGTACGTTTACTGTATCATTTAGTCTAATTTAACTGTAATAAACACTTTTAATATATGGTATTTTTTTCTTTGTCTTTAGTTTTGACTTCTCTGTATCTCCCTCTTTCCAGTCTTAACTTCTTTTATAGCTTCACTCTAAATTTAAAAGAGTTCTTTGTTGGCCATAAAATGGTCCAGGAACACGACGGTGAGCCTTGGAACCAGTTTTGTCCAATTTAGGATTGGACTTTTCATCAAATCCCGTATCAAATTTAATTAGGTTTCAACATTTGCAAGTAACTAAAATTATAAATAACTAAAACAAACTTACCAACTTTAGATTTTAGTGGCAGCTTCATGTTCACAACCTGTTCCCCCCCCTGAAGTTGAATTACTTTGGGTTTCAGTTCTATCAACAATATCATTCTGGAGGAAAATCATTAATTCCCTCCGATTTTAATCATTTTCTAGCCATAAAATGAGGTAACCTTCTACTTCAATGTGACATGCTGAGCACATGTCGCAGCTTCTAAGAATATGAACATGGGCCTTCAAAAACATGTATCATTCATTCATTCATTCATCTCTATTATACTGCTGGATGTCACAAAACAGGTCTATATTTGGACAACAATGAGAAGATATAAAAGAGACACAAAGGGCAGCTTCTTAATTCAGGAGAGCCGGTGCTCAGCTGTTAGTCTATGAAGAGCATAACTCATTGGTATGGAAAAACATGCTCAATACGAACAATAAGGAGTCTTTTCTGTAAGTATTTACATTGTAAAAGGCCATCCAGATGCAGTCTGCATGCATACACACACACAGACAAACATACATGCTAGATTTACTCTTTGTGGAAACAGCTATTATATTTTTTGTTTGGCTACCATAATATAATTTGTATATCTATGGGAAAACACAGTCATCATGTAGAAAGAAGGTGTGATTTTCTGAGATATTCACAGCTTTAAAGGGCATCTAGAAGCATACAGCAGTCTGGCACAGTATGGAATTATAACCCAGCAAACGCCAAATGATGGATGAAAAACTAAATCAAACTTGCAGGATAAACACTCATGTCTACCTCTCATCCGGACCACATTATTTTTAGATTTTTCTTTCTGAGCAAAAGACACAGCCAGACAGACGCAGGCATAGTCTCTCTCCCTGTTTCTCTCTCACACACACACACACACACACACACACACACACACACACACACACACACACACACACACACACACAAGCCTTTAAACTCAAGGATTACCAGAAAACTAACAAATAGGCTATATAACATGCTTTTACAGTGAATGGAGCATTGTATTAAAGAAACAGGAAGCAGAGATGGAGCACTGAATGAGGCACAGATAAAAAGGACTTCAAGTGGCGGATATGACTCAAATCATATTGACTACTGCATTCATAAATCCAATGCTTATGAAATGTATTCAACCCCCTTTGTCTTTTATATGTTTTATTATTTTGAAACACTGGGCTGGTCCCGTGTTCCACAACCAGGACAACATCCCGGGCCTCTGGTGTTCAACAGTCGCACTAACTTCCAGTTCCAGTTCTACGATGTACCGCAGTAATTGGAGCAGGTCCTTCTGTGACGTTTTTAAAAATGTGAACCACCGCTTCATCTGGAAGTCCACAGGCACTGTCCCAAAACTACATGCCGCATTAAAGAGGAGTGTGAACTAACCAAAAATCTTGGGGTGAATCTCATCCTACCCTGGCGCCTTGCCACCACAGAGCTTTTTAATATCACAATGACCACTGCCAGGGAGGTGGGCAAAGCGTTGTCCTAAAGGAGCGGTCTGACTGGATTTTGATCCCCATTCCTTTCTAGAAAGAAATGAAGAATGGAGTGAGACGCAACCACTTCCAACCCCCGAGTGTAGAGTTCAACCTGATTGAAATTTTGAAAAGCGAGGCTCTCCAATGTCCCTCCAGTTTGAGAGTGGGAGAGAGATTGACTACTCATCCAGGAAATATTGATTGCATTCTCATTTTTATGAACTGCATGGCAGAAGAACACAAGCAGTGTTGCCAATGTGCCACGATGCACCTGTGACCGCAACAAAAAAAAGTGATGTCACAGGGTCCCTTGTGTACACCTGTACATCACTGTAACAAGGATGGTGCCAGGCTACTATGTTGTAAGTGTTTGATGAGAAGCTGTATAATGTACAGCACTATTGTAAATTAAGACGCTAGCCATGCTAACTCCTGCAGTTTATATATTCATGCTATTTCTTGTGCTGCCTTGCTTTTGGCCACACCATGGGAGTACACTGCTCCAGGCGAAATCTTTTCCGAATGTACCTCAAGCCTTCCGACTCTGACTTCTCTAAACAGGTCATGTAAGTTGGTTACAGAAGTTTCAAAAGTTCTCCCTTTCCTGACCAACCATATCCCCGGACAAGGTCAGCAGTTCTCCTCCCCTGTTGAAAACAGCCGGAGCGAGTTTCTGCTTTCCCTTCCCGAGATGTCTGATATTTGCCTGAGTGCTCTACTCCCGAAGCCTGGCTACAGGAGGCTGTGTCCCAGTCTCCTATTCCAGGCGAGGTGACTCTTTTCAGTAGTGTTGATTTAATGTGTAAGGCTTCTTGAATTGCTCTGGGTCTGGCTCATTACCTGGGGCCAATTTGCCTTGAGAGACCCTAAGACGACAGCGCGACCAGGGTCACGGGGACACGCAATAAGGTGGCAATTTACAGACGGGTTCTGTTGTTTAGTGTCAAGAACAATCCTAGCTTCACACCATGTGACTGAGTGTGGTAAAAAAAGAAATCATGAAAATATTAACCCCTGAAAGGCAGCTGAATACTTTTTTTCTGGGCAATGAATAAATCAACTGGAGTACTCGATGCTTTGCACAGTGTCAAACATTTTCCATTTCATACTTTGACACCTTTTGAAGACCTGAATTTCTGGACTATATATTTAGCCCTACAGCGGTATAGATGAAGATGAACTAATCTGACTTGAGATCCAAGCTCATAACAAGTCTCACATCTCTTAAAGCCCTGGAATGGTGCATGAATACTGCACATGGTGAATATTCCATACATTCATACAGATGTGAAGTAATTCTCTCTTCTGAGATTCCTGAGGCTACGTGAGATCTATGGTTTTGATATGGGGTCGTTAAAGAACATACAAGAGAACAGGACTGGAGATGGAAACTGTTCCTTGGAGCAAATCAAAGAACAATTCAGAAACAAACCTTTTGTCATTTTTGATGATCCAAGCGCTGGCCTCAGTGTCTACAGATGCATATAGCTGGCCTTCCAGTAAAGGAGGGAATCCCTGAACTCCAAGTCTAATGTTGTCTGCTGTCAGCCTGAACTGCACCTCCTCTTTGGTAACACCCTCGGGCATGCGCACACACACTGTGATGTCCTCAGCTGTCTGCTGCCAGAAGTAAATGGGATCTGAATTCAAACGGGAGAGAAATGTATGGCGCTTAAGTTAATGACAGTCCTGGGCCAGCTGTTAGAGAGTCATACATAAAACATCTAATATAGTGCAGGAATTGAAGGGAATTACTGTTGAATATTCAGTGACAATGCAGATGGAAGACTATTAAAATAAATTGATTATTATATTGCAAGGGAGGACTATGAGGACCAAGCTCAAAGTGAAGCCATTAAGACAATTCTCCTGCACAGTTTGCCATTTTAACCAATGGTGTTGCACAGAAATCAGAATCAGACCCCTAAACCTTTGTTCTGCTACTGGTAGTAATTAAAATATTGTTTTATTTTCAGATTTAGCAGATTACTGTACACAAAGCACTTAATTAAACATTAAATGTCAAATGTATGAGAATTAGTTCCAATAACAAGAATCAATTTTGCATAATTAACAAAACTGTGAAAATAACACCACGTATTAGTTATAGAGGACGGTTCAAATCAATGTTTTTCCATGATTAGGTCTCAATTCTGCACACTGAATATCAACTCCTAGAGGATTTTCATGGAATAGATCGTTTAAGAAGCAACATTAATAATGACGTATTTGCCCTTTTCTGGTATTAAAGCCCAGAAACAAATGTCAAAACTGAAGTACTTCTTTATAACATTAAATATTTATTACTAAATAGGCAACAAAAAAACAAATCAATTAAGTTTAACACAGAGAAACTTCTTTACCGGGGACTGTGTGGGTGTGGTTTGATCAGATTTGCTCGATAGTGTCTTGGCAACATAAGCAAACAACCTTGAATCATAAGAGCAGCGTTCAGATAGAAAGTGATGTGAATTTCCGCCTTGTGTCGTTCACGCAAATTTGCCCGCCAGTTTATTTGGCCCAAATGATTGATTACCTCTGCTAAGAATAGATCTGAGATCCTGTTTATGTGCTGGTGAGAATGAAATCTCAAAACCCTGTTGACAGATCTCAATTAAATTTAGTGCAATGTCAGGCCAGCGGCCAAGGAACAGGTTAGCTGGATTTGGTGCGGATCCAAGCAAAGTGCTGATTCGGGATTCTTTTAAAAAGGTTACTCAATATTGCGATGGTAAATAAGGCTTTTTCCTCATGACCTGCTGCTCTTACTGGAGTAAAAAAAAATCTGGCACGTGTATTCATGATTGTCCATCAGTAATATATACAGACTGTGTTTGTGTTCAGATCCAGGTTGGAGAAGGTATGCTGTCTCTGAGTTTGAGCTGTGAAATTAATATCTAATAAGCATTAACAACAGTGTAATCGGTTACGGTTATTCTTTATGACAGAACGCTGAATATGTTCCGGCTTTGGCACTCAACTACTTCCTCTACAGACCCTTTTCACAAACACCACGGCTGCATTTCCGCTTCTTCTTAACACGGAGCAAATCTGTTCTCACCATTGCCCACAGTGTTTAGAAGCCAACTCTCTGTTGCCTCTGACTCAGCAGCTCCACTGGCCTGTTAGCATTCTGTGATCTGAAATCAAATTATTTTTTCTAGTTTTTCCAACGACACCTATAGTGTGTGGTATAGTGTGTGGTGCGCTATAATGAAACAAAAAATAAGTCACCGAGAAGGTTGTCTTCTGAATACTGACAGCGATGGTGGGAACAGATGAAGCGGAAGTCAGCAGGCCATGTTTGTTAAAATCCTTGCTGGAAAATGCACGAACAGCAGGCCTCGTGTCCTTCTTAACGTCTCTCCAACGGTCCACAGATGCTTAATAAAAATGACTTTGGCTGCCAAGCACATAATCATAAATGGAGCGAACAATCCCATCACAAAACTGATGGCGGAAACAATTCTGCAGCCTCGTGTTTGAATCACATTTTCAAGAAGGACTCCTACGTTGTTCACTGATGAATAAAGTCTCTTTTGAATCATTCTTTCAGGAACAAAGTCCTTTTCATCTGTTGGTGATTAGAAGGGAGATTCATTCATTATTTTCTTTCAGGCTACAGTTTTTTTCTCCCCTTTTTTCTAAGTCCTTGCTTCAGGTGAAAAGGTTTCCTCCTTCCAGTAATGTAGCTGCTAAGATTTTACAAAAGGAGCAAAATACAGTGATCCATCACTCAACAGTTCACCTTATCTCAGGTGGGAGACAAGAATCCAAGTTTAATTCAAAAATACAGCTTAGTTTAGTGTTTCTCAACAATTTTACACTACGTACAACCTCAGAAACTACTGTCATTATTATCTATTCAGCTACAAACAGTTCACACAGGAGGCAGGTTTATTCACGTGTTGTTGAATCCTGAATGGAACCGGTGCAAGAACCAGATTGGTGAAAAAAAGGGGGTCCTCCTGGTCCACACTTCTCTTCCTAATAGTTCCTGTTTGGAGGCACGATTCCAGTGTTTTTGAAACATCCATTTTACTTATTACTATCTTGCCATCACAATTTATCTAATATGTCATGTTTGTGTACATGCTCTACGTGCATGTAGTAAGTTGATATTGAAACTAAATATTACAAAAAATGCAAAACTTAGTTTAAATTACATTTTCAGCAATCTATCTTATTTTATTAAAAGTTTAGTTGTACTTCTCCTCTGCATTTCAGAGGGAACTTTACTTTTTACTGCACTACATTTATCTGACAGCTATAGTTAATAATTACTTTACAAATGAAGATTTTACATAAAAACATATGTTACATTTATAAAATACATCATGTCAAAAAAAATAAAACCATTGGTTTACAGCTTTTGTTTTTGCTTCTTAGCACTTTCTGTAGACGGGGCCTCTTGTCACATTTCTGAGTTGTTAGCAGTTCCACCAAAGACCACCACTGATTTCACCAACAGGGTTAATTTAAACTTTTTTGCGACTCAAATAGGTAAAGTAATGTTTTTTTTGCCTTTTTCCTGCCGAATTACACATCTAAGATTTATCTGGTGACCCTTTTTACATTTTTTTATTTTTACATGGTTGTATTATACTTGAGTGGAGGGTGATTATTCTTAGTTTTTGGTTTAGAAAATATTAATATTCCTTAAACAGGAAGAACTACAGCAAAGTAAATTAGACGACAAGTTACAAGTGTGTTTCTGTTAAAATACAACTATGGGTATTGAGGACAGGTACAAAACCAGTACTGGTTCCTGGTCAGTAGTGAAATATCAATAAGCTCCTGGACAAATGATACTGCTGTCAGTATTCATGTAACGTTAAATAAACAGCTGACAGGGCAGGACGTTCAAAAGCGTGAGGAGACTTAACTAAATTGAACAAAAATGCAGCTGAATGTACTGACTACAAAGTAATAAAATGTAAGTTGAACCATTTCATGTCACGGCTTTATTTAATGCACCAAATTATGGCGAGTAGCATCAATAAGAGTATCACTTAGTATCGGTATCAATAAAATCTTAACAATATCCATCCCTACAAAGGAACTATGGAGGATATTTAGATAAAGACATAAAGAAAATGTCAACCCGACCTGAATTATCTGATTCATACACAGACATCTCTGTGCCAATTTTCTGATATACAGTACAACACTCCTATAGAGAGAATCATGTGCCAGAACTGTCACATACAACACTCTGTGATTACTGGCAAAGCCTGAACACTGAAATTGGTCCAATTATGATGCTCCGAACCAACAGATCTGCTCCATATCTGGCAGGGATGTGAGGAACTGAGACATGTTCATTATCACCTTTTGTTGTCGACTGAATCAACAAAGAAACTAATGAGAAAGAGAGAAGGTGAGCTGCCAAATCTTTCATTTCCCAATCTTCTCCCTACCTCCATTTGAACTTCTGTGTTGGCCAAACTGCTGAACAAACACATATAATGCCAAACCTGCATCCACAGCAAACTGAACATTTAGAAACTATCCACTTACATAAACAATCTACAGTCACACTTTTGGAATATATTTATTTATAACAGTTTTTTGGCTTTTCCAACCATTCATTTGAACATTTTCTGTATCTATACAGTATCTATACTACAGTATATGTATGCATCTGCACCCTGTTCTCCCCCAGCACACCATTAAGTCACATTCAACTCTCCCGCCCCCTTTGCATTTCCCTCTCTCATCACTTACAAGGCTGTTTGAAGATGCCCCCTCTCTTGACATCTAATCCCCTTCCTCCTCTCCCAAAAGGAGAAAGGCAGAGTGCTGATAAAAGGATTGGCTAAAAAGCTGCTATTATTCTGCTTCTGCACCATACACAAACACACACACATACACACCTACCTACACACACAGCCCTGTCTGTGGCACCCAAGGGTTTTTATATCTTTTAAAAAAAGAGGGTGGCTGCTGTTTAGAGGTTGTGAGTATAACTGAGAGTAAAAGCAGGAAAATGAATAAAAAACAGCTGGATGTGAATGTTTGTTTCAGTTCAGACACAATGTTTTGTGAGTTTACAAAAAGTTCTGGTTAACCCCACGTACCAGCATCTCTAAGGCTCATTATTATTACCAGTATATTTTGGTTGTTCGATCCATACAAAAACCAAAGTGTAAAAACCACTGTATCATCTGTCAGACTATTTATTGGTCAGGTGACTTCCTGTTTTTGAGAGTGGCATCAGTCTTCTTGTCTAACTCTCTGTAAGAAAGAGAAAAAGCAATTTTCCCAAAATGTCAAACTTTTCCTTTAATTGATTAGAAGTAAATGACTGCCAATTTGATCGTTGTTTAACAGTCATTTAACGAGTATGACTAACAAATACTTCTTTGTTTCAGTCTCTAAAATGTGCGAATCTGCTAGTTTTCACACAATTTATCTTTTTTTTTTTTTTTTTTACATTTTTTGATTAATTAACAACATTTATCAATTGCAGGCCTAAACATAAATCCCCCATTCTCACTCTTTCACTCACTAAACTAACCAGACACTTCGATCCGTCACTGCTGGTGAGGGAATAAAATGATGCTGTGGTTGTTTCACAGACACATAACGTCTATAGGAGCAGTAATAAATATATCTATGTACACAGACGACCAGATCTGACCCAGGTCTGATTGCAAATATTCTGCTGCCTGCTCAGGCGTTTCTATGACTACAATCCAACTACTCCGTTTTTGCCTCTCAAAGGTAATGAGCGGAGGAAGTGAACGTGTGATGAATCTTAACCGGAAACAGTCTCATCACAGAAATGCCAACAAATGAGTGGTGCAGCGATGTCATATCTTTTCAGGGAGGGAGGCAGGACAGCAGCTCCGAGACCCAGATGATGTTTGTGTTTCACTTTGTTTCAACAGTTTTACAGACAGGCCGGTTCGCTCTCTGGCCAGTTTCAGACTGCGATCTTAACAAGAAAAAAAAATACATAAATAAATAAATAAAGATGGCACTTTCTCACTATAAATATGATCCATGCCAAAGCATGTCAAAACCCCTTTTAGTGTTTTCTCAAACTCTCAAACATGAGAGTGTCAAGTCTTCAGATGTGACATCACAACTTTTTGTAAATCAGTTCTGTACTCAAATACAGAAAGCCTCTGAATTTAATGGTGCAGGGCTCTGCAACCTTTACTATCAGAAGAGCCACTTTTGGATGAGAAAAAAAAAAAATATCTGGAGGCACAAAACATATCTGAGCCGTGTAATTCGTCTCAAATTCAAGCATATCAAGCACACTGGTAAGACAGCAGCATGGGAGATGAAAGCAAACAAGTCTTTCAGCGCACTACTAAACTCTCTGTTTACCTTTTTTTACATAGCTAGACTAGCTACGGAGACTCAAGACTAGTAGCCACCGCTATTGAGGTTTGGCAAAATAAAGAGGAAAAGGCACCAGGTCAGGAGGTAACGTTTAAAATTCTTAATTATTTGATTTATTAAAAATGTTGAAATATAATCATTATTCATTTCTATAATAGTCGTACTGAGGTAAAGACCTAAAGACTTGTGCATTGTAATAATAAGCACTTGCATGTACAGTACAGTAGTGTATGTATAAGAGTTCACCTAAACACAGATGTGTGTGACAGACTTCTTATTGGTTTGCATTCCTTATGTGTCAAGAGGACGGTGTGCCGATACTTGTTGGTATATTTGTATCATATAGAACCATATTTATTAAAAGTGTAATGTGAAAAAGGTTGCTCATAGCGACGACCGCAGCAGGCAGATGTTTACAGCAAAGAAAACAGTGTTTAACAGAATATACACTACCTACACAACACCAGATACTAGACTGACAAAGTTAGCAACTAGTTGGGGAGGGATGTGGAGCACTTAGCAGCATAAAGTCCAGATATTTCTCCAAGGAGTTGGTGGAGACCATGATAGAGCTACAAGGAGAGTAAATAATGGATAGATGGATGATTGCTCAGCGTCTGTAAATAGGCAACAGATTGGAAACAAGTGCCAATAAGAACTTTATAAAGTGATATTATGTCGGGGCTGTGTGCTTTCACTTTGTTGTGGAGACCCTCTCACCCCATTTGCCAAAACAGAATTACTGCAGCTTTAAAATGACTAAGCTTGAGCCAGAGTGTTTTTACCCGCTAGCTGCAGATGATGGTATTTTACCGCAGTATACCATCCACTTTGGAAAATGACAGGTAGTGGCATGGCTAAATAATGTTTTTTTAAAGGGTCAAAATACCCCGTAGAGTTGTGATGTAAAATAGAGAAACCCCTAACCACGGTAATAACTTTGTTTGTGTGCTGGCAGATCTCTCCGCAGCACCTCTGACCCACCTGTCTTCTCCACCTCCATAGGCTCCGGGTCAGGCAGCTCCACAGGACGACCGTCCACATGTGTGAAGACGAACGGTTTCTCCGAGGCCACCATCAGCCCCTTCCCCTGCGGCTCCACCGCTGCGTAGTGAGGCACCGACTTCCCCCTGAGGACCCTCCTCTTCGTCGTCTCATACTTCTTCTCCTGACCTGCATGTCATAAAAAGGTGTAAAGTAATCTTGTCTTCCATTAAACTCTGACAGAGACCAAGAGGCACTGTATTATCAACGTGAGCTATGTAGAAAGCTCGGGTTATTTTACTGAACTCCCAGTGCACAATGAGTTCAAGTCGCTTTCATCAGGATGAAGGTTTTACCTCCCCAGAGGAATATTCAGTTTTTTTATTCCATCTGCTATCAGCTCTTTGAACAAAATGCAACTGTTCTGAACCCCTGAAAGTAAAGATGGTGAGTCCTGGTTCCTTTTGTTGTTGGTTAGATTTTTTTGATGCAATTAACTTTTGTATAATGTGCATTTTTCCATACTTGTCACTATTGTTTCATTTATTGTTGTGTGTTTTCCTATTTATTCATCATTTGACAACTAACAATAAATCAAACTGTGCTTTCTAACCTCCCTGTCATCCACTTATTATTACAATATCTCGAACTTAAGAAACCTTTAAGCAGAGAATCATAAGGGAAAGAATAAGGAAGAAGTAAAACATTACAATGCTCTATACTGCAGTAAATCTCCTGCTGTTATGTTTCACATGAGATTTGATTCAATTAATAATTAGTTTGTACCTGACAATCACTTAAATAATCCATCAATTATTAAAATGACCACTAATTCATTTTCTAACCATTTACTAATCAATTATTCAGCTATTTCTTTTAGTACTTCTTCATATTTCACATTTTTAGTGATTGTAGCTTAAAAGTCTTTCAATGCTGAGTCTTATTATTTCATTTTTATAAATTATAGTAAAAGAAAATATGACAGATGTTATATAGTCCCCCAAAAGATAGCACAATATGTTTATACTTACACATTTTTTTACGTTTATCAGCTTCAAATGGATTTGTGTTCGTCTCTTCATCTGAATTTTATCAAAATAAAACATGAATATTGAGGGAAAATGAGGCATTAACAATTTATAACACAGACTGTATCTTTTTTATTTTAGATAGTGAATGCCACATACTTTCCATGGCAGGCTCTCTTAAAGTGAGACAATATATTTTACTTCATACAAATATTCACAGAGTCCCTTTAGAGCTCAGTGTAACGGTAAGTGAGGAACCTTCGATAGAATCACAGATTAAAGCCTTTGTTTGCAAATATTGAGTAACTAATCCCTTAAGAATACTCTACATAGGCATATTGAGAATCTTGATTGATTTTTGTTCTCTACAGCGACATTCGCTCCATTCTCACTGATAAAAACTGTAAAACTAGATTAAAAGTGAAGACCGGGCACAGCTGATTATCAAAATGTAAATTTAGACAAACACTGAGACGCTAAACAAAACAACAAAAGATTATTCTTGAGCTCGGAGATATCAAAGGGCTGAATCTTTAAATCCAAATAAATGAGGAAGCCACTCTCCAAAAGGCTGCTTCTGGTTTTTTTTTTGTCTTTCCAATCTTTGAATCATTAGTCGGGGTGTCTTTCTTTTTCAGCAAGTGCCAGGAACTTTAATGAAAATCCTTCTTGCCAATGTTTGCTTCAGAGTACAGTAATCTCATCTGGGACAAAATAATTAAACTCAATTAATGGCAAACTATGACTAACTTCCCAGTATGGTTTAATTAACGAGGATTTCTGGCATCTACCGGGTCTGAATACTGTAAAAATGAAACATGAAAAGGAAATGACAGGCTTTAGATTCTAATTCAAACCTAATTATGTATGGCACGCTTGCTTTATCTAACTTCATGCTCAATTACCCAAACTCTGAGAGCTCAGTGCGCCACCCACCATGTCCTGCAGTGTTGGCAACTGTGATCCACTCAAGAGACACAGAGTATCCACTTCCTTTGGTTTCCTGCGGGTCTTTTTGGATGCGGAGCAGCAGGACCTCCATGGTGTGGACTCCAGCCTGGACATGTGAGATGCTGTGGAGGATGGTGAAAGGCTCTCCCATGTCTTCACTGAAGAGTGGCTACAAGCACAGAATCACATAATAATATTATAATGGGACACAAGTCGACAGCGGGCAAAATCCGTTGGCCGGCATTAATAAATCTTTTTTTGGTAAAAGTAAATGCCAGATTTGGTCATCTGCAACAGATTAATATAACATTAATGGTCATTTAACTGATAGCAAGAGCACAAGAGTACTGACTAGAGCTGAACGATTAACTAGGCATTGATGAGTCAATGAACATCGAACTAATTGCCAACAATTCCAACAAGTGATTAACAATTTAAGCAAATTATCAAGCAAAAACGTCATTAAATCATCAGTGATTAGTTCCAGTTTCTCAAATGTGATACTTTTCTCTGTTTTATACGACTGTAATCTGAATATCTTCTTGAATGGTTGGTGAAAACAGAAAATATATCAACATTTGAAGATGTCACCTTGAAACAAACTAAATTTGGTTTTGATAACTGATCAATATTTTGTGATATTTTAAAGCATACTCAATTATTCATAATTATACAGGAAAACAAATAACAAAAATAATCATTAGTTGCAGCCCTACAGCTTTTATTTATATATCTCTTAAAACTTGACGAGTTAGCTTTACTTTCACTAGAAGCCGTAACCTTCCTTCATTTGGAATTAATAAAAAAAAAAAAACGGGCTATTCAGAGTGAGCGATAATAGCTAACCACTGTGTCAGGGTTTCTTACAGTGTTTTATAGCAGCCGTGGGTCACCTCAAAATGAAGACCACCTCTGTTTACATCTTGTGAATTAAATAGAATTATAAGATATAAATCTTTACGGAAAAGAGCTGAAGTGCTATTTCACACAGCAAGTTAAAGAATTTGAAATTTGACAATAAAAGTACATAGATGCAACTGAGCGAGAAACACCTCAAACACAAAGAAACAGATTGGTAAAAAGGCTTCCCACGCAGCTCTTACTCTGACCTTTGATCCTCAAGGGGGCGCTACACACAAGTTCTTTATTTGTCATGTGCACAGAGATTACAGTCAAGCAATTGTTGGCAATGATGTTCTTGTTGTCAGGCTCGCTCCAACAATACCCAGTGGAATCACACAGGTAACGTTAGAGATGAGGAAATAAAAGTGAAAAGACATTAATAGTGCTCATATAAGGTAAAGTGAACATTTTGGTGCAAGGGTGAGCTTGAGAGCTTGAGAGTTAAACAGTCTGGTGGCCTGCGGGATGAAGCGCTCCCTGAGCCTGATGGTGCGAGACCGGATGCAGCAGTACTCAGAGTATTTATACCCCCCGTGTCCAACAAAATTTCACATCTCTGTATCTGTAATGACTCTTCTAACTGCATATGTTTTGTTCTTTATATCAATCTTTTTATTTATTTATGTTGTGTGGTGAAGCCACAAGCCAAGTCTCCTCAGTAAGACAGTAAAATACAACAGAAATTAGTGCTTAGGAGAAGAGGTTTTGCCAAAACGTAGAAAGAGATTTACATCTGGCAGACTCCTTAATTAAAACCTAAAGTACGTAAGCAGAGAGGTGTTCACTGGGGATATTTAGGTTGGAGATTGGCCAGCTAAATATATAAAACTATAAACAAACTGAAATCAAATCACAAGATAATGCTTTATATTATATTATATTATATTATATTAACCGTTTCCCAAAGGCAACATTTAGCATTTGTAAGCAGTTTAGAGAAGGTGTCTGAATGAAAATATAGAATTGCCCCTTATTCAGTAATAAAAATGTGAATTTATCTTAAATAAACTATAAAAGGTTAATGGTTATAACGATTAAGTGCTGTATGCATGCTAATGTAGCTGTAAAAGATGCCTTAATAAGAAGCCACAACATTACTGGGTAACATCAAATGCATTTAAATGGTCCATACTATTTAGAAAGAAGATATTTGTCTTTATTTTATCAATAAAATGCTTATTCAAACTAGTATTTCTAAATCAGTGTCAACAGTTGTCTGGTTGAAGAAGGTGATGTGAAAGCTGGGACGCCGACTTTAATGTGACTGCATAATATATCCGGTATATGAGTCAGTTTATTACCGATATCCTTACAACACAGACAATATAGCTTCGCTGGCATCCCACGAATGCTGAAACTTAGAACATTGGAAGTTACAGACTCGAGGGCTTAAATCTTCATTACAAATTCCACTCTTGAACTTTGCTTTCAGAACCGCATCAAGTGTGCTTGTTCAGAGCGTGAACTCTCATTTGTAGATAATCCCAACTGCACGCCTGTTAACAGGATGAAGGGCACAAAGACCGGTCTTATCAAAGGCTTCATCCTTCACTACCGCAAGCCAATTTCCGAAGGCCAGCTAAGCTTTTTAAAACTGGTATGAAAGCTGCATAACAGTTCAAAAAATGCTTCATTTGACATGTTTCTATGCTGAATAACAGGACATGTCATCATGCAAGAGGACATTTATTTCTTCAATTTCAATTTCTAAACATGACTCATGGTTGTCTGGTTTGGTTCATTCTGATAAATATTTCTAACTTTAACATACGCTGTACATACCTTCCTTACAGCTGCTTTTTATTCTTGGATGATATGAATCTACAGTATAAGGCAAGTTAAAGAATAAATCCTAGGCTGGCCAATTTTATATATTTTTCCTGAAAGCCTAAAACCAACAGTGTGTTCGTGTCCGTGTCTCAAAATATTGTTGCCCTTTCTGTGGCACTCAGACCTCAAGCTCAGGTCACAAATATACAGTTTCTTTTTTTAACAACACTAGAACAGCTGGGCACTGTCGCTTTTTACCAAACTCCACTTAATCAGAAGTAAATATTGCATTTTCAGCTGTGGATTAATACATTGATGTGTCTTTAATCATTTTTATGGAACAGTGGAGCTCTATAGAACGGAGAAATTAAATATTTTAGGCTTTGGATACACAGACAGTACTCTTTATTATGATCAATACATTGTTGGTTTTGATCTTTAAATATCTTTCAACTATTTTACCGGCCGCCTAAAAAAATAACCAAATATCAAACGTTGGCTTGTCAAGAGCTGGACAGACAAAGTTATTTGTCACCGTCAGAATTTTATTTTATTTTTTTTTAATAACTTCTGCAATTCTGCTTCTGTGTGTGTGTGTGTGTGTGTGTTATTTAGTGACTCAACGATTATATCACCAGTTGTTGAGATATCTTTAGACACTCACTCTCCAGACATTCATCTCACAGATGTGAACAAATCACATTACAAGAAGTATAATTTGCCAATAAATAGTGGTGTCGAGTCGAAACAATGTGATGACAAAGCAGCGTTGTTGGTGATATACCTCCTCTTCAACAAACATTTGAGTTATTGTTTTTTAATTTTAACTATGTGAGTACATTCAATCAGTGTTGTTGCACTTCCATTTAGTCACTAATAGAGCCTTTGACCTTCACACAGACTGCGAAGACGTCTAGATTTTTGGAAAGACACAATATTGTTTGAAACTGTTTGTGTTTGTGTCTTACTTAAAGCAGTAACTCGAGCTGTTATACTCACTTCCCACTTGTTTTGGGAGCTGTCTCCCCTCTTGCCAGTGCGGAGAAGGTGCAGTCGGCCGGTGCCATCAGAGAGAGCCGCCCAGGTCGCTGAGGTGAGGCTGAGGGACGCACAGAGACGATCCTCACACTGGCTGGAGTCAGCAGTTATACGGTAGACCTCTCTGGGCTTCCCCAGGGCAGTGTCCTAGATCCATCCAACACAACAGACCCATCAGTAAGCATCAGTCAGTACAGCATCAGATGTAACGGTTTCTACATCAATGTAAGCTACAACTTATTTATTCACATCTGCAGAAGAAGTCTTTTTCACTAGAAAAGTGACTCAAAAGCCAATTTTATGTCGATAAACTAACAGAGTAATCGACTACTTGTCTCAATACTATGCTCTGAGAAAAGCATCAGAATGGTACAAAATTGATTGTCTCTACTTCATTGCAAGTTACAGTTCTACTGAGGAGAAGGTTGTTGAATAATGTAAAATGGGTCTTTACTGCTGCTACCAAACTATCAAATTATATCCTTTAAGCAGTCCAGTCCTCATGACTCATAAAGACACTTAACAACAAACGGCTTTGAACTACAGGAGAAGAGAAAGGTCACTGCTTTCATACTGAACGTGGCACTCTAATCCCATAAGCGATGCACATATGATATCAAAACAATGCAATAAAGCACAATTTCCATGGTAAAAGAAGGACTCAGAAACACACCTTCAACATAAAATCTGGATAGCAGGAAACAACGTGCGCTCATCGAGGAGAAACCAAGTTACCAACTGTCATGTGGCCGCTCATGTGACTTGGCTTCACATGTGATTCACCACTCTTAGAGCCTTATTAGTAATGGACAGATATGCCACCACATGAGCATCAATTACTCATTCTGTGAAAGTAACAGGTTTTCAAAAGGACTATGCAACAGCTGCCCTGTGGTTGCTATGGAGCGTGACACCGTGTATCATATCCCTACCTAATGCACGATGCACCTTTGAGATCGCTTTCTCCGGCATCCGTGTCGTTAATGCCCCCGAACAGAGGGGTGAATCACCTACGTACAATGTGCAAGAGTGACACTACCCTGCAAATGTACGTGAAACGTTTTCCAGGGACGATAATTATCGTGTGATGATTGTAATTAGAATTTGAGCAACACATTTTCATAAAGAGTCATTTAATTATGCGGCTGAAAGCCAGAAATACTGTCTCACAGGATTATGGTCTGATGATCATCCTTCTTCAGGCCGGTTTACATGTAAAAAACAACAACCAATTATCTCTAATCATGGTCAATAATGTCTTAGACATAAAAGGAGTCTCCGTTGAAAAGGTCACTGAGCTGATTTTGCTCCTTGTCTCAGCATCTTGGCATTAGGTATCACTACCTTGAGTCAATTATGTAATTACCACAAACATACAAGGGGCTCATCCAAGACATTACCCTCTGTGCTGATTCATTCGATGGGTGAAAAAATGGAATAAAAAGTTTTACTTTCCGCCAAAAACCGGCAACCCTTACCCCTCTGACCATCTGAAGCATCACAAACAACAGAACAGCAGGTTTAGGTTAATTATAATGACTCACATTAACATTGCAGCTTGTAAAATGTTAATATTGTGGAATTTTTGCATTTTTTTCTTGACACCACCTGCCAGAAATGCCTCGTTGCTGCTGTCACACAAGTATTTGGTCTCCACCTACTGGTGTGTCAGAAGCATTAAAGCACACAAACAATTCACAACATCAGAATCACAACTATTTCTATCTGGAAGGAGAAATATGCAGGAATTTGCCTCTTAGACATGTAGCGGTGGGGAAAACTAGGTGACAGTTAATACAAACAGCACATTTTAACCGCAGCACAAATACATAAATAGCTATCAGGGATGAACGAGGATTTTAAAAGCTTACCAGGGTGACGGTGAGACTGAGAACCCGTCCTTTGCAGTCCACAAACAGAACGCTGTCTTCATACCAGGGGTCTAGGTGGAGGTAATTGTACATGCCAAAAGCCCGCATATGTTCCAGGGTGTACTGAGTATCCTTCAACTTCACTTCCTCCACAGCTGCAGTACAGATGAAAAAGCAAAAAAGGTTTAATGACACACTTGACTCTATTTTTAAATCAGCTTTAAGAGTGAGATTTCTCAGTACCGGATTAATAGCAATTTTAAATGACTAATAAATGAAGCTTGTGAAATTTTTAACATATATGACATATATATAAAAAAAGGGTTTTAAAAGCAACTTAATTACGTTGAGAGAAGAAAAGGCTGACCTGTTGTATTGGGGTTCTTAAAAAAATGTGTTTCTGAATCCCTTCCTATCATTCTTTTATTTTCTAATTATAGATAGATAGATAGATAGATAGATAGTTTATTTATCCCGAGGGAAATTCAAGAAATATAGAAATTATATGTCTAGTTGAACCTTTGCTGTCATGTTTTCTCCACTTTTATCCAACATCGATTAGATTTTTTTTCGCTTTTTTTGTGTGTGATTTATTTATTGACACTTAATAACTTTCAGTAAACAATATATTGCAATTATTTTGACAGATATTAAGATATACGATTTGCAATTAGTGTGACAACGATCATTTCTTTATCAAACAAACATGTTTTCTTAAATCTGGAGAACAAGATTTGTAGTCCAGGACATCTCTTCATTACTGCAGTACTTCTATATAATAATGTTTTGTCACACATTTTACCTTTATTCAAAAAGTGCAGCTTCTGTGATTTGCATATTGGACTTGGCTGAATTGTGATTTTCGATAATATTTTGATTAATTGTGCAGCACTAACCCCAGCAATTAAAATATTGAATGCACAGCCTCCTTGTGCCTCTTTCACAAACTAAATCTGGCAACCAGCCCTTCTCTATTTTTTTTTTTTCTGGATTTAAATGTAATTTTGTGTTGTTTTTGATGGCGTGCGGTGAAGCCAATGATACTAATAATGACACTGTAAACGATAAAAGAATCCCCACTAACGCTGCTTCTAGTAGCCAGCTGCATAAATCCTCACTAACATCACTGTTATTCTGCAAAATATACAGTGAAAACAAACGTAATGTCATTTTCTGCTTACATGAGCCTTCTTGAACCTTTACTTTCACACCTTCTCCACTTTTATCCAACGTCAATTTGACTGAGACTTTTTTAACTTTGCTATTAGTGTGTGTGTGATGTATTCATTGGCACTGCAGACAAGTACAACTCACCACTATTGTGTGCAGCAAGTCATTCCAGCCTAAATGCAATTAAAATATTGAATGCACAGCCTCCTTGTGCCTCTATCACAAACTAAATCATGCAACCAGCCCCTGAATCTTGTGTGAACCCCCCACTAACTACTGCTCCCAGTAGCCAGCTGCATAAATAAAGCTGTGTTTGTATTTCTTACATTCATCCTTCATCAAGCAGCAGCAGTGGTGTGTCAGTGCTAGGCTACCACCCTTGCTAAGTGTACAGTTCCTCACCAGCGTCCAGCTCAACGTTGTACGTCGGTATGGCGTCCAGAGACAACCGGTAACTCTCAAAGTTTGGGTCGAGCAGCTCTCGGTTGACCTTCAGGGAGTAATTGGACGCAGCCATGTCTGTTTAAAAAGTGTCACTTCACTTATCTGAGGCAAGATGATGATGATGATGATAGAGAAGTCAGTGAGACACACGTTTCCTGTTGTTTGGGGGCGCACACGGAGACATTTTACAGCGGACACGACCGGCCCGAGTGCTCATGGGAGATTGAGTTTTTGTTTTTTCTCTCAAACTCTTTAATTAATGTTTTTATTTTTTTATTTTTATAGTCGTGCTAATAAAACTTATTCATGTGAAGATAGCGTGTCCTATCCGACCAGGTTTTATTTATTTTTATTTAATTTATTCATTTAATTTAAATTAATTTAAAAACCACCGCAGCCTGTATTATATTTTTAAATAAATAATAAAACATTTTTATATATAGACCCTCCCCCTTTTGCATTATTTTTGTCTTTTCTTTTATTATTTTTTATTTATTCTTCTTTTCTTTTATATATTTATTTTTTAGATTTATTTTGTTTCTTGTTTCTTTGATAGTTTATTTATTTATATTATTATATATAATATATATATATTTGTATATTTTTTTAAAAAATTTTTACACATTTGTATCCATGTAACTTTCTTTATTATGAGAAATAAATAGAAAAAAAGTTGCTGTGTTGTGTGAGACCAATTAACCGTCCGCCAAAGCGGAACCTTTAAGCTTCTCACGGTTTTCCACGGTGCGGTTTCCTGACCGAACTGTGTGTTCCCCGGCTAATCCATCTCGACAAAAGGCAACGTCTACCTGAGAGCTCGCAAACTATAAAGACATCTCAACACATTTACCCTCCTTTAAAAGCCCCGCTGAATGCAACCCGCTGTCTGTTGTATTTCCGGCCGATCATGAGCAAAGACTCGCAGATGAGGGCTGCAATAAACCAGAAGCTCATAGAAATGGGGGAACGGGAGCGGTAAGCAAGCCCATCCTCTCTTCTTCTCTTCAGGGATTTGATTGTGAAATAGGGTTTTTTTTTTTATGTGTGTGTGTGTGTGTGTGTGTGTGTGTGTGTGTGTGTGTGTGTGTGTGTGTGTGTGTGTGTCCGCAGGTTGAAAGAGTTGCTCAGGGCAAAGCTGGTGGAGTGTGGATGGAAGGATCAGCTGAAAGCACACTGCAAAGGTATTGTCTCTCTCTCTCTGGTGTGTGTGTGTGTGTGTGTGTGTGTGTGTGTGTGTGTGTGTGTGTGTGTTCTCTGAAGTCATTGTGATTGTTTTTGTTGTCCAGATGTGATCAAAGAGAAAGGTCTGGAGCATGTCACAGTGGAGGACCTGGTCACAGAAGTCACACCAAAGGGCAGAGGTACAGTTCATCACATACACAGCAGCAGCAGCAGCAGCAGCAGCGGGGGGGTAAGATAAGGTATGAAGAGCTTTATTAACCCCACCTAGAGAAATTAAGGTGTTAAGTATCAGTTTTAGGCAGTAACTCATTTAAATTACAGTAATAATAATAGTAAATAACTTCTAATACAGTAATAATATTACACTATATAATTAGTTTTGTTGGCACCTCCCTGCTGATTTAATCACATCCTTGGATTTATTGTTGTAATCGTGGAGGAAACCACTTCAGAAGATGGAAACACTGACAGTGAGTGTCTGTAAATATTCACATTACTTTGATTTTAACAAACAAAACTAGATTTTACTCGTCGGAAGTCTGAATTTTGTGGAAAATGAGCACAATTAGCAAACGTGTGGGGAGAAGTAGAAAAGTAATTTAACTACCGTAGTAGTGTAACTAAATACTGTGAGCGGGGAGTAATAAGTAAAGTAACAATATTACTTTTGAAAAGAGTAATAAGTAATAAAAAACATTTAGTTTTAACACTGATAAGTTCTATATACATAATGAACACAGACTTTATATACAGTTAAACATTTGAAAACTATAATTTAATAAATAATAAATCAATATTTACATTTTATGGAATAACAAACTGACTTTTTTAAACTTTAAAGCTGCTGAACGAGGAAACAACTGGAGGCTTTAAGAGGTTAAAACACAACCGACCGTCCTATTCAACCATTGATTATTGATTTTAAGGGAGTTGAAACTCTTCATTTCACGATTTAAAACATAAATGATGTCTCTTCTCAGCTCTAAACTGCAGATAGATCCAGTGCAACAACATCACAAACAAACCAAAAGTTTCACAATAATAATAATAATCTGTATTATTTTAATAATGTATTACTGTACTTTTTCTCTTGTGTCTCCCGTGCAGCACTCGTACCGGACAGCGTGAAGAAAGAGCTCCTGCAGAGAATCAGAGCGTTTCTAGCTCAACACGCCACCTTGTGAAAGAGATGATTCCCCGTCTAGACATTTTTTTTACTCGCCGTAGATCCACAATTTAAAATCCAAACTGATGTTTGTTCTCGTTGTGAGCGACGCTGAAGTGTTATTTTTTATTTTGTATTTTGTGTTTTCATATTGATTTTAGTTTGTTATGCAGCAGTTTTGGAAAAAAATGAATAAAGTCGTGCCTATTTTGGTCACTGGGGGTCCTGACTTTTTTCTTTAATATCATTTTAGTTTATTTCTTTTACATATTTATATATATATATATATATATTAGTCTTAATAATAATAATACCTCTGCTCTAGGGTATAGTTCTTATAGAGGATATAGAGCAATTACTAAAGATGCTTTAATTTACTTTAATTTCTTGTTCAAACAAAAAATGGAGACAGCTTTTCTTATCTGCCTCATATAAGAAAATATTTGTGTCTGAATACTTTAAATGTTTTTACAAAGTGCTGAATATGTGTGTTATTTAGTTCACTTACTGATAAACTGTACATTTGTAAATATATATATATGTATGTATTTCTATATGAGTGTTGGTGAATCAACCCCAATCACCAATCTTTCTTAAGATAGAAGTTATTTCCTGAATAAAAGCTGCTGCAGTTACACAATTTGCCCTTTCAGGAATTATATTTTGAGTTGTCTTCAGTGTCACTCAGAGGAAGTCGAGCCAGATGCTCCTCTTGCGTCACCGCCTCAACCCGCTGGACAACATACGTGTTCCTTTTTTGTGTCTTGATTACAGACTTCATGGAAAGAGCGTGTAAGTTAAATAATACTGTAAGTGACAGAGGTATTTTTTTTATTTTTAGACTGAGTTTTTCGTTTGGTGTGTGGGCAGAGTGAATATTGAGTTACTGTAAACAGTGAGCTTGTGTTTGATCGCTGTCAGTGCCTAGTGGGAACTTGCTCATGCAGAGTCCTGGTCTTAACACCACTGAAAGAATGAACTCACTCACTTTAACACTAAACCCTGAAGTTTTGGTGTCACAAAACTTTTATCCCTGAAACCCACATCTCTCACCACTAATCAGACTCTTTCACTTTTCCTCCTCATATCTAAAGCAACTTTAAGAATCATGACAACTGAAAGGGTGTTTTATAAAAGTAATGTTGACGTTTCAAAATAATTAAGTTTAATTTTCTTCCATTTTTAAGTTAAAGAAATAGTCAGTGATATTTTGAGAAGTAGAGTTATTTGCTTTCTTGCAGAGACCTAGATGAGAATCAGCTCTCAGTCTCACTATTTAACACGTTATATCTTGTTTGTTTAATCGTACAAAACTCGAAGCGTAAAAAACGAACTCAGCTCACAGCTAATGATTATTATTATTATTGCTCTATGTTTCATTTTACTGCTCTTACATTGCTATTAACAGACTAATAATTTGGTTGCTTTTGGCTGCTGATTACAACAATATTGAGACATTACCTAACAATGTGCTAAAATGTGACATGTTTATCTGCTATTTTGACATTTTATCAACTGAATAAACAACATAACTGTTTATTATAAAATATGTTGGAAGAAGGGAAAAAATCCTCTTGTTAAACACCTCAAAAAGCTTTGTATGCAGTGGATGAACATTAAGTGCCCTCTAGGGTGTTAATCCTAAATCCTTTTTATTTTTTTCCAGTGCAGGTTGAGCTCATCAGAAGTCCTCATCACATTCAGATCTTCTTCAGCATCCTCTTCACTCCTTCATCACCACCACCACTACCACTCCATCAGGGGTGTTTCACATACTAATCACGGCTTCACCAACCCTCAGAATACATCTTGATAGGGTCTAATTTCAGTTAAATATATTCTTTCATTTAAAAAATGAAGTCTCCTGATTGAAATGCTTTCGCACTTTGGTCGTGAGATGTGATTTTTCTTTGCTGGTCTTTATAATTCCTCAAGAATTTGAATCTCAACTTAATATCTGACCACTATATGATCTAACCACCTAACAGTGTGATAATAAATGATGTGACTTTGAAACCTGCACCACACTTTCCTCAGGATCTATTCTAAGTTACCAGAGTTGCTGTTTGTCGTGTGATACTTGCTCATTTTGTTTTCTCATCTCTTGTGGCTGCGCTGCACCGAATAGAAAGTCGCTTCAACCCTGTGTCACTCATTCCTTCCTTAGTCTGTGAGTCTGTGAGTTGAATATACTCTATTCTCTACTCTACTCTATTGTATTATTATTTAGATTTTAGTTTAGTTTAATTTTTCTATTCTGAATGATGCAATGAAGGTATAGATGATGAGCGAAGCGTTCACAACCACGATGCAGGTGATTTTTCTTGTAAATCAACTTGATTGATGGTTTAAGCTAAAAACAGTGACAGTCACAGAACTGCATTTATCTTCCTGACTGAAAGGGATGTGGAGCTCTGCAGTGGTTCTCACGCACGTTATGTAAGAAAACACCACCTCTTCCAATGCAATACTTTGTGAATAGAGGCTAATGGAGGTCTAACTGAAGACATTTGGACATGTCACAGTTAGTGAAGCTCAAGAGTAAATGAAATTAATGATGGCTGGATTCCACTTAGCTCCTTCAGTTTCAGGGTCCTGGTATTATGCTTGTCTTCTCTCTTCCACTCTATCATGATTTACTGCGAGTACAGAGCATTGTTTACAATTTACAGAAACACTTCACATGTGTATGGACACTATATGTTGTTGGTCATTGTTGCTTTTATATGTATGTGCATACACCTATTTTTTCACCTTAATGAGTCTATCTTTGTTCAGCTTTGTTATCCATGTTTCTAGCTGTATGTCTGTATCTATTGTTCCTGTTTGCTTCATACCTTGAAAAGAAGAAAGAAAGTAGTTGAAAAATGTGGAGCTATAAAATATGTTTTTGAGTTCGTTCTCACCTTTTTCCTGTGTAGCTACTCAACTTTATCTCATCTGTCTTTCTAATCAAAGAAGATGCCATTCTGATTACCTGAAGAATTACTGACATATTCAAACAGGCACCTCTTAGTCTTAGTCATCTATCATCAACACAGATTTAACACATTTAAAATAATACATTTAACACATTTATTAATGTAGTAAATTCTCTGGAACAGTGGGATTTTCTCAAATGAAAGCTTATCTTTTTTTTCCATTTTTGTTCCATCTTTCAGCACAGTTGCCTCAGAGCATTAACAATCTACCTACTGAGACGTACATAACCACCACAAGTTTTATATCTACTGAGAACAAATGGCTAAAGGCAGTGTCTTCTTATGGAGCAATTCAACATTACACATTACCCATTTATAGCATTTGATTTGCAGACGTTTGCTATACATTGTCCTGCGTTTTTCTGCAAGTTCTGTTCAGTGTTCAGATCCTGTATTTCAGAATGAACCCTTATACCAGCAGCCAGTAAGCCCAGACAGAGAGGATAGTTTACTGATGTTATAGTAATATAGTGATTTTTGTGGTAATAAATGAAAAGTAATCTCTCATTACCACTTGAGGATGCTAAAGCTGCAAGACTTTCCTCCCACTATATTTCTCTCATTCATCAACTAATCAGATTTCTGTCTCTCAATGTTCGATGTTTTATGAGCAGTATTTCTAATGACTACATTGTGTTTGTTTTTCACAGTATTTATATAACCTTTTGTAATGTAAGAATCCATTTGGTGTGGAAAGGGGATTGGTTATCTTTGTGCCTATTTTGTTTCAATGGGAAGGCTGCTTAAGAACTGGTCCTAGGCCAAGAAAAATAGATTTGACAAAAACACCAGAGGAAAAGTTCCCCATGTTCCAGAGAACCAGGCAAAAGTATCGCCATATGGGTGTTAATGTGGAGAGATTGATTACTTTGTTTACGCGTGTTGCTTAAGTGGTCGTATTGTAGAAAAGGTGCTGTCTTTCCTGCAGAATTTACTCAGGTTTTTATTACATTCAGTCTTATTTTCTGAAAACCTCAATAGAGAGACTTTGCTGTTCTAGTGTGTAAAGAGCATTAATCTCACAAACCTCCTCGTGGCTATCCTGTGGCTGTCTGCCTTATTATATGGTGGAGAGGTTAGGGTTACGGCAGCACCTCTTTATTTGCATACTCAGCTCAAATCACTGAAGTCTGATGATGTAACCCTCCCTTATGATCTGTGCTGAAGGAAATGATGAGGATATAAGTGAAAAGAGCTCCGACTGACTGCGATGAATAACACTGAGGTTATTGAAATAGTCTGATTTCTGCCTCTTCAGTATGCCATGGTAAAGTAATTATATGTTGATATTTGCCTTGTATGGTATGAAAAGTCAAATATTTCCTGTCTTTGCGTTGGTGCGCTCATTGGTTGTTGTGGCTGTAAACATTCCTGAGCCGCAGAGTGTTTTAACTCTGTTTATTGACACAAGAGTCCACTTGTTTCTAAGGCACCGCATAGTTTGACACCTTGCGTACGGTACTAACAGTGTCACTGATGAAGTGACTGTTGAACAAAGGGAGAGTTAAAAGGTGGTTTTAGTGAATTACAAAGCAAATACATATAAATAAACCAATACAAAAGTCACTAACTACATTGTTTACATGTTTTATTCATATGTCTTTTTTCCTTTTATCCAAACTTTGTAGTGCTTAATGATGTAACATATTAAACAGGGCCCCCTCATGACCTCTCTGATAATGATGTAATATGCTGCCCATCATTGTATCATTACTAATCCTCTATTATTAGGATTGTCTTTATTCTCAGGCCTGTTCTTGCTCATTTCCCCTTTTTCTTTCTTGAGTTGTCTCAATGCGTCTCTGAAGCACAGCTGAAACAATTAGCTGATCAATCGATCGACAGAAAAAATTAACTAGCAACTATTTTGATGATGGTTTGTCATGTAAAAACATTTCATGGTTCCAGTTTCACAAATGTGAGGATTTGCTTTGTTGGTTGTACAAAACAAATAATATAATTGTGCATCTCTCCATATTTTCTGGGAATTTTTTACAAACCAATCAATGAATGTAGAAAATAATCAGAAGATTAATCAGTGGATATAATCATTGGTTGCAATCCTATACAAAATACCTCCACCTCAACCAACTACAGCATTAATAATCCAGCTTTTACATGACTTCACGAGTAATAATTATCTAATGATAGAATATATAACCGTATAACAGTCACAAATAACATTTTCCTTCATGTTTTAACACTTGAGGTTCATTTTCCTGATTATACTTACACACCCTCACCTTTTACAGTGTGATATTTGTACTTTTTACCTGAGTAAAAGATCAGAAAACTTACAGTCCACCACCCCTGCACACCCTTTGACAAATCTACTTTTTATAGATTCAGTTCCTCTCCATGGAACTTTTACTCATCGTCCTTTTTCGACCGGAGGGTTGGTCAGTCTCCTCCTCCCAGTTTCAGGTGAGAGGCGGAACACTGAGCAGCTTTATAAGGAGGTGGTGCTCTGTGGCGCATGCACTGTTTGTCCTCTACCTCTCCGAACACCTGAGTCATTTAACAAGCAAACGGCGTTTTCAACAGGTAGCTGTATTTTATTTTTTTACATCACATTCTATATTGAAATAAGTTTCAAATTTTTTTGTGTTACTCTCGACATTTGTAATGAATATGTATGGATGTGTCGCAATGTTTGACAGAGAATACGTGTATAATATATTTTAGAAGTCAAATAAATCAAATCAAACTAGTCACCCTTCACAGTATCTTAATCTTCCAGCAGAGCACTTTGATATGAGACTAATTCTGCTATATGTGGACTTTCTAACATTTACAGAGAAGTACCCTAACATAATAAAAAATGCACCGTTTCCCAACATTTATAGAGCATTCATCACAGCAGATTGCAGGTGAGGCAGCAGGGAAGTCTGGGAAATCTCCAGGATGGAGTCCCAGTTGAAGCCGGCGGCTCTCCTCCTGGCTCTGTGGTGCTGCTGCAGTAAGTGAACAGACACAAAGTGCAATCATAGTCAAAGTTGACTAAATCTGCATTTGTTTTAAATCGAGTTTAGATGTAAGTCTGCGCCTTTTTAATTGCGGAAAAACGTTGGAACAAGTCACAACCCTCCACTGCGCACTGGGGGGGAACATACATCCTTTATATTGTTTTATATTTCAGGTGCTCAACGCGTTAACTACATATGGCCACATCGAGGAAGCGTCAATGGAGCAACACGACTCACCATCAATGGCGACGGTAAGAGACTGGATCCTCAGACAGATTAGATGCTTCAATAGTGATATAGACCCAATTTATCTTGTAATGACTGTGAATATTGTGTTTTAATTCAGTTCTGAGGCTTTAAACACGTAAATTAAATATATATTGGTGAAAGAATGGTCAAAAAGTGATCAAATTATCTTTTGTTTGTGCTGTTATCATGTTATGATATTGTTTAACCAACCAGATACAACAGAAGAAATAGTTATAGTAGCTGCACACTGCAAAAAAGGAATCTCAAGAAAGCGTTGTTTCTTTTGTCTAAAAGGAAAAATAATGTTGTCAAGTATGTTTTGCATTAGAAAAGTAATCTGGTTTTAAGACAATATATCTAACTTTGTCGTGATCCAGCTAATATTGAGCAAAATTTAACCAGTTACAAGTTTCAGCAATGGTTTGCATAATATCCCAGCAGAGGAACAAGATTATTTTCTTAGATTTTTCTAGTTTTAAGGTCCATTACAGTCTTTCAGTGGATAGATTTTTATGTTAATTTTAAGATTCTAGCCAAGCAAAAGTGACTTGTTTCCAGAAGGGCTGTTTCTGCAGTGCAGCTGTGGATTATTTGTTTATAATCTGTCAAAAAAAAGTCAACTCTTGATCTAAAACTTGGGACTTCTGCTAAATTTTCACCTGTTTTTATTGCGCTAATAAACGCTTTCCTTCAGTAGGACTCGTTCGGCGATAAATGTTTTTAAAAATGAATATTTTTGGTGGGTTTCTTCCAGGTTTTGCTCAGGAAAAACAATTCCAGCTGAATCCAAAAGACGACACATTTGGCAACCGTGTGACCCTGGTGTCAGACACCCGGTCAGTCCCCTGTGAGGTGGAGAGAGACTCAACACACGGCAACCAGATCCTGTGTTACACCAGGTAGCCAAAGGGCCAAAGGGACTCTTAACTGAATATACACATTTATTAAAAGTCATTTCCTTTATATATGTATCTAAAATGATTAATTTAATTATCATGTCCATCACAGTGCCATGCCGTCTGATCAATATGTGGTCCGTGTCAGCGTGGACGGTGTTCCTATTCCTGACAGCAATATATGCCGTGGTGCTTACAAATCATACCATTGCAGCATATATGTAAGCTTTCAACGAATGCAATACAAACGCCTTAATTTACACATCAATTGATCCTGCAGTCTTGTTTTGATTGGTTTCTAACCGTCTTTTTCTATTCTTACTGTCCTCAGACTGTCTGGTACCGCACACCTACCATCTCCACTCTGAGTCCAGTCACTGGTCCCCCAGGTACAGATTACTTTATAGCATACAGTTACAGAGTCCAGTTTGAACTTTATATTAAAGCCACTTCAAAACCACTGCAGGCACCTTGGTGACACTGCGAGGACGGACCTTCAGTGATGTGTATGGAAGCAACACCGACAAGAGCTCCAATGGCCTCGACGTCAGATTTCTGAGGTAGAAAAATAAAATGAAGCATAGATTAAAATTCTAAATATTTATTTTACTGTAAAGCATTTTGTCCCACCAAAGCTATAAAGTTTTTTGTTTATTTTTTAAATGAGGGACATTTCTGACTGCTATATGATGATATCCTGTCAATATCCTATAACAGAAGGCAGATTGATCCAACAATAATGACTAAAGAAACTAGTCTGCATTAAAAACACTGAAGGTTTCAGAAGAAGTGTATTTGTTTGTTTATTAACTCCCAATTTAATTTAAACATTTAAATGTATACTTTTAAATCTGAAGTATACACTCTTATGAATTAATGAGTATGAGTGTGTTTATTGTAGATCCTACATGGGAGGGATGCCATGCGAGTTGCTTAAACCGGAGTCAGATGAACTGTAAGTACTTTGTCTTCATGTAGATTGCTTGATGTAAATACAGTAAAGATATAATACAAATATATATGATTAGTATTTTGTACTAAGTATTAAAACTTTCGAATATTTCTAAAGGTATAACCTACAACTGGACTCTGAAACTTCTCAGTGGGGATACATGAGCTGCAAAATGACGGGGACGTATGTTGGTACGATGTTTTTCTTCATAATGACAGCTGATTCTGATGTATATTTTAAATAAGATCAATTTTAAAACTCCTTAAATAATTATGTTTTGTTTCCAACAGGGCATCACAACTTGAGTTACATTCTCGATAACGATTTTGGAAGGTAAAATACCTTTTAGTACCTTTTTTGCATACACACACCTTTATGATTTCAGAAAGACCTCTAACAATCAGGTTTAGGAGGGTAACTTTAACACTGTAATCTCATACAATCCCTAATTACCTGTTAAGAAATGTAGTCAGTAACCTAATCCAAGTATTACAATATAAAAGTAACGTAACTTTATTACTTTCTGTTGCCTTTTACCTCAGTACCAAATATGCAAATAAAGAAAATAAATATCAGTAATATTACCTTTAGTTATTCTATAAAACGACATAATGTTAGAAAATTGGGGATATTTGTAGCAAACAAAAGGGCTCCTATGCTGAAATAAATTTGCATTTATTAAGCAAATTCAGGCAGAGCATTTTCAGAGCAACAAGGTAAATGTACTGTACTGTGAGGTTGTTCCCCTTTTCTACTTTAAAGACAAAATAATGGTGTAGAGGCCATTATAATGAATGATGAGCTATCGTTTCACTCGAGACCAGAGTGGCGTTCCCGTGAAGACTCTTGAAAACTCGTTGTTTATGGTTCTTTATTTATTTTTTATTTTAAAATTGTAATCCTGCTAATAATCCCCCTGTTTTCCTACAGTAAATGTAACTGTAACAGATTACAGTTGCCTTTTATATATTGTGTACTGGAAGTTGGGAAATTGGGGAACCTCTCCTGAAGATTTGACTTATTGGTGATAAATTATTTTACTCAACAACCACATTACTGCATGAACAACTGTAATAATATCAGTTCATATCTTTAAAATCTTTAGGAGTCTGACAGACAAGAAGCTTTACAGAGTTTCATCTTTGGAAAAACTCTCTATGTTTCAGACCTTTGCAGGTACGTTAGACAGACAAACATTTGTTCACGGTGCTTCGCGTGTAGTATTTACTCTTGTTACAGTGAAATGTTTGTTTATGTCTCCTGTTCAGAGGTGACAGGAGTCTCACCATCCAACGGTAGCGTCATGGGTGGAACCCTGCTGACCGTCCACGGCCGCTTCTTCGACCAAACCGATCTCCCAGCACGTGTTCTCGTCGGAGGTAATCGCCACCATCAGAATGGAAACTTACCCAAAACTCACCAAGCTTTAGCCAGTTTACAACACCATGACAACTTTGATGTTGCACACAACCTGATACTGTTTTCACACGGAACAAAGTGTTCAGCATGAATGGATGAATGTGGTACATCTCCACAAAACAAAACTCACTGGCACATTGTCGGAGCCTCAAGTCATGCGATGGTGATAATCCTTGTAAAGAGCACACAATGTGTGCATACTTCAAGACACAACAAACAAAAGATAATCACAGAGTTGTCGCAAGTCAGACGAAAGAATCTGCCCGAAAGCTTAGAGACACAACAGACCGTGACAAGCGAGGTGGTGAAGTCTTTTTAAAAGACTTCATGAGCCATTTAGCATGTTGTTGGCATATCCTTGACAGTAAAGGATGTGAATGTGATTGAATGTTTGACACAATCATACAATTAAATCACTATTCTTCCATATTTTCACATTAGATGATTAAACAGAAAGCTTGAGTGACTTCAACCAATAAGTACCATCAGTTCTACTCAGATTATCCATCTTGTCTTTACTTGTATGCTTTCAAATTAGAAAACTTAAAAGCAATCAAGTTAAATGACCATTTCAAAATCTGATTGAAGGTGCATCAGAATATTGAATTTGAGAAGAACACTTCTAACAGATCGCAGAGCTCACACTTTTCTTCCTGAATATTATTTAATCTGTCAACCTCAATAAAGTAGTATAAATTAGACAGTGTAAGCAATAAAAGGAGGGAAAATATGCATAGTAACCTTGAACAAGAACTATAATACTATACATATTACGAGCATCTACAAAAGGGGTTCCCAACCTGTTTTGCTAGAGACTCTTAAAGTAAAGCAACGTCTACTTGTGAATCCTTGTTACTGCTTGAATATGTTAACCGGTTGAGACAAAAGAGGCCTGAAGAGGTAAAATATGTCAAAAAATTCTCTAGAAAAAAGCTGGACTACACTGGACAACAAAAATGAATGGTTCTTGTAACTACAAAGTGTATTATGAAACTAGATATGTGATGAAATGAGAATACAAGTGGAAAGATGCAACCAAAGGACATAAATGTGCATTTAAAGAAATATATCACCCTAAAATCAACTCGTCTTTAAAAATCATTCAGTGTTTGGGACTACTTTCAGTAGTGTTTCAGCTGACACGAGGTGAGAAGATAATGAGTCAATTTTCACTTTGTAGTTAATTACTCCCTCAAGTAAAGCCTGTGCTATTGTGTTTTTGTGTCAGTGGAAAGTGTAATGTGAACTAAGACGTGTGTTCAATCTTCTTCAGGCCTGCCTTGTGAAATCCAGAGTGTGTCCAATGACAGAATAACGTGCAGGACTGCCAAACACGATATGGACAAAAACATGACAGTCTACCCAGGTGAGAACACACCTCTTCCTCCTCCTCCTCCTCCTCCTCTTCTCCTTCTATCCTTTTGTCTTTTGATGTCATGCAACCAACGCTTGTCTCGATCCGTCCCATTGCTGTATTTTGTGCTGTGTCATTATGTGAACAACACGTTGATCACTGGAAGAATTTAAAGCATCTTTCCACCAACAAAACTGCTCTTGTGAAGATGACAATCTCATCTCATCACTTGTCACAGTTCATCAGGACTCAGGGTGTTTGATGTTTTGTGTACTGTGACCAGATAATCTGTTTTCTGACAAAAGCACATATTTCTGATCAGCTGACAAAAGACCTCTCGTAGAGCTGACGTCAACAGCAGATACAGACACCATTTTTTTCATTTCTACAACCTTTTGCTTCAGGTTTCTGTAAAAAAAAAAAAAAAAAAGAAGCAGGGGAACATCTTGTGTTTTATTTTGGCACCCATGATAAAGTCAGTCACACATCTCAGCAGAGAGTTGAGGTCTCACCTATTTTTTCTGTGAGTCGTTTGGTTCCCTGCAAAAATAGACAGCGAAAAGAGTCTGTTTATAGTCATATCAACACTATAGAAGCATCATACAGACCTTTCACTACAGTTTCAATGTACGAACATTTTCGATACTCTTTAGTGGCTCGTACGACTGATTTAGGAGAACTTGCGTCATTCACCAATTTTCTCTTTTTTTGAAGTTTCTCTTAAGTACAAACACAATTTACGAGTGGTACGTTTATCAGTAAAGGATTGTACTTTGCATTATTATAAAGCAATTTTGAGTTTCCTATTTAAATTACACTTCATAATTACACTGACATCCTCCTGTTTGAATTATAATATAATTCTAAATTTACAATATCATAAAATAAATATCATGACAATATCATCATTAAATTAAATTGGCCATTGATGGGGTTCTCAAGGTGTATGCAGGTCACTGTCCAGAGGGACATCCTCTGTTGCATCACCTATTATGGCACATATTATTTTGTCTATTTCCGTGATGGAGACTTCCCCTTGACTTGACCCGCTCGACCCCGATGCAGTCATCGATCGCCTCGATTTTCATACTGATCCACTTCTTCTCAGTCACTCATTGGCTTTAGCAGGTCCTTTACTTCCACCTTTGTTGATCTCTGAGACCAGAACTTCAACCTCTGAGCTTGTAAAGTTCTACTTTTTACATTTTCCGTTTTCATGAAACAACTTCCTCACACATGGGACATGCCGTGTAGCCTTTATACGGTATCACCGCGACATTAGTTGTGTAGATTTCATGAGTCCATTAGGCACAGGTGGCATTCATCGTTTTTACACAGCTGATTTACACAGAAATCTGAAGTTAGGAGCGTTTGTTGAAAACACGTACAAGGAATTTGGTGAAAATGGTCACAATAATTTCCAAGGCTTCAAATTTCTTATATTTAAACCAGAGATATTCAATTTACAATCACGTGTCAAAGAAAAGCAGCAAATTCTCACATTTTAGCAGCTTATCAAATAGTTGCCGTTTAATTTTCTGCTGGTCGACTCATTGATTAATCAGCTAATCGTTTCAGCTGTAATTGTGATGCACCACCATTTATTCCCATTTTAAACCCAGGTGGAAGAGGCTTGAAGATGGAGGTGTGGAACGACACAAGACCCAGATACCTGACTGACATTCGCAACTACAATGACAACACAACGGGATATTGGGCACAGTGGATCGACTCCATGCCGCACATCTTTCCTTTTGAATTGGATTTGATCAGCACTCGAACCAGAGGCTTCTTCGTCCCTCCAAAGAGCGCCAACTACACTATTTACTTCCACTGTGATGACCGATGTGAGCTCTACTTCAGCAACTCAAGCCGCCCAGAGGATATGGTACGAGCAGAGAGTTTGGTTTGAAATGAATTACACCTACTGCGATCATCCGAGTGTACAAAATCAAAAGAAATCACGTTTCTAACAATCAGAGGCAGATCCAGAGACACCCCTATGAAATGCCTGGTCACTTCAGCTGCCAGTCCAGTTCGGTGTCAAATTCTGTCAAATTTAAGACATTAATGTAGATAAATATTGTAAAATGAAGTTTTAAAAACAAAAAAATCATAATTTGTTATAGCCACATTTTAGACTAAGTAACAGTAAAAGTTCAAAATGTCTAAACATTTGGAAATATAACAATTTATTGATTCCTAATTCCACTTTTGGATATCCTTATTCAATGCTTGAACAAAGTTTTTGAGTTCAGATATTTTCATTTGATACATGTGATTGTTCATGTAAATGCTCCATGACACCCTCTTGTCTATTTCTCTAGATCCTCCCTGGAAACAATCAAAGATATCCTAAAACATAAAGTTTGTATGAATCTAATGTTTTTTTCACTCTCTCCACTTTAGGTTAAAATTGCGTTTCAACCATATTATGTCGCAGACTACACAAAACTGGTATCACAAAAGTCTGAAGTAATGGCTCTAGAGAAAGGAAAACCGTAAGTAAAGAACTATGGCTCTGATTATAAACTGTATTCATTGTAGCTGTGAACTTACAGTTTCCCCTGAAAATAAGTTAAAAACTTACTTTTTCTGCAGCTACTACTTGGAAATCCTGCATCAAGAGTATGGCGGTCAAGCTCGTGTCAACGTTGCCCTGTTCAAAGGGGAGAGCCCCTTTACTGAAGACCAGACGGACGATGCTGTCAATGAGGTTCAGAATATCGTGATTGAATATGAGGTGTTCGATGAGGAACTGGTATGTAGTTGCTAACCTGTGGCTTTGTTCTGTTAAACACATCCCAGACTCCTCACAGTCTGGTTAGATAGTCTGGGAAATACTCTTCTTGCTGAGTTAGATGAGAACAAACAAGATATAATGTTAGTAAGATAGTAGATAGTTAGTGTGGTGGTGTTACTGTAGACAGACCTTTTAAACCTTTAAACAGAGCATATATTAATCTATATTAAACATATATTAAAGTGGTATTAATTCTTATTTAACTCTTGGATAATATTCGTTTATATGCATTTTAAAATCAATTTTAAAAAATTTCAACACTGCTGCTTTTTCAATCCTTCTTTCTGGCTGTTTCCAACTTTCCACTTACACTTGTGGAAGCATGGATACCAATGTCTGGAGTCTCAGCTATATAATATATAATATATATAATAATATAATAATATTATATTGCAATCTTTTGTTTTGTGATATTGTATCAATTCTCAAAAGCAGTGTATTGTTTCTTGTGTTTAAACCTCTAACTTCTAGAAAGCAGCTATGTAAATATAAACTGAGGGCTATGATGTTGGATGTTACAAAGCGGATACATAGAAATGCTGATCCCATCGTTTTGCTCACATTTTTTGCATATGGTGGTCAGTTCTTTATACTATGACTATTTCTTAAAATTAGATATATACGGGTTTGCTTATAGTATCACACAGCAATACAGCCAGACCTTACTATATTCTTTTTTAATGATTTTTTTCATTTTTGTTTATTGTTTATGTTTTATCTCTATCTATCTTTTGTTGCCCCATTGAAAAAAGAGGTTTCACCCCTCAATCTATTCCCTAAAAGTAAATAAAGGACTGAAGCAAAGGAAAAGTTTATGTTTCCCGGCTGTTACATTGCTAGCATTATTGCAAGTTCTCTTTATGTTTAACTCCTAATCTGCTCTCTGGGGTTTCTTAAAAGTCATTATAACTAAATGAGGTAACATTAAATGTAGCAGGCCGAGGGAAGGTGGCTACACTAAAAACTGTAAATTATTTTTCTGTGTTCATTCAGTGTCCACCTCTTGGTCACGTCTGTACCTCACCATTGTTCTTTCTCACTGTTTCCCAGGCAGTGACCTTTGAATCGTGGCCCAGCAGTGCCGCCGCAGTCAAAGAGGTGCAGAAAGTTACCGTCAGCAGCAACTGTGCCAGCCATCTTTGTGGGAGTACCTTCTTCAGCCTGGGCTATGGAGAAGCAATGACTGGTAATGTGTTTTACAATTAGTTCATTTAAAGCATTAATTACCTCCAAATACCAACTTTTACATTTTTACATTAGCATTTGTGGCCACTTAAGGAAACGGCTGAACCTGTTCCTTTAATTTATAATAAATGTATACTAGCCATTGTGTTTGTGCATGACATTTGCCTGTTTCTTCTTTAGGACCAATTCCAGTCAGTGCCTCAGCAATTATAGTGGAAGCAGCCTTGAACAGCCTTTGGTCCATCAAACCCGACACAGTTAAGGTCACCAAACAGTCCGATGGCCAAGGATCGCACTACATAGTCACATTCAACTCTGACAGAGGTATGAAGAAACAAAAAGGAAGCAAGTTGCTAGTTCATGAAGTGTGTGGTTGTTACACCGCATTCACATGAATCAACATTAAACTACTTTATGTTATATGGTATCTGTGTACCTGATTGTATTTATGATTTTAACAGCCAAAGAGCAATAAGTTAATTGATCATCTGTCTTTTTTTGACTGCAGGGGATTTCAAACCTCTTCGCTCTGAGGTTTTTGGCTCCGACACCAACGTCACTGTTGCTGAGGTTACAAAGGGAACAAGCAACATGAAGACCTTCACTTTGGTCTGGGGGGGAATCCCTACAAAGCCCATCACCTTCAATGCAACTGAGTCTGAGGTCTGTTGTGTAAAATTGAAGTCTCTCTTTGTGCTCATACACCGTATCTGTGATTCAGTGTGATTGGGATGATATCTGACTGGCTGAATTTACAAAAACTCTTAGAGATGATGACTCATTTCAGTTCTTAGACTATTTTGTCAAAATAGATTCTCATTTTTCGACAGAAGTTGTTGCAGTCGTTGTAGCCTGTGCTGTACTGTGTAGAAACAATACTAACATCCAGTTTGTGTGGTTTTGTGAACAGGTGCAGTCGGCCCTGCAGGACATGATGAAAGCCGAGTGCCCCGGAGAGATCTTGACAACGGAAGGGACTAATGTGAAATACTTCAATGACTTTGAAAATGATATCTCTCAGGTCAGTGTTTAAAAACATACATTTTGTACTGACTGTTGTCTGTAAGCATAAACATGAGTAAGAAAAACTCTTATAATACTAACTAAGAAAAGTATTCCTCTGTGCTTGCATCTCAAAAACACTTGTTTTATCTTCTTTTGATTTAGCCCACAGACCTTAAATCTTTGGAGAGCTTCTGGTTTTGGTTGCTCACAGTTTTTTGATTTCTTGCACTCTCCAGTTCGATACTGCTGAAGAAGGGACTCCAGTGAACAACTCTGGTTTCTGCGGTCAATGGTCGCTGAAGAACGCTGTGGTTCTTTTCAAGGAAAGTTACAACAAAGAGTCTGGTGATGCCTACGGACCAGTTTCATTGGATGATCATTCGACGGTAAAACACACAACTGTTTTATTCACTGAGGTTCATCTTGTTCACTTGGATGCAACAAGAAAGTAGTTGACAAATGTACTAAAACGTTCTGATCTACTGTCTCTGAAAGGTTATTAAACTATGACTTATCTTCAGTTTTCATCTTAAATATTTTATTCCTTTCCTTGTAGCTTTGCTTTGCATACAAGGGAATGCTGAAGGATGAAGTTGGAATGAAGTTCACTTACCGCAGCAGCGATGGCCAAACCAAGACAGAGACAGCAAAGATCAACACGGTCTTCAATAAGGGCCACAAGTCAGTGAAAACCATGCAGTGATTTAAATTTGTCAGATACAAACTTTTGAGAAAGATTGCAGCATATAAGTGTGATTATCTCTTGACAGATGGAGTTACACATGCATGGACCTGCAGAGTTCCCTGCAGACAGAATACATTGGGAGCAAATACAGTCTGCTGGAGCTTTACCTCTACAAAGACGAGTCTGGTGATTTCTATGTGGATGCCGTTTACATTGGAAAGACGCCCACCACAAGTGATGTGAACGGTACACAGATTGATTTTTTAATAGCTGTTTAATGTCATAGCCTCACTTTTTTTGTCTGTGTGTTACATTTGATTGATGTGTGAACAGATGCTGCCCACCAATATCAAGACTTAAATGTTCAGCAGTTTATTTTATTGATTGTTTTCCTTAACAGTTGTTCCCCACAAGAGGAGGCCTCCTCCTTTTGAGAGCTCTGGTCATTCCTTCGAGGTGTTTTCTATTACCAAAGACACATCAACTGGTTCACAGATCAGCTACAAAATCAAAGCCATGGCGGTAGATTGTGGCTTTGGGTTCCCGCTGCTAGAAGTTGGCTTCCTGCAGGTAACTGATTAATTGAATTTATGTAACAATGTTGTATTAAAGACAAGCGATATTGATCCTTATGTGAAGTACATCATCGGTTCATCTTGTTATTTAGAGACAGAAACACACATTTCAATATTCAATATATTTTGTTAATGGGGTATTATTAACACGCACATGACAGGAACTGTTTTTATCGATTGAGTTATAGTGAATGTAAATGAGAGAAGATGTTGCTTTCCCCAGCTTGTGTGTCTTGGGAAAGAAAATCTACACAAAGAAAGAGCTGGGGCCAGAAATGTGACACAATTGTACTAATCTCTGAGCCGATGTGCCGCCCAGAATATAAACACTTCCAGTAAAATAGTCAAAAACATCAAATACAACCTGCCAAGTTCTACTGATAACAGTTCTTTGGGACAGCGAAAACTTTACACAAAGAAAACAGATGTCAGATTTGAAAGACAGTGTTGCTTCAGCAGTGTGACTCATAAAATAACAGAGGAAATGATCTGTAGCCCATGGCCATGTGATATAACTTACAGTGAGGCAGAGCAGAGCGGCGCCACAATGATCGTGCCTCAACATGCTGTGCAGTTATCATTTGCCTAACAGATTGCAGTGAAAGCAGTGACCAACTACTGTATGAAGACTGGCACAAAAAAGTGTGACGGCGGGGTGTAGCGCCAGTTGTAAAGTTTGTTTCAATTAAATCTGACATTCATCCATCATTTCCTCATCCTGCAGTATTTGTAATTATTCTTAAAACCTTTAGCGTCTGCAGCCAAGTTCCACATATTGATCCCCCAGAGTTTGTCCAATTAAATCAAGCATATAAAAGCTTGTTTCAGTCTAGACATACAGTATTGTGATAATAAAAGACATTAATGACATTTTGTGAGAAGGGGGCTTGTGTATTAGGAAAATGATAAAAAAAACCTTGTATTTCATAGATGTCCAACAGCAGCGAGGATATGGCTGAGTTCAGGGAAGGAGCAGCCACCGTCACCATCACTCGCCCTCACAGAGCCACCCCTCCTCTGAACGGCACCTTTGATGTGGAGATTTATGGAGGCCGAGCTGAAGGTAGTTCAGACGGACACGTGTAGTATTTGCATTGTAACAGATGTAACTGTCCTGGCTGAATGCACGACTTGTTCCGCTGATAGGATCATTCAACAGGTTAAACTCCCTGTCACCCAAGATGGACCACTAACTTTTAAGCTACGTGCATGCCAGTGTTGCTATTGTAGTAATGAGAGGCTAATATTCACCCTGAAGTGAATGGTATTCACAAGGTGTTTGGCCAGTTTCCAAGCACGCAGTCACTCATCCTCTCAGCTACTGTACTGTGAAAACATAATGAGCACAAAACAAACACAGAGAGAGCTGGAGCAGTGCCTCAGACAGTGTTTCCTCTGCAAAGCCAATCCATCATTGTGTTTCTTTAATTCACAGATGACAAAATTGTGACTCTTTGACTCTCAAGTGTGGATTTTTTTACACAAAATTAGCACACAGAAACCTATAAATTATATTCAAACTGAAATTGAACACTGTGTCCATCAGCACAGAACTGATTGAAGAGATAGTTTGGGGTTCTTGAAGTGAGGTTGTATGAGGTACTTATCCATAGTCAGTGTGTTGCCTGCAGTAGATCATGGTCAGCGTACCCCCAGTTTGGAGAAGCACACAGGAGTCCTGGCTGGGAAGCAGAGCGACACCCTGCTAAATACAGTGTCAGCATAAAAACACATTTTATCCACTTAAAAAAAAACTGGTGGACTTTCACTGCTTTACCTTGCCCTCCTTTGGCACTACATTTCCTCATCCCGTTTAGTATCCATCTGCAATCGTTCTTATTCTATATCTAAAGGTATTCTCTTATCTCCAAAGTGAACAGCATTTAGTTGCCGCTGTCATAATCACTCATTTTTATTGTCTAGTATTTGTTTTCTCTTCCATAAACTGCTGTGAGTTCAGGATTTGGACTGCACAATTATATATAGAGACAGTGTAGTGCCAAAGGAAAATGGTTTTAAAATAACGTACACTCTTGGCTTCCCTAACTACCTTAGACAACCCCACTTCAAAATACTTCTGAACTATCCCTTTAAAGGAGAGGTATCTCTCATGTCTCTCGCATTTTAAAATAATCACATCATGACTATAAAATGCATGTGTGAAGTTTTTGTCTTTTAGTTTTTACTGTAGTTGGATAAATACATTAGTTTTGGTGGTCTTTCCCACTTGTAAGTAAACCAGTTGTTTTAAATGTTACTATTGCTATATAAATATCCCCTTAGGAGTTTGTCTTTGTGATATTGGTAGAAAACCATACTGATGTCTTGTAGTTTTAATGTCCATACTAGAGCAGATGGACCGCTGTATCAACTTGCAAAAGAGACAGTTAAAAATGTAGACTTTGAGCGAGAAATATCACTACATATGTCTGCATGCAGCCCTCTGTTTTTACATACATTCACCCAGTACAACACATGTAACAGTTGCTCTTGCAGGGAGGTGTCTTACACAACCATTGCCTGTTCTCAGGTCTGTCAGTGGACATCAGCGAGGAGGACCTGAAGTACGCCCTGGAGGGAATTGCGGGGATGGGTCAGGTCAGCGTTAAATATCAGGGAAGCTGCAGACGCCCCAAGTGGAGGGTCGAGTGGCTCACTAAACCCGGAGACCAGCCTCTGATGCAGGTCCTACTCCACCTCTTATTTCATTGTTAATTTATTGATTTATTTAGTTAATATTGGCGCATTGTCCAAAAACACTTTGTTACTAACAAATTATTTTCATTACTTAAGACTTTATTTGCAGAAGTAGTAGCTGTAGCAGCAGTCATAGTAATAATTTTACATACATATTCATCATATATATATATAGATATAAAATATATATATATAATATATGTTCTTGACCACCATCATTTAGCAAACTTAAATCATTCTCATAACACAAGAGAAGTTGACAATCACTTGCCTTTCTGTAAAACTAGACATGGTCAATATTTACTTCCTTTTATGATGTCTAATTAATTAACTGATTGGTCCTGTATAGCTGTGTTCATTTTTTTGTGTCTTTTACCTTTTTTCATTTATATTTATATTTATTTTATTTGACCTGTTCATTATTTTTTAAATCACTGACCGCTGTATATGCGAACAGCTTCTTGACCTCTGTTGTGTTGTCACACATGTTTTCCCATCTGCTCTTCCAACCATGTTTTACTCCCATTACAGCTTAGCGGCTCGTCCATTGTCGGCAAAAACGTAGATGTTTTCGCCCAGGAGAAAAAGAAGGGAGGATTGTTGTTCAGAGGCCTCTTAGGAGATTTCTTCCGTGTCGGGGAAACCAAACCACAGGTACAATTGTGATTCATACAGCCTCTGGCACATCTGGTTTTGGGTTTCAGCATTATCCGTCTGTCAAATGTCTACTCTAGCCACCGCTGATTACCTTGTATGTCTGCTTGCTATAAACCCCATAGAGCAAGTTCCATTTTTGTCTTTCGTGTTGCATAACATTTTAGCGTTTTTGTCTATTTTTTGCCTCCAGGTAGAATTTGATTATGTTTGCATGGTAATAAATAACTGCTTTGCACTGAAGTGTGTGACTGCTACAGTCCTCCATTATGCTACTTTACATCTTAGTAATTATTCAAACCCAGTTTTATATAAACTTCGTCCTAAATGTGACGTTTCTGATTAGGAGTTTTGTGGTGCTGTTTGCAGGTGGAGGTTTACATCAATGGCATTCCCTCAAAGTGTTCTGGTGCCTGCGGGTTTGAATGGTCTGAGGACGCAACTCCAGTTGTGACTGGAATCAGCCCATCTCAAGGTGCTCATTTAACATTATTGGTTATTGATTGACTTTTAAGACCTGATATATACAAGCAAGTTCCTTTAACAACACAAGTAGCTTTGTAACCTTTAGAGATAATGAAATGTGTAAAATATTCAACAGCAGTTTTTTTTAATCTATTTTTATTTTCAAGTACTGATTAACTAATAAAAAATAATTAATTTAAAAAAAAAGAAAAGTGTTAGTGAATTGTCAGATTTTGTAGAAAAAAACATGAAAACTTCCGGCGTCCTGTACATATGCAATATATTGAGAGATGGTGATGGTGGTGAATGTTTTATCTATAATTAAATTACTTTACTTTTCAGGATCTAATGGACTTGGGACTCTTTTGACTGTTACTGGAACTGGCTTCCGTAGTGAAAATGCCTCCATCTTTGTGGGAAAGGCCAGGTGTGATGTTGAACAGATCACCGGTAAGTGAATAAAGTTGGGAGAAGTGAATACTGTGTCTGCTCTTGTTAAAATTAGTCGGCTGTTTATAACCTAGCAGCAGGAGTTTAATCAGATCAGTTGTATTTCAGCAACCACTCAGGTGTGCAGACTGGGCAGCGCCAGTGCTGGTACCTACCCGGTGTCGGTCAGCTTCCCCTCTCTGGGTAATTCTCGCTACCCAGACGGCAACATGTTCCACTTCACCTACCAGCTCATTGTTTCCTCTTTCTCTCCGCTCTCTGGAAGTGTGGCAGGTGAGACATAACTCTAAAAACACTGAACTGAGTACCCCAAACTGTTGTTATTTTTAACAAACTCAAAAGCAGAATCACTCGGCTTGCATTGGGAACCTTAAAAATACAATCTGAGCTAATAGTAGCTCTCATTATTTTTATAACAAAGTATAACCATCATCTTCTTTTATGTTTTGTCTTAGGAGGCACACTGCTGACAGTGAGTGGTTTCGGCTTCGGCCAGAACACCACAGTTACTGTTGGCAGCGAGGAGTGCGTGGTGGTTCATGCCAGCGACACTGAGCTGAAATGCAGAACGCCACCAGTAAGTGTACAGACTGCAAACTGCTGCTCTTTAAGGATGTTATTTTCCTGCAGTATCTAACAACTCAAAGAGCTGTAATACAGGGCACTAAGCACTTACTATACATGTTTATATGTCAGTGAAATTGCTAATACATCAGTGCAACATCTTCTTGATTATACATGTAGATTAACTTAATTACCTCTCTAATTTTGATATTAATTATTGAATTAATGACCTTATGTGTTGCTGCTTTAAAGCGAGCCTATGTACTAATTGTTACTGTGGCGATTTCAGTTATACAGAAATATCTTTCTAGCTTATGGTGGCTAATTCTATCTATAAGCTACTGCTCCTACCAGACCAAGTAGGGCTGTAGCAATATAGAGTTTTATTAAATATTATACAATAAATACTTGTATTACTTATTTCAGGGAACTGCAGGATCACAAACCGTCACAGTGATGATGGGAAACATGAGTCAGACAGCCAGCAGCTCCTTCACCTACGATAATAACCTCACACCGCAGATCTCAGGCCTGAGCCCTCCAACTACCACTGTGATTGGTGAGCTGAGAGTCTTTTTTGTCCTTGTATTCATGTATTTAATAACCTTTCAGTGATAAAACATTACTGAGATGGGTAAACCAAGAAGAGTGCTGGGATTATGTTCTTTGGTTAAATGAAAAGTTTAATGGAGAGGACATTTTCTGTCCTTAAAGGTCAATAGAAATCCTATCTGTCTACTGAATGCAAAAGACACTAAGTCTACAGACTATAGAGTTGTCCTTTGTTTATGAAAAGAAAAGGATTCAGAGTTTATTCACTGTGTTTCAATGCCTCCCTTCATAACAAACTCAGTAATCTATAGGCACAGTACATTTGTCATTAGAGAATTAGTCTGATGAAAGCAATATTGTTAGAAAATACTGAAATATAGACTGTTTTGTATTGTTTTTAATTGTCAACAACATTAGCATGCCATCTCCTATGTCATAAAACCAGATATATGACAGGTTGCTACTAGTAAGCATAAGGGCTATTGGGTAACTGTCCGTGGCGTGTGAATTTGTGCTAATAGATCACCTAAATGCCTTCTTATTTTAGCTTTACTGAGTTGGCATTCGACCCTACTGTGACAAGGAGCTTGTGTGGAAACCTTTTGTTATCACTGTCATCTCATTAGTCATATTGTATTGTCGTGTAATGTTGACTTGCAGGTTTTTTCTGCTTTCTGCTCGCTAAACCTTGGGAATCTTAACCTGTCAGCTCCTGTAATTATAGTAAATAATACAGTCCTATCCACACAACAATAATACTTCTTAATCTGCAGGACAATTGATGGTACTTTGGTAATCAAGATGAGACAAGTGCTAATTTTCTTGGACATGGAAAATGTCTGTTGACATATCCGTTTTTGACTCCTTTTGTGTAGGACATCGAGTTCTCACCATCCAGGGTTCGAACCTGGGAGGCCAAGACAATGACAGCATGGTGTTCGTAGGCAGGAAGGAGTGTGTCACCGTCCAGTGGACATCTACAAACATCACCTGTCTTCTCCCTGTGCTGCCGCCCGGTCTGTACAAGGTGGATGTACAGGTTGGAAACAATGGCTACCCCCAGACAAGGTACGCCTACCGTGAGAGACATGTTCACACTGTCTCAGTGATTTGGAAAAACTCTCAGGAGCAACGGTGCATTTGTCAACGTTCCAGCTGAAAAAGCATTGATAGTATCACGTGTTTTGAATTTTTACTTGTCAGGAAATGTCAATTGTTGCACATTGTGTAAGGGTAAAGGGTAATATAATAGAGATAACATTATGTATTGTCCCCTGTTTTTATATTTCTCTTTTTAGATTATTAAACACACACACCCACACAAATCCAACAGTATAAAGTAAATCAAACAATTAAAAATCTAATAAATAAAACAAAAACGGGGTGAATTTCAATATTACTTTATTACATATACTATACTTACTTTTGTTCTGTTACAAATAATGATACACTTCAAAATGAAATAAAAAGTCAACTATTAAAACAAATGATTACATTATTAATGGCAGAAAACATTGTTCATCTGAGACTTAATTGGACTGTTTTCTGCTTTTTTTTGTTTCATAGCAACGGTGTGAACGCCACCATTGAGTACATCCTGGAAATCAACAGCATCACCCCACTGTTTGGCTCTCTCCTGGGAGGAACCAGACTGATTGTTTCTGGATCTGGTTTCAGCACAAACACCTCTGACAACAAAGTCTCCATCGGTAAGCAACAGGAGACCCAGCAATTTGAAACACAACGCTTATTACAGCAGCAATAATCTCTGACTACAATCTATTTAAAAATGGCAGCAAGCAATTCGATTTTTATCAGTGGATTTGCTGGGCTGGTGTTAATCTACTGTGATGTAACTACATGCAAATATGGAAAAGCAGTACTATAATGGCGCTGCTTCACGTTGTGTATATGATCTTATATGTGTTTTGTGTTGGTTGATGACAGGAGGAGCTGAGTGCGAAGTGACGGACGCCTCAGAGAACGAGCTGCAGTGTGTTGTTCAGTCGGAGCAGAAGACTCACATTGTCACCAACCAGGGATCCCACCGCAGTAGGTTTACATTTCAATCCTTTTGGCAGATGTCCAACTAAATCTGAGTGGACTAAAATAGAAAAGAAAAGAAAGAGGATTAACTTACTGAAAACTGCTGCAAGCAAGGAAGCTGTCACCGGTAGATTTAATGTGACTGCACCTAGAAACTGTTTCAAAAGGAAAGTTATTCAAAACCAGTTTGACCTCCAGTTTTCCATAATGAACCATATTTAGAATAGCATTCACACGTTTTTTAAATGCAATAGCATGTAACCTGTCCCCATTTAAATGTCTATAAAAAGAGTTTTGCCAAATGTTTCCAACATGTTCAAACTTAGATACATTTTTTCAGTTTATTAAGTCAGTATTTCATTTATACATGCGTTTTGGTGTTTTTTCCAGTTTCAAGCAGTTTCAATATACTTTTTAGATCTTGGTTATTTTTAACTCTATATTTAACCGGATAAAGGATTTTAGTCATCAGACGTGTGGATCTTAAGTTATCAGAGAAATAAGCCGAGCTAATGTTAGCAGCAGCTCGGCTCGCAGCCCCTCCAGGATGTCCTTTGTCTGCCGAACAGCTTTATTCTGTATTTTTACCGGTTTAATCACCGGGTCCGTTCATTCATTCGAGAGGAGCAGAGAGGAATTATCTCCTGATGGAAACCTCCTGAAGCTGACTGCATTGTCGGCATGGTGGTGAAGACAATTCCCATGAGCCCACGCTATTTCATGACTTCACCAAACTACTCTTTTTTTTCTGTTTTGATGTGAGAGACCCCCTAGTGACAGAAATTACACATTGTAGGTTTAACTTACATGTAGCTTAACCTCATACAATGACATCTCTCCTGTGTGTGTTATTCTATCTGTTTGCATGTATATATTTCAGTCTAACTATACATTTGTCTGTGTGTCCCAGCTCATGGACAGGGGTATGCATGGAGTCCTGCCTCACAGACGGTGTTTGTTGGAGACACAGTAATGTGGCGCTGGGAGGCACCACCCTTCCAGAATGTCGGGTACCGGGTCTTCAGTGTCTCCAGCCCAAGTGGCACCACCTATGAAGGCGGACCATTCAACAGTGGACAGACCAAGACAGCCAAAGGTAGAACACTGAGTCACTCTTCCTCAACAAGGAGTCCTTTTATTCACTTATTCACAAAACTAAACTTTTCCCTCATTAAAAAATAATTAAAAGTAAAATCCAGCCTTAGATTGTTTGGCGCTGTTAGATATCATACATTTGTGAGCTTTGGTGCCTGGGAACCATTCATTTGTGATTTAGGTTTGTGTTGGTATGTTCTCTCCTTTTCTTTCCTCTTAATTTATCAGATGAAAGTGGTATTAAAATATCCTTTTAGATAAAAACTGGCCAAGAAGGGAGCTCAAAAACAGTATTATGACAATAAATACATTGCAAACAACATAACAACATAGGCAGATTAAAAAAATCTAATAATATACATTTAAGATATATGCTTAGTTTTATTTTATGAATGGCAAGAAAAGTAGAAATGCTAATAGTAAAGCTACACTTGCAGCTAATTATGGTCCATGTTCATCCTTTTCTGAGCAGAATAAGATAGCTTCCTCTCTTTAATTTTGATCCTTCAGTTTTAGTTTGAATCTGACCTGCGGCCTTTTGCTGCATGTAGTCCTCTCTCTCTCTCTACCCCCCTTCCTGTCTATCTGCAGCTGTCCTATCCAATAAAAAAGTAAAGAAAATGTATAAACCACCAAAAACCACGAGGTGGATGTGAGGAATGAGGAATTTCATGTGTGCCATGTAACACCTTTCAACATGTGTGAGAGACAAATTAACTTTTGCTCTTGCCTGTCCCCCCCCCCAGGGTTTTTCAGCTACCGTTTCACTACACCCGGTGTATATTACTACAGCAGTGGCTACATAGATGATGCCAACGCCTTCCTGCTGCAGGGAGTTGTGAAAGTCCAGCCTCGGGAGGAGAAGAGCAGCAAGATCTCTGTCAGCGTGGGAGGCATGGAGGCCAGACAGGTGACTGGAGGTAAATGTACAAATGTGGATAAGATACTTTCAGCCAGCAACTCGATCCTCCAGAAAAGGACAAAACTCCAGTTGAGATCCAAGTCAAGTTTGCAAGTAGTCAATGGATTAAACTTACTGTCTCCCCTTCAGGTTCACGTCGTGTCTCCAGAGCCACCGCACAGTGCGTCGCCTCCTCACAGTGCCAACAGACCAATGAGACTTCAGATGGCCTTTCCTTCAGCGCCTCTGCCTGCTCCACGCCCACGGTCCACTCCATCTCTCCCAACCAGGGGTCGTACCACCAGGTCATCCACATTCAGGGCAGTGCCTTCAGTGACATTGCCTGCGCTAATGAGGTTAGCAGCATTTTTATGGCTCATATGTAAATAGAATTAAAATTAAAATGTATTGAATCGTGACTGGTGTCTCTGTGTCCTGTAGGTGACAGTGGGAGATCAGCCTTGTCAGGTGATCAACAGCTCTCACTCTGAGATCTACTGCCAGCTCAGCGACAAGAGCGAACTTCCCATCGGCGTCGCTCACCCTGTAGCCCTCAGAGTCAACAACTTTGGCAGCGCCATCATCGCCGTACCAAACGAGCTCGCCCGTCGTTTCGTGGTTCTGCCTGTGGTTAATTCAGTCTCGCCCCCTATCGGCAGCCCCACCGGCCACACGCGGGTCCTCATCTACGGCTCTGGTTTCTCTGAAGGACAAGTGACTGTAGCCAGCGAGCCGTGCACTGTTGTGTCAGTCAATTACACTTGTATCACCTGTGACACCTCGGCTTCTCAGCCTCACACTGGCGATGTCGTCTTCCAGATGGGCAGGATCCCAAGCTCTTGCCACTCAAACTGCTCCTTCATGTACTCCTCCTCCGTCACTCCCACGGTCACCGGTATTTCCCCCGAGAGCATCAGCGATTTAACCACCGTCACCATCTCGGGCTCAGGGTTTGGCAGCCGTGTGGATGACCTGGCGGTGTTTGCCAGCACCATACAGCTGGAAGTCAGCGCCGTAACTGATGGCAACATTTCACTAAGAGTTAGCGCTCTGCCTGCGGGCGACCACCCAGTCATAGTGATTGTGAGAAGTAAAGGCCTTGCATCCGGTCCTGTAACCCTGAGCAGCCAAGCCCAAGCCAGCCTCAACCCCGACACTGGCAGTCTGGCAGGAGGAACCTCTCTCGTCTTCACTGGAAACGGTTTCGCTCCAGGGAACACCAGCGTGACGGTCGATGGCCAACCCTGCGAGATTCAAGAGGTGACACCGGGTCTGCTGCGCTGCCTGACGCCTCCTCACAGTGCGGGGCTGGTGACCGTCAACATCCAGGTCTTTTCTGTGCAGTATCCTCCTCTCAACTTCACCTACTCTGCAGCCAACACTCCTGTCATCAGCTCCATCAGCCCCACCACTGGTAATTATGGTCTTCTACATCCTGTAGTCATAGTAGCATGTTATTCTCAGCTTTGTGCACAAAAAGATACACTTTTTTCTAGATGGAAAAATTTTATGTAACCCTATAACTTCAGTTCAGATTCACTGTATTATGTCATATTATATCCATCCAGTGCTGCGTAACCTTTTCTCTCATTACCTCGTCTTCCTCTCTGTTTATTTCCCACAGGGCCGAGCGGGGCAGTCATCACACTGACAGGTTCAGGATTTGGCACCGACTCTCAGCGAGTCTCCGTCACCATAAACCACGTCCCCTGCAATGTGTCCTCAGTGTCCGACACACAGGTCCAGTGCACTGCAGGAGACAACCCAGGGGGGGCGTACCCAGTCATACTGCAGCACCAGGTCAAAGGTCAAGCCCAGTCAGATGTCACGTTCATGTACGAGCTGACCCTGAGCGGCGTGCAGCCCAATGAGGGTAAGCAGAGACGGTCTAAATAATCCACTGCACTGTTCTTGTTAGTGTGCCTTCATATTCTTGTTATTTTATACTCAGAGTAGGGTAACACATACAGAATATAGAGTATCACCCAGGATAGGTAATAAAGGTTTAAAGGTAAATGCACCCATATTGCATTTTATATCATCTTACTGAATAAGTTCTTTCCACCTCACCTGTGATTCAGGCAGTTTTGGCGGCGGTGCTCTGCTGTCCGTGCAGGGTTCTGGGTTTGACCCGCACAACTCCACTGTGATGATCTGCGGGGAGGAGTGCAAAGTTGACAGAGAAATGTCGACATCAAGCCGTCTGTACTGCGAGTCTCCATTCAACAACGGTACGTTCACTTTATTTCACCAGGATAATCCACTCAGACCTCAGTCATCCTCTGTCCAAAGTAACAGGAGGATTCAAAACTTCAACTGTCAGCTTCAATATTTTTTAATGACAAAAAGAGATTTTTGTTATTCAAACAAAATAATTTACTATTATAAAAAAAATCTAATCGGTTTGAAGGATATAAAAATGCAGCCAAAAAGGCTTTAATGACACAACAATCAGCAAAATCCTCTATTTGTTTCAGTTTGATTTACTCACTAAACTTTTTCATATGACAGCAAACAAAATCCAGAAATTAGAAAAGATCTCAGTTTAGAAAATTATTGATACTCTGATTCACCTTTAGTTATTACAGTTTCATGTTGTTCGAATTAACATCTAATCTAATTTCATCACTTCTGGAACTAAAGATACATATTTGTTTTTGTTTACATATATTCTTTTTGAAGGTTTTTTTAAAGAATGTGGGCCTGCTGGTTCGTATTTTTAGTTCCAGGCTCATTATAACAAACCAGTCCTGTTTTAGTTGAACTTGAAATGCTCTAATGGAGACTTCTGCGAGGAATGTTGTTGTCCTTTAATCACACAAAAAATGACAGACATATCAGATAAGACAATAACCTGTCACAGACGATGAAACACCTTAACCTGCTTGTTATCTCCGAAAACGCATCTTGATTGTTCCCATTCCTTTTGTTGTTTGTCTGCGGTTGCGTATGGGTGTGCTGTCTGCTCTCAGGCACTCAGTCGGAGGTGAGCTGTGCGGTTGCTGTCATTAACCAGCTGGATACCGTCAACATATCAAATGGCTTCGCCTACAAATCTCAGTTGACTCCGGTGATCACTGAGGTTTCTCCACGCAGAGGAGGCACCGCCGGAGGCACCCGGCTCACAATCACCGGCTCCGGTTTCAGGTGCAGTAAAGGAGGAGACTCTGCAGTGTACAGATGACACAATGGAAGAGACACACCCAGATTTTGGACCACTGGTTGAGAATCAAATGCTCAACTTACAAAATACAATTGCTTTTATTTCACAAGACGTCTTTGCTTTTGTTTGGTTTGAGACATTTTCTCGGTTTTGGCACGTAGTGGTTTCCAAACGTGAACAAATACTGTGTTCATTTTACACATAATAAACAATATCAGTATTTCCACATGTGTTCATTATCAATAACAATCAATATAAGTGCCAAGAATAAAGCCTCAATGTACAGTTTTATATATACGCATCCAAAATAGTTAAAAAACACATTAACAACACATTATAATGAACAGTGTGGTACAATGAACGTATCATATAGTTTGAATAGTTACTATATCGATATGCCACATAAATTAAATAATAATAACAAAACATAAGTAACACAAAGACTCTCGTATCTCATTTTTGTAATTTTGATATAATTTAATATAGTTATATTTTATATAGTATTATATTACAATAAATTGCAACATGAGATTGAACTATACATTATAGTATAGAGGTATATTATGTATTTTATTATATTATAGTATATTGTTTCATAATATAGAATTTGATTATTTTTCATGTGATTATATTATTATTTCCATATATAAAAGTATTATAAACCACTTAAATATTAGCATAGCTACACCTCAACACAGATTCATATAAATTACATTGAATTAAAATATATGTAATTAATAATAATTTGGTGCTTTGTAGAATGATATGATATGGTTAAAGTAAGATGTATTCTATTTTATTTCATTATATTATATTATATTAAAGTATATCACATATGATACATTACTGTACAATGTAATACCATACAATTACTTTATGTAATTTTATATTTATCATATTCTGTTTTATTATATACATATATATACAATGTATTGTCTAAGTTAATATTTTAATGTCATCACATTCACTCATTACAGCACTAACATGAATGAAGTGAACGTGACGATCGCGGGGTCTGTGTGTGACGTTCAATCCACCAACAACACACACATCATCTGTGTGACAAACGCTCAGCGACAGTCTCAGGAAACCAAAGTCAGAGTCAGCATCGGAGACAGAGGCATCGCCAAGATGGTGAGAGAGGACAGTCAGACCTAACAACATAACAATCAGACTGATTTCATATCATCAGATGCTTGTCTTCATACAGTATTTGTCTCTTTCTTTAGGACGACGCAGATTTCTTCTACATTGACGTGTGGTCGTCCAGGTTCACGTGGGGTGGTCTGTCTCCGCCTGAGAAGGGCTCGTTCGCTGTCATCACTAAAGGCCAGACCATCCTGCTGGACTCCAGCACCCCTGTGCTGAAAATGCTCCTTATTCAAGGTGCAAACAGTAGTTTTTAGATTAATTTATGTTTTGCATCCTTTTTTTTCTAATCTTCCTGTTATTCAAGTTTATATAAATTATAGAATTTGTTAATTTTTAGGATAAAAACGAGCATTTACTCACATAATTGCTCAGTGCAAGAACATAAAAACAAATTTTTCCAACAGTATTTAGTTTGTAACTTGCTGTTTCTTTGTGCTCAGGAGGGACATTGGTGTTTGATGAAGCGGACATCGAACTGCAGGCAGAAAACATCCTGATCACAGACGGCGGGCGTCTTCAGATCGGCCAGGAGGGGGCGCCATTCCAGCACAAAGCCATCATCACACTTCATGGAAACCTGCGCTCACCTGAACTCCCCGTTTATGGAACCAAGACGCTGGCTGTCAGAGAGGGAGTGCTGGACATGCATGGTATGAACACAAACATATTCAAATAGATGAGAATATGCTAAATTGTTGACATTATTTCCCAAATTGTTAAACTATTCCTTTAAACATGCTACTACATGGTCTCTGTTAATGTACAAACTGTTAACATTTACTGCTGCACATTAAACATCAAACAGCATGTTGCTGTCCAACACTTCCCAATAGTATAATTACAGCAGGGGTGAACAGTATAAGGAATAGTTATAGGAAAAGCTTTTACTTTGTACTCAGTATAACACAAAATATTTAAACAGTTGTTGTTACTCGTTATTTTGCACATTTAGCTTTTTTGATTTTGTATTTGATTTTATTGATTACCTTCTAAAACATTGTTCCATGAAAAGATCCCACTGCTATCAAGTCTTTTTAGTGTCTTTCAAGTTCTTTTTTTCCCAATGAAAAGAGAAAAAATCTGCCAGTGTAAATATTCAAACTTATTTAAAATGCAAATTAAAACAAAAAAAAATTATAATTTTTTTTATTCTGCTGCAACCTGCCTTATTCTTTCTAATTTCTGTAACATCTTTAAATTTAAAATAATGTTCTTCGATACAAGATACAGAAACTGCCCAAAACTTTAAAGTGATAATAGATAATAGATAAAATCAGCTCCACCTCAACCAACTATATAATAATCCTCTAGTATAACACTATTAAATTCTAATTAATACTTTTACTTTTGTTACTTTAAGAAAATGTTGCTGATATCATTTCTGTACTTTTACTTCAATAAGATTTGTAATTAAGTATTTTATTGTTGTATAAATACTTTTACTTCAGTAAAGGATGAGACTAAATCTTTCACCACTGAATTATAGTCGTCTCCGTTAAACTTCACACAACAGCAGACTGAGATAGTCGTGACCCAAATGTAAAAATAAAAACCCTCATCACATGTCATTATGTCACAAAATGGTAAGCTGACAGAGTAATTTGAGTCATGTGTCCTGGAGGTATGTTAATATTAGTGACACCTCACCTTCAACTCCTCAGGTATAAATCATTGTTGACAACCTGTTTCTCCAGGTATTCCAGTTCCTGTCCCCTGGACCCACTTGGCCCAGACGGCGACCAGTGGCTCCTCCACAGTGACCCTGATGAAGGCAGTGACGTGGAAAGTTGGAGATGAAATCGTCATTGCTTCTACCGGCCACAGGTACAGCAAAGTCTCAAATGTATATCCGTCTAAGCATAAACCAGAGTTATTGCCACAGTTATTGAAAGTACAGTGATAACCTCTTTAGTTAAGACAAGACATCTTCCCTTAACGTATAAAACTTATTATGCAATAGAATCAGCATGCAAAAATCAAACTGCAGTGTCTGCCCTCCGTCTAGTTACAGCTAGCTGGTGACATAACCTTAGGTACAACCAATTCACCCTTTACTTTTTCCTGTTTCCTGTATGTGAAAAATCAATTTTGACATAGCTAATTGAGTTTGTTATGGGGCATAAATAAAGCAGTAGCTAAATAAATAAGTAAGGTAGTCCCACTAAAAGGTAATAAGCTTTTATGGTTTCATGTGGTTAAGCTTTTAAATCAAGCATTTTAATGAATTTAGCTCATTAAATCAAATGGGCAAGAAAGCTGAAGCCTTCAGTGCCTTTTAGATAGATTTTTTTTTTAGGTTTTATGTAAAGTTAGTGACAATTATTAGTATCTAATCAGCCTAAAATCGCATAAAATGAAGGTTTTATAAATTGAACATGTTACACTGTTTGGCTAAGAGCGTTCAGTGATTGAGTACATGAACACAAAAACCTCATACACACACACCTCTAGGCTGATGTGTGACAGGTTGTTTCATAACACTGTGTGTGAAGTGGAATAACACCTGAAGAGGAGATGTGAGGATTATACCTGACATTAACCAAATCCTGTTAAGTAACCAAGTTATGTAAAGTTTAAAGTCATTTAAAGATCCCCTCCAGACATGTAATATGACTTATACAAATAGGCTGCTTGGAACAATAATGTGATATGTTTTTTTCTGCTAAATATTTAGCATATTATACATATTTATACATACATATTACTGTATATTCTATAGATTGACATGGATCACACTAAATTACGGAGCTGCCGGTAGAAATCATTAGTTTCTGTTTCCAGGCACAGCCAGAGAGAGAACGAGGTGAGGAAGATCGTCACCGTGTCGGCTGATGGAAAGACTCTAACCCTGAACGAACCCCTCACGTACACTCACCTCGGTGTGACTGTCACGCTGCCTGATGGCACCGTGTTTGAGGGCCGAGCTGAGGTGGGTGTCCTCACCAGGAACATCGTGGTACGAGGCTCCCAACACCAAGAATGGAACGACAAGATCGAAGCCTGCCCCGAAGGCTTTAACACAGGTACTGTGTTTTAGTGGATGATTTTTACACTAAATGCTGTGTTAAAGTAAAGAATAAGCCAGTTAAAATCTCTACTGTCAAGTGAAATCCCTGACAACAACTTCAGATTTACCAACCTGTATTCTACATATTTTCTAGTTGGTTTAGAAAGAGCTTGTTACATTATTTTTTATTGCTGTAGACTGGTCCATTAGTTGAAATTGACGTCCTTTGCTCACAAAACGTGGAGTGGTGTTACTGCTGTGTCTTCAAGGTGAAGGCTGCAACTAAACATTATTATCATTATTGATTAACCTGCTGGTCTCCCAGAGCCCGAGGTGACTAAAACCAAGAGCAACAAACAAATAATCACATTTTAACATCTAGAACTAGAAAAGCTTGTGCATTTTTGCTTTAAAATCAATCACTAATTGTTTCAGCTCAACTAAACAAGCAGGAATTTGCACTGAATAGGACTGTAAGCCTTTCTGAAACAAATTAACAGTGTGCAATCTAACAAAGACACAAAACAGTATATTAAAAAAAACATGATGTGTATTGTAGGCTTGACCCCCACTGTACACTCCGAGCATCATTTGGATGCAGCATTAACCTCTTTCTGTTCCTGTGCTGTAGGTGAATTCACCACCCAAACCTGTTTCCAAGGAAGGTTTGGAGAGGAGGTCGGCAGCGATCAGTTTGGAGGCTGCATCATGTTCCACGCACCCAGACCAAATGAGAATCTTGCAATGGGCAGACTGGAATATGTTGAGGTGAAATGCTTAAAACTTTCTGTGCTTAAACATCTCGCTTTAACTTATTCTTTACAGTTAATTATATTGATCAGAGTACTCCTGTCTCTCCTGGATCGCTGCATCCTCACAATCTAATACATTTTTAATTCAATTTTGTTTCTTAGTGTATGGAAAAGAATATAAATGATTAACGCTTTATGCTTTTATGCCACAGGTCTTCCATGCAGGACAGGCCTTTAGACTGGGACGTTATCCCATCCACTGGCATCTGATGGGAGACATCAACTACAAGTCATATGTTAGGGGTTGTGCTATCCATCAGACCTTCAACAGGGCCGTAACCATCCACAACACCCACAAGCTGCTTGTGGAGCACAACGTCATCTACAACATCATGGGCGGGGCCTTCTTCATTGAAGACGGCATTGAGACGGAGAACATCCTGCAGTACAATCTGGCCGTGTTTGTCAAACAAAGCACCAGCCTGCTGAACGACGACGTCACTCCCGCCGCCTACTGGGTCACCAACGCCAACAACATCATCCGCCACAACGCCGCCGCAGGAGGCACCCACTTCGGCTTCTGGTACCGCATGCACGAGCACCCCGATGGCCCGTCCTATGACGCAAACATCTGCCAAAAGAAGGTTCCCCTGGGTGAGTTTTATAACAACACCGTGCACTCTCAGGGCTGGTTCGGCCTGTGGATCTTCCAAGACTTTTTCCCCATGCAGAACGGACGCTGCAACTCCAAAACCCCCGAGCCTGCTGTCTTCCGCTCCCTCACCACCTGGAACTGCGAGAAAGGTGCTGAGTGGGTCAACGTGGGCGCCGTGCAGTTCAACAGCTTCGTCATGGTCAACAATGAGAAAGCCGGCGTTGAAGCCAAGCGCATCATGCAGTGGGCCGTGAGCAGATTCGGAGAGGATGGAGGGGCGACGGTGTCCAACAGCACCATTGTGGGACACGTGGATGAGCTCGGACTGGGTGATAACTACTGCACGCACCGAGGTATCATCGCGCCACTGGACGATGGCCTGAGTGTCCTTAACACCAAGTTCATCAACTTCGACCGCAGCTCTTGCGCAGCCATCGGGGTAGCCAGAATCGACGGGACATGTGTGGATCGGTGTGGTGGCTGGGCTGTCAGGTTTAGTGGTATCCAGTACTTCAACTCACCCAACAAGGCCGGCTTCAGGTGGGAGCATGAGGTGCAACTGGTGGACACTGATGGCTCCCTCACAGGTACAAAGTCTGTGTTTATACTTTTCAAATAGAGCAGGTCTGGACCGTACTCTTTATATACATAACTGTTCCAAATTACACCTCAAGCCATGTCAGGCATCACCATAATCCTTATTCTCCATCCCTGCATCCAACTAAAGTCTGTAACCTATGTTTCCTTGTTTGCAGGAGACATCAACCACAAAGTTGTGCCTATGAGCGCCTTGCTGGACCCTGATCACTGTTCCCAGAGTGACGAGTGGAGTGTGGGTTTCCCTGGTGCTGTGTGCGACCACACCGTCGAGTTCCATCGTTTGTCATTCAACAATCCAACGCCAACCTCTCTGAAGGCCAAGGATGTCATCTTAACCAACTCACATGGTATGAAAATACACAGTCTTATTACTTTTTGAATGTAATCTGTAACCTTTACTGACCTCTACTGGTGATTAGTGGGAAATGCTGACAGCCAAAAGACTCAGCATTCTGGACAGGATGAATAATGCATTAATATTGATCATAAATAACATGTAACACAAACAATGTGTTAAATTGTATAAAATGGAGGCATGACAAAGGATAAAAACAAGAGAAGTTAGTAAACATATACTGTAACACTACAGGCTTAAATGAAACATGTGACATGGCGATTTAATTCTGTTACTCTACAAATAATAATTATGTCACTTAAATAGTTTTAGTACATTCATGGATCCCTCCTCTTTCAATTTTTCTTTGATAAAATTATTGTACACCTTTCAAAACACTAATAGATTACCTCACATAATCTGGTAAACTGTTGGCCCCCACACTGGAAGGATCACAGATACTTTTTAGTTATTTTTACAATTTGTAATATCTTATCCAATAATTGTATAAAATATATGGTATCACTATACTTGAACCCCCTATTTAGCATTATAAGCAGTGTATAAACATTTAATAAATTGTTTAAAACACACTGTAATGTAGTTGTAAGCAAACTGAAGTTTTTATTTATAGGGATGCACGATATGGATATTTCTTCAGCCGATACAATAACCCTTCTTAAGGCTGTTACTGATCATATAACCAATCATTTATGTATGTATGTATGTATGTAAAATTTTATACATTTACTTTGGCTTTCATAGAACATAAAGCCTATAAATAAATGTTTTGCATAGGAATTCAAAATATATTTTTTATTAGGGACCAATTTATCGTGGAATAATACATAATAATATACATTTCCCATTATCAACCAATTATTTATTGCCCCTGATAAGTATCGTGCATCCCTATTTATTTATGTATCTGTTAACAACTATAACTTCTCCTGTGGATACCCATAAGCTGCAAGAAGCTGGTGTATAAACAAATAATAAATGACAATATAGTAAAAAAAAAAAAAAAAAACCTGCAAATACTTTTGATAAAGTCTTAAAATTTTCCAATATTGTCTTTTAACTAAAAAAAGTGTAACCAAATATATTAACATATCTGCTGTAATATAAATATATAAACTGTCCTTGTCTGTCATTTATATTGTTGAAAGTGTTGCTTTTAATCGCACTGTCACAGGCTCCAGTGCAGTTCCCTATTTGAAGAAGAGAATGACTCATAAGTATGGCTGGATGGCCATGCTGCCCTCCGGACAGACCTACAACTGGTACTTTTCCGACATGGACCACGTCACCAACATCACATATGCTGCAAAATTCTACAGCTTCAAGGTAAACAAGAGAGATTCGTCACATCGTAGTATAATATAAGCAAATAATAATGATAATGACCACTCTAAAACCAGCTTTCTGGCTATTTGCACTGTCTTGTGTTTTTTCACCCCCACACAGCCCGATCAATATGTGATCATCAACCACAACTTAACCCAGAGTCCAGACAGATTCCGCATCATCGATGAGAGGAACGGCTCGGTGACGCCGCTGAGCTTCAGCGATAACAATAACGGAGACTGGTACTTCGACCAAAGCACCAACAACCTCTACTACATCAGTAAGACACACTCTAATATGCGTCTATTGATTTTAATGCTCATTTTTATGATTGATTAATCCTTTAAGTTGTTCATTGAGCAAAAATGCCTGATTGAAGCTTCTCAAATGTGAGGATTTGCTGTTTTTCCTCAGTTTTTATTACTGAATTAGAATTTCTTTTGGTTTTGGACTGTTGGTCAAACAAAACAAAAACTTATGATCACTGATTTCTTTGTCATTTTATAGACAAAAAAATGTGCAGATAAAAAATAAATGACTTTGTTTTTGTGATTTGACTGATTTTGACTGTTGACTGTGTGTGACACAATAAGGGAGCTTTTCTTTAAAAAGTGGAAACTGTTTAATCTGATATGCACTTTTTGTCTTTTGTTTACATTATATACAGTATAATGCTTAACATAAACACTAGTTAAACCTGCCTCATTATCACCATTATTGTTTATTAGCCACATCTTAAATCACAGTAATTGATTGACTGACTTATTCATTTGTTTGACATCGTTCTGTGTCTGCAGTTTCTGGGAAGACCAACCAGCGGCGGCGGCGTGCCAGCGTTGACCGTTCCATGACCGACTCTGAGGTGAACTTGAGGGTCTACCGCTGCTTCTACACCGACTGCCTCACACCGACGCCACCGCCTCCAGCCACACTCGCCCCCTTGCCCTCCGGCCGGCCTGAAGATTTCATGTACGTTTAACCCGCACTGCAACATGTTATCCATGACCAGAAAACTAATCCAAACTCACAAGCTATAGTAACTTCAGCTTATGTGATTCCACCACTTACTCTCTTACTAACATACTACTGCGATGTAAAGATGAAATGTACTCATTACATTGAATGGCTCATTTCACAGTGTTACAACGTTAAATATATTACAGGGTTATTATTACTGATTCATTAACATGTGAGCAGTATTTTTGTAGTGTGTGGTTTTAAATGCTTTATTATTTGTTGGGTAGTTAAATCTGCTAAAAAAAAAAAACCTCCAAACTTATAAAACATATTTCTCTATAAGTGAATTTTAAAGGACTTCTTTTGCAGCATGGACTAAATATTTCAATCCGTTTATTTAAATGTTTCAAAAATGTTCCAGAAATGAGTGTCGGCAGGCCCTGGCACTAAAACTACTACCACTACTACTTTTTATAGAAAATAAAACTCAAACTCTAGATTAAATATGACTTAATAAGAGGGAGATTTGTTTCATTGCAACAGTAAATATAGTTTTAAAAGCAGCATATTGACATGTTTTGTATTGAAAATAACCAGAATCTACAGTGTAGTAAAAAGTACAATATTCCTCTCTGAAATGTAGTGTAGTGATTTTATACAAACTTTATTATCTATTAAAAACATACATATAACCCAACTACTAACCCAACCTCTTAAACACAATCAGTGTTGATTTGAAGTGGGTTACTACTAGACAAAAGTGGACAAGTTTGAATAGGTATTTTGTTGATTCTGGTTTATCCTTCCTAAAGTTAAAATGTCCTTTTTTGTGTGTGTGTTTCTCTGCAGTCTGTGGTCTAATGTCTCGTTCTGGACAAGTTCAGCTGAAAATAACTTCTCTGCGCCAAAAGAGGGCGCTGATGTGGTCATCCCATCAGGTAATGTCTGAGAAAAACACAAAAAATCTTGACTAAACCAAAGAAAAACACAATTTAAGGGAACATTTTCATCATGCATCTTTTCTTACATATGAGTTTTTCCACTTTATGTCTGATTCCTTCACTATAATATGAAAGAAAACAATTCGATTATAAAAGAATATTCAGTTTGAACTGGACTTTATGGTAATATACTGTTGTTATAATACCTTTGTGTCTCCGTCAAACCACAGGAAAGTGGGTCATTTTGGACAGCGACACTCCTCCCCTCAACAAGCTGACTATCATTGGAGTCCTAGAGATCCCCGACACCAACATCACATCCAGCAGACAGGCTCGGGCTACAGCTGAATACAGGACTGTGGTGATAAACGCTGTCTATATCTCCATCCAGGTTAGTGTGATCAATAATCTCTCTGACTTCTAAGATTATCACTTTAAAATAATTCACTTTAACGTCATTTTTAACTTAATCTCACTCTTAATGCTGCACACAAGTGAAGAAGAAAGGTGGACTGAAGTGTTATTTATCTCCAAAATGTATTTCAGGAGGGTTTTATTAACGGTTTGTGTTGATAAATGTCAGTTTATGTCTCAACTCCGTGGAGATATTAGATAAAGATCTGAGTAATTCCTATCAGCAACAACACTTAACCATGACTGAACAGAGAGTGCCACCCACAGAACATCAAACTAAATCAGTAGATAATCAATATAAAGGAAGATCACAGTACTTCCCACACAGTTTGTTGAGTGAGGCAATGTTTATGTTTCCTGCTGTTTTTAGGGCGGCAGGCTGATGGCAGGAAAGAAGGACGAGCCGTTCAGAGGTCAGCTGCACATCAAACTGAGAGGGAACCACAGAACGCCTGACTGGCCTCTGCCTGACGGACCCAACCAGGGATCCAAAGTCCTCGGTGAGAAAACAACATCAGACTTCGTGTGCTATTAAATATATTTAAGCATTATTGTACAAAAGTATATTACATTATATTACTAATGATAAATCAGCATATTTGTTTACATTTTAATCTTCTCAGACTGTGTGATAATTTAATAAAAAATGCTGCTACTGTGCTCCATGCAACTGATGATTGTACTCTAATTCTCTGTTATTTTATTGACTCGGTGTGTGTTTTGTTGTGCCGCAGGTGTGTTTGGTACTCTGGAGCTTTATGGGCTACCTCACAGCGTTTACCACACCAAACTCGCTGCCACTGCTGCCGCCGGATCCAACACTCTGACCCTGTCGCAGTCCGTCGACTGGCAGGTCAGTGCAGTTTCTCTACACCTTGAACTGTTTGTGTACTGAATTGTAAAGATTGTTTGTGTTCTGTTTACTTACTGCTTCTGTGTGCAGGTTGGAGAAGAGGTCGCCATCTCCACCACGGGCTACAACGCGTGGGAGACAGAAAAACGCCAGATTACTGCCGTGTCAGAGGACGGCCTCATGCTGACCCTGAACCAGCCTTTGACCCACACCCACGTTGGTCTGTATAACATGTGAATTTGTAACATTTACATTTGAGTTAATATCCATGTTGCTGCTTGCCAACTAAAATGTCTCCTTAGTTATTCTGCTTATTGTCCAGTTATAACATTTGCTATCAGAATAAGACTTATTTATGTGTCTCAGGCTATCGATACTGACTTCTCTCTCTCTCTCTCTCTCTCTCTCTCTCTCTCTCTCTCTCTCCTCAGGTGGGACTCACTCTGTCTCAGGTACATCGCTCTCCTACACTCTGGCGGCTGATGTTGGTCTCCTGACCAGAAATATTAAGATCATCGGTCAGGAGTATGCACAGATGATGCAGGAGTCGTTTGGAGCCAGACTTTTGGTTGGCACCTACTCCTGGGAAGGAATCGACTATAAAGGTAAATAAAGAATACTGTGTTTAAATACTAAACTTTAGAGTTTGAGGTGACACATTGGGAGTGAAACAGTGTTGCAGCGTAATGACTTTTAACATTTTCCTTCTATAATCATAATTTATTCATTGTTTTATATAAATCATCATTCATGTTCTTACTACATATATTTTATCAAATTAAGATTCATTATTGTTATTATTCCTTGTTTCAACAATACAAAGTACATAGATGTGTATACACTGTTTACTGTCTATACAGCCCTGGTATGGCTTTGTTTTCACACTCATTTACATTATTTACACATTACACATTATCACTGTTTGATATTTTATTCCTAAAGGCAAAGCTCAGATCAGGAACGTGGAGTTCTTCCACTCTGGTCAGGAAGGCTGGAACGATGACAGTGACCCTCGTTACTCCGTGGCCTTCCTCAACCTGGAAGAGGTACAGAAACAAATATACACAACCACAAACACAATGCTATGTATTTACACACACGGTTCTTTAGAATGAAGGGAGTGAAAATAACCTTCAGGACCACCTGCTGCATGTCATCCTCTCTCTCTCTCTCTCTCTCTCTCTCTCTCTCTCTCTCTCTCTCTCTCTCTCTCTCTCTCTCCACTTTCCTATCACTCTTGCTGGAGAAATAGATGACAATGGAGGATTCTGGCTCTTTTTAGTTTCAATAGAATTTAAATACAACAATTTAAAAACTAAAGTTTTTACATCAGAACAACACAGCAAAACTAACTAACTGGATCACAGAGTTGGAAAAAACTTTTATATTTGATCTGTAACAGCACGAGCACGATTTTGAGGTGCTGTTAACACTTGATGTAGTTTATTACTAAAGGGAGAAAGTATCTTTTATATTTGTAAAATGTAAACTGAATGTTTGTTTTTGTGTTTAAAGGTTTCGGAAGATGACTCGTACATTCAGGGTTGTGCTTTCCATGACGGTTTCTCTCCAGCCATTGGAGTCTTTGGGACCGAAGGACTGAACGTTGACGATAACATTGTCCATCACACTGTGGGAGAAGGTAACCACTGTACTGTCACCATGATTTACAAATGTTGTACAATCTACACATGGGGCCAGATTAACCTAATCTTCCTGAGCACTGAACAGGAAGTCTTTAAAGTATTCAAATGTATCTCTGTTCGCAGGTATCAGGATCTGGGGCGACAAGATAACAGTGAGGAGGAACCTGGTGATGATGACGCTGTGGCCTGGATCATATCAGGACAGAGAGGAGCCCTTCAACTACGCCTGGAACGCTGCCATCGAGGTCCGTCCTCTCAAAATACAAAGACAAACCACTTTAAATATCTATAGCTGCATGTGTAATCTGTACTGTTTGCTTCAGGTCAACGAGGGGACAAATGTTGTGCTGCAACATAACATCGTGGCAGGTTACGAGAGGGTCGCTTATCGCATCGACGGCGAACCGTGTCCAGGTAACGGAAGTGATTTAACCAAAGTGGTAGTGGATGTTTCACCTTAATTCCCCATGCTGTCCATTCATTGAGTGTGCAATGTGTGCTCAGAGTGTTTCTCTTCCCTGGTTTCTGCCTGCGCAGGTTATTTGAACGAGAATGAGAAGTGGATTCATAACGAGGCGCACGGCGGTCTGTACGGAGTCTATATGAACAAAGACGGTTTGCCCGGCTGCAGCCTCATCAGGGGCTTCTTCATCTGGAGGAGCTTTGACTACGGCATCTACTTCCAGGTTTCTTATGCTGAACTTCTTGTCTTTCTTGACACTTGAGTTTATTAATGTGCTTCATTCATCCACAAAAACAATGTTCTGACTTCATTTGACTGCAGCAAGAGACAGGCTCAGCTTGCCCGTTGAATCCACCACCGAATACTTTGATTCCAAAAAAAACCAACTACAGAGAGATGATGTGTCCTAGCTGTGATGCAATATAAATATTTTTTTCCTTAATAAACTGTTAGATAAAGTGATTTCAGTATGTTTCAGTGCCATTTTGAAGAGTTTTAAGTATATTTTTAAAGTATATTGTCAGTTATTTTGGCCAGGAAAATTGTGAGAGGAAATTTTGACAAATGTTTACTTATCAAAACAAATGACAAATGAAAAGTCTTGTAGGAATGTCAAATCTATTTGCAGTTTTTGGGCAACAGTCATTTATAAAACGTGACGCTGCCACCATTTACAGTCTGTGTGTAACTGGAAAGAAGTGACTGAAGTTTATTCTGTTTCTGCTGTCTTTTTAAAATACATGTGGGTGTAAAAGCTAATGTTTACTCAAATAATAATTCTCCATATCACTAAGTTTTGTTTACCGTACAGATTTATAAGAGCTGAGTTTATGATTCCTTAGCAAATAAGAAATAACATAATCCAGATAGAACATATCACCATCCTCCTCTTCTTCCTCTCCCTCTCACAGACCATCATGAATATTGTTATTTCCAACGTGACGCTGGTGGACAACGGGTTGGGTGTGATGCCTCTCATCTACGCTCCTCCTTCGGTCTCCCACACATACGCCGATAAAAGCGTACATATTCAGGTGAGGAAGGTTTATTTTATATTTGCTCGGTTAGTTATTCCTTTCATACTTATCACATATCATTAAGTTATATACTAGTAAACAGATTTCATATTCCTCCCGCTCATCTCTTCCCAGAATGCCTTGATTGTTGGCAGCAGTCCGAGCTTCAACTGTTCAGACACTGTGCCCGCCACTGACTTTAATATTGTCAACAGTGAGGACCATCGAGCACCGAGACCTCTCAATGGTACAGTGCAAACTCCCTGATGCTGCCAAACCACCACTTACACTTACACTACTGTGTTGTTATGAGGATTTATTCATTGAGTTTGTGTATAAGGATATTGTTAATTTCATTTTAATGTTATTTTATCTTGTTTTCTCTTTTCCTTTATATGTTCAGAATAAATATGAACAAACAAACAAACAAACAAACAAACACAGTTGAGCAAGCTTTGGTCAGAACCTCGGTCAACTTCCTCCTTTCCTGTAACATTTAACTAGCATTAGCTAAGATGTGACTATATGTATCTTTTATTTTTTGACCATCATCAAAATTAGGTTGTCTTTTCAACATAGTTGAGCCTATCACTAGATAGCATATCATAAGTCAATATATTTTTCCCAGGAAAGTCATGACCCGCCCTGCTCCAGCTCTGATTGGCTAGTACCTGTTGCCTTCATTGGTTTGATTGGTTAGCTCTAGGCATGAGGTGAATAAATTAAAAAGGAGGTTCATATTGTGTTTGACCACCAAGAACTTGAACTCCATTGAGAAGTGGTGGAATTTGATCCTTTTTTCCACGTGAATGCAGGCTGGTTAAACTGAACATCTTTTATTTACTCTGTACAGGTGGCAGATCTGGACTCTGTTGGCCAACTTTTGGATCTAGGCACAACACCGCTCCAGCTAAGCCTCATCATGTGAACAACAACTACAATGCCATCAAAGGACTGATGACAGTCAAGGGTGAGTTCAGGCTCTGAAGTGGTTTTAAAAAAATGTTATATTATTATGATCCCGGAGTGACGTTCTGAAAACAATCTTCACAACAATTTAAAGAAGAACTTATTCCGTATTTTTCATTTTTCTTTCTAGACACAACATTTGTGGGTTTCCGTAACGTCTGCTCCAGCGAGACGAACTTCATGTTCATCACCAACCCGCTCAACGAGGACTTGCAGCACCCTGTGCAGGTTTCAGGCATAAAGACAGTTGACAGCACAGAAGGGGCCAAAGTCTTCATCCACAGGGCTGATTTAGGGTAAATAATTGTACATCAACAGATATAAGGCTTGCAAAATCTGTGGTCATTTCTACAGACGTCAAACAGTGAGAAAAGAATCAAAAATGTCCACAGGAACAAAGTAAAAAAGACGTTCATTGAATATTATACAGCTGGATAAGTCTGCAATGCAATAACAACAGCAAAAATAGTTTTCAGAGGAAAATCTTAATATATATATAATGTTAATTTTCATATTTTGAGTTGTGAATGCTAAAATAAACTTCATGTATTTGTTCCCCAGTAAAGTGAACCCATCTGACTGCGTGGACATGGACTGCGATGCGAAGAAGAAGAGCTTGCTGAAGGACTTGGACGGCTCGTTCCTGGGTGCAGTGGGAACTGTTGTGCCCCAGTCTGAGTACGAGTGGGGAGGTGATGCCAGGAGGGGGCTGGGCGACTACCGCATCCCCAAAGTCATGCTCACTTTCCCCAACGGCAGCCGCATCCCTGTGGACCAGATCGCTCCACACAAAGGTAACCAGTGGAGGGAGTAAAAAAGATCAGCCTCCGCAAATAAATAATAGCTACTAAAAGTGCACATTTAACTGTCCTGTTTGACCCTTCTGTGGACGAGTATAGTAGAACATTTCCACAATAACTTTGTTGCTTTATTTGTCCTTAGGTGTGATCAGGAAAGACTGCACGTACATGAGTACCTGGCAGAGCTACAAGTGTTTCGGGCTCAGTTACAGGATGCTGGTGATCGAGAGTCTTGACTCTGACACAGAGACCAGACGTCTGTCCCCCGTTGCCGTCCTCGGAGACGGCTTTGTGGATCTTCTCAACGGTAAGACGATTTCTACAGAAAAATCTGAATGATCTCTCTAAAAAAAACAACAGAATTCCTCTTTAATTTAGTTGTGTGCCTTTGTGTCCAGGTCCTCAGGATCAAGGTTGGTGTTCGGGCTACACCTGCCAGAAAAGAGTGTCTCTCTTCCACAGCATCGTGGCCACTGGTCACTCCTTCGACGTCTACTTCTCCAGCGTCAGCCCGCAGAAACTTCGCCTCATGATGCTCAACGCTGATCCGTCTGAGGTCAGTGCACAACCTGGAGATCTCTCTCTGCTCTAAATATTACACATAAAAGTCAAACTTCTTCAGTTTAGGTTCACCTCAGTTATTTTTTTCTCTTTTTCACTTTTGTTTTTTACTTTGTGCAGAGCGTCGTGGTGTCGGTCTTCTATTCCAAGCCGCAGCGGTTGGATGTGTATGTTGACAACAAACTGGTCGCTCCGACTAACGCTAAGTGGAACAATGACGAAACTGACTATACCCTGAATAAGCCCATCGTAGCAGGTACTAATGTTAATAGTAATGTGACTTTAAATCAGTTCAGGCAAAAAAGCAGGTTAGGGCCAACAGTATCTATTAAACATTATAATCTCCTATTAAGTTTAATCACATATGTGGAGTAGGCCAGAACATGTACATGGCTTGGTCATGTTTCATTGCATTCGATTTAGTTTGGTTTTACAGATGGACCTCATGTTTGTCTTAAGCTTGAACAGCACTCTACTCTTGGCTCAACCAGAAAGTTTTATTAAGATCTTTCTGGTCTTTTCTGCTGTGTTTTTTCAAAATGAATGCCCACTAAATGAGCATGATATTACAGTCTTCTTTTTCATTTTACCTTCAAATTATAGCTTTATGTGTGTGATGGACGCAGGAGTATGTATGTGTGATAAGGGAATCTGTCAGAATGGTTTGTTTGCTAATTTGTATGTACTGTAAAAGCAGCAACAGTAACTGACAAATACTCATTGCTGCCTGATTTTCTGCATTTAAAGCATTCAATAATAAATGAGTCAAAGTTCTTAGTAAAAACGTAGATTTTATTTTTTGATTTTATGGATCATATTTTCAAATTTCTTTCTTTTATCCCTCCAGGTCAATACTTTCCCCCAACTGAATGACACTTTGGGAACCAACTACTTCGACCAGGACAACAAGATGCTGAAGGTCTTGGTGAGAGGATCCAAACCGGTGGAAATCCGAACCTCCCCGGTTCTCTTCCTCGCCTTCGAGCTGCCCGCCATGACGGAGGATGAGTTCTTCGGAGACAGCCTGGTCCAGAACCTCGCTACCTTCCTCAAAGTTCCCCCGAATATGATCCGAATCACCAAGATCATCCGGGAGGATGGAAGCGGGCGACGCAGGAAGAGATCCACTGGCCTGACGGTGGAGGTGGAGATTAAGAAACCTCCAGTCCAGCAAACCACCAACAGCACCAACGGTCAGTGGGAGGAGGAATCTAATATGAGTCTAACATGTGAACATTGGCCTATAAATTCAGATCCAGCCTTCTAATAGTCATACATATAACATCTCTCTGTTCCCTTTGTCCTCTCAGATGAGGAGGACTTTGTTTTGTTGCAGAGCATTGCTGACAATCTGGGTCAGGCAGCAGTTTCTGGAAACCTCAGTCAGTCCATCGGCTTCAACGTGTCTTCGATGGGCGTCATCCCTCCTCCTCCTCCAGCATCTGACCCCGACTGGAATAAGGTGATTTCAAGACTTAATCATAATGATGTCTGCTTCATGAAAACTACACTGAAAGAAATGATGTGTCATTTGACATAAGCGCTCACTGGTTCAATGACTTTCTACTCTAAAATCTCAGGAGGCCACAGCGGAAGTGACAAGAGAGGAGCCTAAAGTGAGCTTTGTGTCCGGCGTGTCCAAACTGCTGTTGATGGCGGATCCGATAGCCGGGGAGTTTGTGGGTCCTCTGCACCAGCAGCCCAGCCTCATGGCTGTGGATGAGCAGGTGAGGCAATGATACATCTCCACACATGGCTGCTCCTAAATCTGATATTGTGAAGGCAGAGAAAGGACGTAAAATAGGCTTTATATCAGCTCAGGATTGGATGTTACTGTTCTGTCATATTAGGTTAAACCGCTCCAGTGTGAACCGCTCTACCACATTATTTTTTATGTTGATTCAGTGTGTAGTCTTTGTTTCTCATTTCTTTAAGCTGTGTGCTCGATTCTTTTCTTTATCTCTTAGATTTTTGTTTGCTTTTTGGTCCAAAAATGCTCAATTTATTTCATCTTAGAAACTGCCTACTGGGCCTTTTTACTCTAAATGAGAAATTAAATTGATTAAATGAAAACAGAATACAATGCAAAAAGTAATTTTCTGTAATTTTCTAATTATTTTGGGCCTCCTCATTTCCATTCTATTCTGGATCAAATTAACTTTGGAGTTAATGGGCTCATGTTTGAGGTTGAAGTCATAGGATGGTAAATAATAAAATATTGAAAAGTAAAGGAGACACACACAGCAGAAGATTTAACATTATGTGGAAGTAGCTGCTGTCTCTAAAGGCCGACCTGTGTTGTTGTCTGCAGGGTAACTGTGTCTCTGTGGGAGTGACGAGTCTCACTGTAACAGCCAGCCTGAAGGACTCCAGCGGGAACAGCATAGACGGACTGAACGGAAACACCACCATCCTGTTCAGCACCTGCTGGGGAAACTTCACCGACCTGTCCATTCTCAACAGCGGTACGTCTTTTTTTAAATGAATCCTACAGACCAGTACAAACGTATTTACTCTCAGATGAAGTGAGTTTAATGCCCAGGTGCCAACTCTTTCTGTTTTTCATTTTATTTGAATCACCAAACAATTCCTCTTCCTCTCCCTGAAGGTGAGAACCTCACCATGGCCTTCACTCTGAAGGAGTGGGGCGCTGAGTCACGCAGCTTCTCGGTCAAAAGCACTCCAACCACAGAGGCCCCAACGACCAGCAGCAACGTTACAACCTTAACCACAGCCGAACCGCAGACCACCGACAACAGCATCTTCAGCGGTGGCTCGGCCGTGGCTGCCGGCAGTCTGTGTCTGGTCAGCGTTATCTACGCTGTAGCCTGCTGCTCAGACAGCACCCCCATATGCTAGATAGTTCTGTGAAGCTAAGAGGGTTTTATGAAGGATATCTCAACATTTATTCACTTTAACTTGAACAAATCTGCTCAATGAAAGGAATGTAGTTGTTGATAATATTATGAACATGGTGTTTTTTCCTTTTAATATCAATTTATATAAGCAGTTAAACAGATTTATTGGGTTGGGGTTAAAAGATTGATGAGGAAAACCAATGAGCCAAATTAAAGCACTTATCCCTCCATCTGTTTTTTGGTTTTTTTGAGTTCTTTGGTTTTGTTATATGTAAATGTCTGTTATGATTATCATAAATGTCCTATAATATAGACTTTCTATTTTAAAACAGGTGCAATAGGGTTTAACTTGAATCTGTAACAAGGTGAAGGAAGACATGAAGTTTGTATTTTGTTAATGATTGTTTGAAGCTTTATTTTCCTTTCAATAAATTCACATCCACAAAATATTATTATTATTATTATTGCGTGTTTTTCTTTTATTAATCCAATAACTGTCTAATTCTGAGTGCTGTGCTGTCCATGGTGCTGAAGGAAGCTGATTGGCTGAATGTTTAACTCTTTTTTTAAACCAGGGTAATATGTTTGCGCTTCACTAGAGGGCAGGAGACTCCGTGGTAAATCCTAAACTCATGCTCACTCAATTTCAGTTGCAGTGATATTTAAAGTCGTGCTTAAACTGAGAGAAAACTTCCAAAATGGAGACAAAAAAACTCGAAATTAAGAGCCATTTTGGTTTGGTACAAGAGGGTTTTTCTGTGTTGGCAACCAAAAGTATCAGCAAACGCAGCAGAAGCTGACGAGCGTCTTTTCAGCTCACATCTGTGTTCCCAGGAGGGAGGCGACGGCCGACAGAGGAACAATTAGTTTTACAGCCTTAATTTGCGCCCTCCATTTAGCCTCAACGTTAACAGTACAATGTGGGCGTGTTCTCGCCCCCTTTTTTAACTTTGCACCGCCTGTCCTCCTCCCGGAGCTGTGCGCACTTTGCGGAGCAGCCACTTGCTGCACAGTGGATGCCCGTGGTCCCCCCCCCCACCGCCCGGCCACAGCTCAGGCTCCGGCTCTGATATCAGGACGAGACCAGAGGATGGATTTCTATCACTTCACTTTTCTCTGCGGGGCTCTTGCGTTTGTTTGGGAAATCCCCTGCTGTCAGACTCTTGTGATTTTCCCTCCAGCTGTCCAGAAGAGCAGCAAGGTGGCGAGGATTTTTGATGGACAAGAAGCTTCTAAATATTTCAAGGAGTTTTACGCGCCGCCATCCATCGACAGAAACAATAAAGCGACGTCTACAGAGCTGATTGAGCCTCATGATTACATGCTGTCTATTTACAAGACTTTCTCCACTGCGGAGAGACTGGGACTCAACGCCAGCTTCTTTCGGTCTTCAAAAGCTGCAAACACTATTGCAAGTTTTGTGGACATTGGACAAGGTATGTGGAGCTTTGCTATATGTGAGTGAGTGAGTGTGTGTGTGTGTGTGTGTGTGTGTGTGTGTGGCAGGTAGGATTGATTGACCCATGACTCATACTTTCTCTCCCAGATTAATTCAGTGCAGACAATAGTGGGATTTTTCCTGTCAGATTCCACATCTCTGTGGTATGCACATCATCTCCGTGAGAATGCGTCTGACCCTTCTGTTTTAATGCTTTCCACAGATGACCTCCCACTCTCGCCTCTGAGGAGACAGCAGTATCTGTTCGACGTCTCAACCCTCTCCAAAAAAGCGGAGGTGCTGGGAGCCGAGCTCAGGATATACACCAAAGTGTCTGGGAATTTCAGGATATCGGAAACGGAGCCCGTTGACATCCAGCTCCTCTCCTGCCACGACCAGCAGCTGCTCGACTCCAAAACACTCGACCTGCAGGATTCCCAAAGGCCGAAGTGGGAGGTGTTGGACGTGTGGGAAACATTCAAAGAGCAGCAGCACCTGAGCCAGGGGAAGCACTTCTGTCTGGAGCTCAGGGCCATGCTGGACAACCCAGAGAGGGAGCTGGACCTGCACCTTCTGGGCCTGCACAGGCACGGCAGGCCTCAACAGAAGAAAGCCATCTTGGTGGTCTTTACCAGGTCTAAGAAGAGGCAGACCCTTTTCAGTGAGAGGAGAGAGGGGAGGGCGCTGCTGGGCCTAGAGAGGAAGGCCAAAGAGAGGGGCCCAGGCGCTAAAGCCAGCAGGAGAAGGAGGACGGCTGCGTCCAAAACCCGCCATGGGAAGAGACACGGCAAGAAGTCCAAATCCAGGTGCAGCAAGAAGCCGCTGCACGTCAACTTCAGAGATCTGGGCTGGGACGACTGGATCATCGCCCCACTGGATTACGAAGCGTACCACTGCGAGGGGGTTTGTGACTTCCCCCTGCGCTCCCACCTGGAGCCCACCAACCACGCCATCATCCAGACTCTGATGAATTCAATGAACCCCAGCAACATGCCGCCCAGCTGCTGCGCCCCGTCCAAACTCAGCCCCATCAGCATCCTCTACATCGACTCAGGAAACAATGTGGTCTACAAACAGTACGAGGACATGGTGGTGGAGTCTTGTGGCTGTAGGTAGTAGATCTGGCAGGTGTAGTGCTTTATGTTGACCTCCATCTTCGTCAGGCTCTCTGTTTAGTGGGAATCAAACAGCTTTGCAGTCTGTGTGGTGGCAAATGGATGGAGACTTACGGATGCATTTTTCTAACCATGCACCCAACAAGGTCATGTTTAATACCTCAAACATTTGTTTTCTTGCTTTTTTCTGTACATTCCTGTCCAGCCACTTCAACGCCACACTGATGTCTTATTCATGGATTTATAAGATAAGCTCATCTCTTTTTCACCAAATCAACAAAAGTTTAAAAAGAACCTTTTGACAAATAAACGTATTCTCTTTCTTTCTGAGAGTTAGAAGAAAAGATCAATACCACTCATCTGTCTGAATGGGAAACATGAAGCTGTCACCAGCAGCCAGTTAGTTTAGCATAGCTTAGCATAAAGACTGGAAACGGGGGGAAACAGCTAGCCACGGCTTTGTCCGAAGGTAACAAACCATGAAACAAGATATAATGTTTTCTTCAGTGAGCTTTAGAGGTGCAGATTTTAATACCTTGAGACGCTAGCTGTTTCCCTCTGTTTCCATTCTTTGTGCTAAGCTAAGCTAACTTGACTGTAGCTTCATATGTACCGTACTAGAGTCGATTAATTGATTAGTCGATCGAAAGAAAATTAGCTGCCAGCTACTTTGATAATGGATTGTTTCCGTCATTATTCAAGCAAAATGTAAAATATTCTAGCTTTTTCTATGAAAGGACGCATTTGCTGCTTTTCTTTGTCATTTAAGATAATAAAGAGCGGTATTGATCTTATATATTGATCATTTCCAAAACTATTTCTTTAAAATGAGACACATTACATATCATCGGGGCCTTTAAAGGAGGGGGAAGCGATTCTAATCGAGTTCACTTATTTTCAAGTTCAACGAATATCTCCTCACTGCTCTGTGTGTGTACTTTAAAACGCAGCCCTGGCTCTGCAAATGGGAAACAAAGTGGATCAAGACTTAGCCACACAACACTAACTTGTTATTCCAGTCAGGATTTGTGTGTAACCTTAAATCACTCGTCCACAGATATTCAGTTTACTTTCTAGTTTACCGAGATATGCTTTTGTTGCGATGATGGTTTTCTGGCTCTGGGAAACTCGTCCTCTCTGCAATGTAAGCAGCACCGCAGCAACTTCAGCAACATTGATTACATTACTTTCTGTGTTGTTGTTCGCACTAAATCACGGTATTTGTCATGGTATTTCTCCACATTAGCTGACCCCCACCTTTAAGGAAAAAAATTCCTCTGCTCTTATAAATTTATTGCCAGTGCAAAACAACTGGTGCCCCTTTTAATCTCCTTACCTCCCATTGTTTGGCCAGTGGGGCGCTAGCACTACGTTCATCCTTCATAGTCTCCCTGTCTTCAAAGCAGTCTGGCAGGCCAACAACATAATTGTGACATTCATTACAAGGTACTAAAGATCAAACATAGTCTATCTGTTTTAGAACATTTGATGACTTAGCTGAATTGAGTGATTACACCTCTGTGGCTTTGTTTCTTCTACTACTTCAGGTATTTTTTTTGTCTTGAGTGACGTCTCTGTCAGGATTAAAAAGCAGATTTTCAGCACTTGACATGGCCTATGACTCAGGGAACTCGAGTGTTGGAGAGAATGTAAAGTCCTTTTTTTTTTTCAGATTGAACCACCATCAGTATATTCCCACCAAAAACTTTCCTCATCAGTTTACTAACCATCTTTTTTTTTTGTTGAGGAGTTACATAATTTTGTCTGTGATGCACTGATGTTTCAAAGGTACCATGTGTAAATATTTGATACGGAAATAATAATTTATGTTCTACGAATAAGTTATTTCATTTTTATTGTCCGCTTTGTTCCCTTACAACTTCCAGACGGCATGAGTCACACATCTGGATGTTCAGGTTCAAATAAACACATATGGGTAATGTTTTGGTAACGAAACGTGACAGATATCTTTGGTCACAGACTGTGAAATACTGTAGTATCATCATGTTTTTGTTGTATATATAAATAGAAAATAATTATTCACCAAAGAAAAAACATTGTTTGTATTTGGTGAACTCTTTTTTTTTTAGGCTATACTGTTGTTTCAAACATTAGTAGCACATTTTTGTCTCTTATATATTTTGTTTTTGCATTATTTACTGGAATCTGAAAATAATATATTATACTGACTGTCAGTAAGATGAAATGGATAATTCAGTGTCATCCCACAATGTTTATATTTTATTGGACCCTCTCTTTGCTCTCCTGCATCCAACCGTGACACATAATTACAGCAGAAAATGAATTGATAATGTATTTTTACAGAGTAAAATAATCAAAGCAAAAATTGTTTAACCAAATTAATCTATTCTTATAAACTGTGTGAACTGTAAGATATGTAGAGTAACAGGCAAATTAAAATGTCTTGAACTTAAAATGTTTCCTTGGTAAAGTGTGGAATTTACTTTTGTTTGTTTATAACTGTTGTTTATGGTGCCTGCTCTTAATTTGACCTTTTGTGTCACAATACTTTTTATTTAACTTATTAAGTTAATTGCAGGTCAGTTATTTATCAATCACGTCTATAAGGTCAATTTAGTCGGAATATTTGGTGAACTTTGAATTTAAAGCGTTCATTCAAGAACTCAGTTCAGTGTTTATTGTCCTGCCTGAAGTTTGACTTGCAGCAGAACAAAAACAGACATCGAAAAACAAACTCAGTAAAAACTGAATAAAAAAGGGAAAAGGGAGAAAAATAACAGTATGTTATCAATAACCAAAAATAAATGAAAAACCAGCAAACTAAAAAAGAAAGCAAGAGCGTGTTGCTGCTCACAAGTGAAAAAAAAGGACTACTTAGATCGATTACACCTGAGGAGTCTACACCTCTATCTTAAAGTACCTCAAAGATCCCCTCCAGACATGTATTACAACATAAAATAGTCTGCTTGGAACAATAATATGTGTCTAATGTGTTTTTTTCTGCAAAATAAATACTATAATTTCCACATAAAAATCCTTAAAAAGGCAACTACTCCTTCTAACTCATTACAGAATCTATGAATATGCAAATGAGAGTTTTCCTGCTGGACACAAGATGTCTCCTACTTCATTGTAAAGTCCATTCTCAGTGTTTGTGCACCCGGGCTTCAAGTCTCTACAGCACACTTGTTTAAGTGTCATACTGGACCATGCTGACTCACAAACAATTAGTGATGTCACAAATCATGCTCATAGGCCCCGCCCCCTTAAAAATCTGATTTTCAATGAGCACAAAGAAACTTTCCACTTTCAGCAGATGAACGTGAAAACATCCTTTTAGTGTCAACCTCGAACAACAAACATCCAACTGTAGCAACAAAGAAGAAAAAGATATTTTATTTTAGAAACTGTTTTGGGAAATATGTTGTTTTGTGTTGTTGTATTCACTTGAGTTTGCTGAGAGTTAGATGAGGAGATTGATACAACCCTCATGTCTGTCTGTTAAATATGAAGCTACAACCAGCAGCCAGTTAGCTTAGCTTAGCACAAAGACTGGAAATAGGGGGAAACAGCTAGCCTTGCTCTCTCCAACGGTAATAAAATCTGCCTACAGGCAGCAATAAATCTCACCGATTAGCATGTTATATATTGTTGGTTTAATTTGTACAAAGAGTGTCATCACCAGGTATAGCTCCCGGGTTTAAAAAGTACTCCAGCATATATTCCCCAATATAAATTATGTTTTAATGTTTTTTTAAACAAATATAATGTGTTGTGGTAAATGGACTGTACTCATATAACACCTTTCTAGTCTTCTGAACACTCAAAGTGCTTTACACTACATGCTACATTCACACATGGATGGTAAAGGCTGCCACAAACAGAAACTAACTCATTCACACACATTCATACAATGATGCTCTTGCTCAAGGACACTTAAGACAAGCAGTGGGAGGAGCCGGGGATCAAACCGCCGACCTTCTGATTGACCCGCTCTATACCTCCTGAGCCACAGCCGCCCCATAATTAACAAACTTTAAAGGTGCTGTTTGTGAATTCTTTTGGGAAGTTGGACAGAGCAAAGCTAGCTGTTTGTGTGTCAAACCATTCCTTTAAGTGGTGGAAAGTATGCATCTAAATATAAATGCCTGAAAGTGTGGACTCACTAATAATCCCGCTGGCTTCTGGTATCAGTGCATTTATTTGTTTTTTTGTTGTTGACCTTTCGTTGTTAAAGGTACAGTGCACCTTAAAGAGGGTGAGTGACAGTTTGCAGGGTGAAAACAGGGTCAGCAGACAACAGGAAAGAGCGCCATCTTCTCTGGGTGGGCTGTGTTTCTGTGTGTGTTGGAGGTCGGGGGGCAATATGTGACAAACAAATTGGTAGGCAGATGTAGTGACTGACCCCCCCCACCACACCCTGCTCCCTTTTAGTCTAGAGCCACATTGGGTCCCCTGCCTCTCAGACAATGGCAGTGGAGGATCTCAACATCAGATTAAGCCTGCCTTTTCCTCACCGGGGTCAAAGGTCAAGTGGGGCATTGTCTCTGGGGGCTGTGGACATTAAACAACGTACACGTCCCCTTAGAAAGAAGGCGGCAATCAAGAGGGGAGGGAGGAGGGCGAGGGGAAGGAATGTGTGTGATGCTCTCTGAGGGCCTCGCTGTCACTCCCCAAACAACAAGGTGAGATATAAAAAAGGGGCGGTCGGGTTGAAGCAGCTGCTCTGAACAGCCAGCGGAGGACAAAAGGCTGGAATGTACCGTCTCTATAGCGGCGTACGGAGGCGTTTCTGCACTGTGTCTCACTGTGGCAGATTTGCTGCGAGATGGAGAAAAAGAATATTTGCAGGGGAAACAAAGCCGGGTGTAGATCGAGTGCAGGATTCAGCAGTTGTTATCAGAAGGGGGGAATAATTCGGAGCTCATGTTTTTTCTGTTTTCTCGCTGAGTTTTTCTGTGATGTTAAATGTTTCACACATGTCCAGAGTGCAGTCAAGAGGAAAAGAAAGCTAAGAAGGGATCAGGAATGAGCACAGAGATCTGGAATAAGATATCTCCTGACGCACAGAAACATGTGGTGTCCCAGAAATCTCGAAAAAGACAAAAAAAACTCGCCTCTGAAATGTTTACCCGATATAATTCCAACACTTGTCTCCCTTGTTTGCTTTTAGTCGAGGGCAAAAGTGATGTCTCGTCATCTTGACCTCTGTGTTTGCTCTGGTAAACGCAGCCTGTTAGAGGCTTTAGAGTGGAAATCCTCTGTGTGGAGTCAGATGGCAGCAGGCTCAAAGCCCTGACATACAAGGGAAGGAACTTGTTAGTCCTTCTGTTTGTTGAGTAAACTTTAGTGACTTTTTATTTATAGTCTCTGCTTTGGGTTTCCTGTGATTCCCAGTAAGATCATTTTTAAGGTCAGAAGACGTCTACGAGTCTCGGTTAAAACTGAGCTCAATGTGGTTATAAAAGTAAAGACATTTATTATCTGATCAATGTTTCAACAGCATTAAAGGACACGTGGAGGATTTAGTGGCATCTAGTGGTGAAGTTGCAGATTGCCACTAACTGAACACTGCTCGCGTCTGTATTGTCGACCAAGGAATATGAATGGGCTGTGAGGTGAGAAACTACAGTGTCCAAGAGGAACATGAAAGCCCCCATCTACAGCCAGTGTTTGGTTTGTCCGTTCTCGATTACTGCTTAAATCTGCTCACTCTAAGGTAGCTAGAACATAATGATTCTTATTTTCAGGTGATTATACACTAATAAAGACATTCCCAGTGAATATTATATTCTATATCTGCCAATAGATCCTCCTAAATGTTACACACTGGACCTTTAAAATGACTGTATCTCAATGTTAAACAGGTCCCAAGATATAGTGTCTGAACAGACAGTTTTATAGTCAGAAAAACTTTAATTATACAACAAAAGTAATAAATCAGTGCTCGGTGGTTTAGATTAAACTTATAAACCAATTTTGAGATTTGTTCTCAAGACAATAAAAGTTAATAATACACTTACTTGCCAGTTTATTTGGTACACCTAGCTAAAACTAATGCAGTCTAATACAACAGTTCTGCACTAAAACCTTCATGACGGTTAATATATTTTGTTGAAACGGTGCTGATTCAACTTTAAGATCATTTTGGATGAGCGGAGTTTTGTGGTGCTGTTGAACTGTGTTGCATTATACAGATGTAGCCTCACCTCATTGATATGGATAAAATAAAAAATAAAAATGTACATTAAATCATATTTGGGCCAAATCTGGGTTAAAAGTTAATTAAACTTTGCAGTGACATTAAGTATTCATGAAACACTGGAGCAAATATACTGTATATGTATATGTATATGTAATTTCTCTTGTATAGTTTTATATTTTGTTCTTCTAGTTATCTATTTTTTACTTATTGGCATGGGAAATTGCCAAAGCAGGTGTAAAATACATGTATATACAGATGGGATTACAATTTAATTTGTTAAAATAAATATATTATTGAATGTTCTATTTATCGTTACTTATTTCTGTCCTCGTGCTGCTGTAACGCCTGAATTTCCCCTCTAAAGATCCATAAAGGTTTATCTCTCATCGTTACTAATCTACTCTTTACTCTGGTACGTTTCCCTGATGGAAGTTTAAGAGAAGTTCAGTGATCTTTCAGCCTGGGTGCAGACTGATGCAGAAAAAGAGGGATTACACAGCTGAGTGAGAAAGCAAAGAGATGGAGGAGAGGGAGGTCAGAGCCTCTCTTTCCTGCAGACAGGTGTGTCCTCTGTGGGTCATTGCTGCTGACAAACAGCGTCTTCTTGAATGTCACACAGGAGCCCTCTCAGGGTTTGGATTTATGACTTTGTTGTGGCGATATAATATAAACACATATCACAGCTAAGTGATACCGAACAAATCCTGGTTTAAGTAATAAAGTGTCTCTTATTTATGTGCTAATAACTTATATGTACAGAATTCTGACAGTACAAAAAGATCATGGAGGGATTTCAATGAAATTGTGATGCTGGAAAGCCCCAGCCTTTTTCTTTTTTTTACATTTACACTTGAAAAATAATGTTTTCCAAGATGTCCCTGCAGCTGGTTGCACCACTGTCCATTATTTCTTATAATTTGTATCAGCTGTGAGGAGTTCCCCCTATGTCCACTTTTGCATGCAGTATTTTTGAGAGAATCGAGTCCATCAACAGCACATTTAAAAAGTGATTTAACCTGCGTGCTTGCATGTGTATTTAAGTATTCTTTCCAGAGTGAACTCACTGCAAACTGTTAACACAGTCAGTTTATAATTTGGTGACACTTACCCTCCTCAATCAGTAGAAACCACAACCACCACCTCCCCGTCCGTCAGTGGTGGCATAGAAAGGTTACTTTACTTGAGTATTTCCATTTTATACAAGTTTATACTGCTTTAACTGAAGGTCTTCAAGGTGTTCCTAAAATCTC